TCTTCAGCCATTCCTTTGTTCCCAGCACCCCCACCTTTGGGTGCACAGCCTGGGCCTGCACGCTCCCCAGCACTCTGGTTGTAGGCCTCAACATCACACGGCCCCTCGGAGACAAAGCAGCTACTCCCAGCTGTAACTCCAGGAACATGGCCAGCAGCCCCCTCTGGGCTCTCAGCTTCCTCCCTGCTCTCGGCTTTCTCCCGGCCCTGGGCTCCTGCTGAGTTCTCACACAGACTCCTCAGCACCTGCCAGGCGGCCTGAGCCGATTCAATGCCCTCCAGGTGGGGCAACAGCATAGCGTCCACGCTTGCTCTCAACATGCAGAGCTCCCTTTGCATTCTCAGCTCTCTATCTTCTAGGAGTGCAGCCTCCAGTTCTGCTCCTCCTTCTTCAGCAGCAACTGGCATGGGTGGGGCGGGCTCCTTCTGGGTTATATCCCAGAACCCTGTGGCCAAAAACCACCCCCTGACTCTTCTAACCCAGATATCCCAGGACTGGGTTGTGAGCTTTTCAAACGGGACATCATAAAAGTCCTGGAGCTCAGCCATCTCCTCCCCCAGTGCTACCATTGGGGCTTTGAAGTACTCACGCGTACCAGCCAGCTTCAAAGGAGAGGCCTCCAGTGGCTCCTTGCAGCACACAGCTTTGCAGCCAGCTTTGCAGCTTTTCTCCCAGGCGAAGCCTCAAAGCAGGACTTTTGCATTCCGGCAGCAAAACAACAGCTTCTCAGTTTTCCAGCCTTCTTAAGCACACAGCACATCAAAGCAGGCTTCCTCTAATTGCATTAACTGCCCCCATAACCTCTGGGATATCTTGATTTATTGCTCAGATAAGCGTCCGGCACGCTTCCCCCATTGCGTAGGCCTCTGCATTCCAAAGGGCACATTCCGATACTTCTGAGCATAGCAGAGTTCGTCAGCGGTAAGAGGAAACCAAAACAAAACTCCAGTGCATTCTTCAGTGTGCTTAAATAAAGTCCACTCAGGATATTAGCAGCTAAAAGCAGTTTTATTTACAGCAGGCTATCCATTATCTATCACAGCGAACAGCATCGCGAAAACACGTCCTCTCTCCTCAAAGCGAAAGTAGAGAGACAGAACAAAGACTTGAGTCTCTCGGAACTGACGTAGGAGTTCCCCCCTCCCAACAACAGTAGGCAGGGCGTACAGTCTGAGCTGTTTAACCCTGTAAGCTCAGGTTCTCCTCACACAGATATCCAGAGTGTGGGGGTCAGGTGCGATTGCTATGAGGAATTATGGAATATGGAGCAAGCCATTGTGTCCGCTATGAAAGCATTGCGCTGACTGGGTTTGATACATTGACAATGGTTTCTGATCAAATCCCACCTCTGCCATTTGCTTTCTCTACGCCTGACAGGCACCTATAAGCATTCTGAAACACAGGCCAGTTGCTTCATCAAGCATCCTCAGTACATAAAGATAGTAGGTTACTTTGATGTAGTTTAATCTTTAGATTAAACCAGGAAGAGAGTTCACAAGATGGCGGCAAATACTGCCATCCTGTTTATTTCTGTTTATGACCTCCGGGGTTTCCTAAAAGCATTCCTCCTTGCTTCCTCTTTTATTTACTCTGAACTACATATGCATGCTCAAGTAGGAAATAGTTTCTTTGTAGTTAAAAGAATTTATCTGATTTAACTTTGTCCCACGTGGGGTTTTTTGAAATGCTCAGGGGAAATCTGATTGGTTCTTATGAACACTATGTAAAAAGTTTTTGTGAATAAAATGACCTGGGCCGAGGGGTGGAGAGGGAGGATTATTATATGCACTCCTCCCAGAGTCTTGCTGGTCAAGCCTCGTGTGTATTCTATTAGAGTCCAATCCTTCCTTGCTTTGGGAACGCTACAGCTGGAGGATCCCCAATGCTGCAAGACGTCCATGTGGAACCGAAGGTGATCCTGTGACTCCACACATCCAGCAGATCTCACAGCAGCCCAATGGAAGGAGGAACCCAGATAGACTGCCTCTGGAACTAGAGGTTCCATCAAAACATCAGAAGAGCCAGCGAGATGAGAGCGAGAATCTTCTCCCCTTCTGCAGTTTCCAGCAACTAGTTTTGGAAGAATTGTGGCAGAGCCAAGCCGCAGTCGCTAGGAGCCATCGAGAGACCTCTCCTCCTTTGTGCATTTGCCCAGGATACCTGAAGGAGCGTCTCCACCCCCATCGTTCTGCCCGGACACTGAGGTCCAGCGCCAAGGGCCTTCTGGCGGTTCCTCACTGCGAGAAGCCAAGTTACAGGGAACCAGGCAGAGGGCCTTCTCGGTGGTGGCACCCACCCTGTGGAATGCCCTTCCACCCAATGTCAAAGAGAAAAACAACTGCCAGAATTTTAGAAGACATCTGAAGGCAGCCCTGTTCAGGGAAGTTTTTAATGTGTGACATTTTGATGTATTTTTAATCTTTGTTGGAAGCCGCCCAGAGTGGCTGGGGAAACCCAGCCAGATGGGCGGGGTATAAATAATAAATTTATTATTGTTGTTGTTGGATGCAGCCCTTGCTTGGCAAGCAGAAGGTGGCTGGTTCAATCCTTGGCCTCCCTACTTGAAAAAGCACCAGTTGTGGGTGATTTGGGGGTGGGGACCCCAACCTTTCATTGGCAGTGTGGTGTGGTGGTTAGAGTGTCAGCCATGACCTAGGAGAGAGCAGGATTCAAATCCCCACCAGTCAAGCCTTGAAGCTCTCACCGAGTGTCCTTGGGCTTCTCAGCCTATCCTACCTGGCAGGGTTGTGCTGTGGGAATTAGATGAGTATTAGGCCCTGGGAGAGACCAGGGTCCTTCTCCCCCCACTCGGCCGCCAGCTCACCGGGCGCGTCCTTGGGCCAGGCACTGCCTCTGAACGCGGCCTACCTCACAGGGCTGTTGTGAAGTTTAAATGAAGGGGAGAATCAGGCATACCAAGGCGGATTAGAAATGCCACAAATAAGTCGGACAAGCAGCCAGCGCCTTTGGACTATAACTAGCATCAGCCACACATGGGAGTTGTAGTCCTGATGTGCCCAAATCTGGACAGCTTTTGCACACACACACACACCCAAACGCCACACGCTGGTCCTCTTGGGCGCATCGGGACTACAACTCCCATGTGCGGCTGAGAGGACACGACACTCCCGTCTGCCCAAATGACCTTCACACTTGGAGACAGACCGGTCCTTGCAAAAGACACACACACACATTTATTTAAATACACACACACGGCCGGATCAGGCCGCCAAACAGCCCCTTTCTCTGTCCTATTCTCCCCAGCCCTCAGCCGGCTTCATCCGAGGAGGTCGAAAATTAAGCGCACTTCCGAGATGTGGGAAGCTTCAGCGGGAAGCGAAGACATCACCTGGAAGTTGGAGGAAAAAGAGGCATTGGGGAATGGAGGAGGCTGGCAGCGGCTTCTTCGCCTTTTGAGATGGGGAGGGGGGTCTTTCCCAGCCCAAGCCACAGATCAAGAGGACTAGCCCCTTAGGTCTAAGAAAGGACGCTGCTTGTGGAAACCATTCTGTCTCCCACCAGGGGTGGACCAGCCTCCTGCCACAAACCACCCTAGCAGAGCCCTTTTTAACCTCAAAGCCTCAATACCCTTCCACCTTTTTATTCAGTTTCTGCTGTGGTGGCAGTGCATGCGCGGTGCAGGATAAATACAGTGGTACCTCGGGTTAAGTACTTAATTCGTTCTGGAGGTCCGTTCTTAACCTGAAACTGTTCTTAACCTGAAGCACCACTTTAGCTAATGGGGCCTCCTGCTGCAGTTGGAGCACGATTTCTGTTCTCATCCTGAAGCAAAGTTCTTAATCTGAGGTAATATTTCTGGGTTAGCGGAGTCTGTAACCTGAAGCGTATGTAACCTGAAGCGTCTGTAACCCAAGGAACCACTGTATTACACAGGTCAGCTGAGCAGCGGGTCGTGTTTCCCCCCTGCGCTGGAGGAGGGCTTGGAAGTTATGACTTTTATGGAAAGAAAATCCTAAAGAGCTACTTTTGGGGGAAAGGAAGGGCCAGAGACGGAGAAAATCTTCCATCTGCACCCTCTTGCGTGGGTAGGCAAACTAAGGCCCGGGGGCTGGATCTGGCCCAATCGCCTTCTAAATCCGGCCCGCGTACGGTCCAGGAATCAGTGTGTGTTTACATGAGTAGAATGTGTCCTTTTATTTAAAATGCATCTCTGGGTTATTTGTGGGGCATAGGAATTCGTTTATCCCCCCCCCCCAAGAAATATATATAGTCTGGCCCCCCACAAGGTCTGAGGGACAGTGGACCGGCCCCCTGCTGAAAAAATTTGCTGGCCCCTGCTCTAATGCAACCAAATTGGGGGGGGGGGTGTAGATATCTGTGGCCCTCCAGATTTTCCTGGACTACAAGTCCCATCATCCTCCCTGGCCCAGATGGAGGATGGAGTCCCTTGGCTTTTTAAAAAAAGGGGGAGGGGAGAAATCCCGAGGGAGGTGGGCAAAGGAAATCGAAGGTGCCCCAGACCCCCGGGGGATCGTGTCTCGCTTCCCAAGACCCCCGAGACCTGATCTGGCCTTCCAAGCTCCCCAGATACGGTCTCACATCCCAAGACACACCCCCCCCATTAATTGGGTCTCACCTCCTTTATCTTTGCCTCTGTCCTCTTGAGTGCCTTCACCTCCCGTTGAGCGTGGAGAAGATGCTCCTCCAGATGCCTCACCTGGAAGCCAGGAGCAGAAAGAACGAGTTAGGGGGCTAAAAGAGCGAGGAGTTAGGGGGCTGGTCCATGCAAGGGCAGCCATTTCCCGGCCCTCCCCGGAAGGCTCCTCTCCTGCATCCCTCACCCCAGGTCCTCACCCGGCCTTGGTATCTCATCACAAGGTCCATGTTCTCGCTGTCCTTGCCAGCCAGAAGTTCCCTCAGCCTGGCAACCTAAGGAGACAAGAAGGCTCCATCTTGAACCACAAGGTGGTGGTTTGGGGTCACCGTGGGATTGGGGGAGGGAGGAAGAGTTGAAACCCTTTACTGTTTCTGCAGGATCTGTTCCAAGAGACCCCACAAAAGACCCAAATGATTTTTTTTTCCTCATTGCAAATAAAACCACCTGAAAATTCATTGAGTGCAAATAAATCTTTGGCCACGCAGGGATAGCCTGACGGCCGCAGTCCATGCAGGGATAACCTTGAGGATGGATCCTGACCTCAGTGACGCCACCCAGCCCCATACCTGCCGCTGCAGACACATCTTCTCCTGGACCCAATCCGCACTGGACGGCTTCTGCTCCCTGAGCTCTTCCCACAGGGCTGACCTCTCCATCTCGCAGCTGCGGAGGTCAGATTTCAGCTGATCCAACTCCAGTTTTAGGATCTGGGGAAGGGAGAGAGAGATTGGGGGGGGGCGCGTTTAGCAGCCACTCGGGGTTCAGCAACCCACCCCTTTGCAGGAGGCTGGAGGGTGAAGGCAGCACAGAACATCATGGCTGCTGCCCATGTTCCCACTTAAACCAGCCCCTTATTTCAGGCAATGAGGACTAGAATCTTTATGTTTCAGAGAAGCAGCTGCAGCTAAGTGGCAGAGCACCTGCTTGGCATGCAGAAGGCGCCAGGTTCAATTCCCCGGTGGCTTGGGGGAGACCCTCTTCCTGAAACCCCGGAGAGCGCTTGCTGCCAGCCAGGGCAGGCGGTATTGCAGTCTATGGACCATGAACATATTAAGGCAGCTTTTGCTGTGAGCTCCAGGACGTTCTCCTTCCTGGGGCACACAGATCTCTGAGAACGCCAGAGGGTAGGCGGCCCTTGGACCTACCCGGATGTCCGCACTCTGGTCATCCAGCTGCTGAAGCTTCCTGTCCTGCTGCCGGATAACTTCCTGAAGCTCCTTTTCGTCCTGTGTGTGAGAGAGAGAGCGTAAGAGGGCAGGGAGGGAGAAAGGTTTCACAGTGGTTTCGCCAAAGCCTGGCTAAGTTTCTAGTCCCTTGGACTCTGGGGGTGGGAAACAGGGCGGCAGATGCTGCCCAGGGAGAGGAAAGAGTTTAGACAACCCGTCCCACCTTCCGTGCTCCAAGCGTTCCTTATTTTCTTTCTTTTCTTTGCCAAATGTTTTTACATTGCAAATTTAAATTCACACAATAAACACCAACATCATCATTTAGGATTTCCCTGAATCCTTCGACTCTCCTCTGCCTTTCCATGGTTACCCTGATCATTCTTTTTTCAACTGCTTCCCTTAATTTTCTGTTTTTTTAAATAAAAAAACTAATCCATTTTTACACCGTAGTTTTTCATACATTACAAGCATTACTCAAATCTTGCCAAAGTTTTGGTTGTTTGCAGTGTTCTCTTAAATGCATTGTAAATTTCCCCCATTTCCTTCTTAAAGTTCTGCTCTTCTTGGTTTCTGATTAAAATAAAAGGTAAAGGTAAAGGGACCCCTGACCATTAGGTCCAGTCGTGGCCGACTCTGGGGTTGCGGTGCTCATCTCGCTTTACTGGCCGAGGGAGCTGGCGTACAGCTTCCGGGTCATGTGGCCAGCATGACTAAGCCACTTCTGGCGAACCAGAGCAGCACACGGAAACGCCGTTTACCTTCCTGCCAGAGTGGTACCTATTTATCTACTTGCACTCGTGTGCTTTCGAACTGCTAGGTTGGCAGGAGCAGGGACCGAGCAACGGGAGCTCACCCCGTCACGGGGATTCGAACAGCTGACCTTCTGATCGGCAAGTCCTAGGCTCTGTGGTTTAACCCACAGCGCCACCTGCGTCCCTTCTGATTAAAATAAGTGCTCCTTATTTTCAGACTATGTCCCTTATCCTGGAAACTATTTTGCGAAGGATTCAAACAAGAAGAAAGGGGATTCCTTTCCAAAGCTTAGGAAGAACTTTCTGACAGTAAGAGCTGTTTGACAGTCCCTGGGAAGGTGGTGGAATCTCCTGTCTTGTAAAGAGAGCTTGGGTGGCCACCTGCCAAAGATTCTGCAGCTGTGATTCCTGCATTGCAGGGGGCTGGACTGGATAACAATTGGGGGTCCCTTCCAACTCTCCAATCCTCTTTTTTTATTTTTATTCCACAGCGCATAGAAAACGGGAGATACGTAGCCACTCCAGCAACATATCTCTATTTCCTCACATCCAGAAACGCAAGCAGGGCTTTTACTCTTGCTAGAAGCTCAGCCTTGCCCTCACCGGTTCTGGAAGGCTCCCATAGAAGAGTCCCACACACACAGAGACTTTGCGCCTGCCCATTAGGGGAAACAGGAAGCCCCGAACATATATATTTTTAGATGTCCTTTTTACGCTGAGATTCGTAGAGACACCATTGATCCTTTGCTGAAGAGGCTCGCCGATCTTTCAGACAAGTCTAAACTTAATTCTCTCCTCTTAGGCAAAGATCACAAGACAACCTGGCTGGTAGCCAGATTCTGCATCCAGATTTGTAGGCACAGATCACCCTCTAGAATAAATTAGCTTACTAGGGAAATGCTGAAGTCGCCCTTTGGGGCGCCTCAGGGTCAATTTTTTATGGTAGGCCAAATTTCAGCTGTACGGGTGTATGCATATATCTCAATTTTAACTCATGAGCTATTGCTGCAATCTGCTCTGATTGTATATTTTATCTTTATGAACGCTGTTTTTATTGTATTATGTTATGTTATGTGAGCTGGTCTTTGACTGTAATAAATTATCTACCTATCTATTCCACAGCGGCTTCAGAGACATGCAGGCTGATTGAGATGGAGGCTGGCTCCCTGGTTGCTGCAACGCCCTAGAAGCGGATCCCCGGCCGATCCGTGCCCCAGATCCTCCGAGCCCTGCGGCTCCATCCTGACCCAGATCCCCCTCCTCCTGGCAACCTCACCTGCATCCTGTCACGGAGAGTCTTGCTCAGCTGGGCGATGCTGGCGTCGCGGGAATCAACCTCAGCCTCCAGCTCCCTCCCCAGGCCCTGGAGCCGCAAACTGCAGGGTGGGGGAGAAGGGAGAGAGGCCCCCAAATTCAACTCTGCGTTGCCCAGTCTGGGGGAATAATCTGGATTGATCCCGCATGGCAAGGGGTTGGACTAGATGACCCCGGGGTGTCTTTCAGCTCGACAGTTCTACGATTCTAGGACTGTCCTTCTTGAAAATGTATCTCATAATCTAACAGCATCCAAACAACAGAGCGAAAAGGACCTTTTAGCAATATATACAACACATGGTTTTATTTCTTGTACAAATATTGCGGCACAAGGTCACCCAGGACCTCCCGTATATGCAAAAGCCTGGCCCATTTAAGACTAGGCAAAATGTTTCTTCTCAATAGTGATGGAATGCACAGGTGGGGAATGCTCATTTTTTTATGAGTCTTATATTACCTATAAAGGGAGCCATTACACGGATTAATATATTATTATCCTGTTGGAGCTGCGCTGTGTCTTTTCTCCTCCCAGGCTGTGACGCTTAATAGTCTGATTTTGTTATTCTTTTTCACTTGGTGGAATGCTCTGTCGCAAGAGACCAGGGCCCTGCGGGACTTGACATCTTTCCGCAGGGCCTGCAAGACAGAGCTGTTCCACCGGGCCTTTGGTTTGGACTTAGTCTGACCCTTATGTTTCCCTCCCCTTATGGTCTTGATCTAAGGGCTGCTTTTAAAATGAGGCTGCATTTTAAATTGCATTTTAACCTGTATTTTAAATTGGGTTTTTTTCTTCTTCTTTTCTTCCTATTATGTTTTTACTGTCATTTTACTGGTGTTAGCCACCCTGAGACCGGCTCTGGCTGGGGAGGGTGGGGTATAAATAAAATTTATTATTATTATTATTATTATTATTAGGCAAGGAAGAAGCTAAGGGCACATTTCCAAAACACATAGAGAGGGCAAAGCAAGGGGCGTGGTCTGGGGAGAGTCCTGGGGGCAAGGAGAGGTCTGGGGGGCCACATTCAGCCCACGGAGCCTGAGGTCCCCGCTCCCCAATGCTGCAAGCAGGAATCCTGATCGCACCTTGAAAATATTCAAAGAATCGCTTTGACCTCTCTACGAGTGTTTTGGAAATTTGCCCGTAGCTTCCTCCTTGCCTGAAGGAAGGAGAGAAAGAGAGTCTGCATGGATTGTGGCCCCTGAAAGAGAAGGCAGCTGGAAACAAGTTCCTGCTCCTCCGCTGTACCCGATTCCCTTTATTTAAACCAGATGTGCTGTTTCTTTTTAAAAATAAAATAAATTGATTTGTTAATGAAAAAGGTAAAAGAATAAAAAAAATCAGACCATTAGGTGTCACAGCCTGGGAGGAGAAAAGACACAGCGCAGCTTCAACAGGATAATAATATATCAATCCATGTAATGGTTCCCTTTACAGGTAATATAAGACTCACCAAAAAATAAGCGTTCCCCACCTGTGCATTCCATCACTATTGAGAAGTTGGAAGGGTCCTGTAGCCCAAGCTCCTTCAATGCAGGAACCTCAGGTAGAGCATCTTCACCTCTGGGTTTCCCCAGCGCAAAGCAAGCCCCCAGACCCACTTACATTTCTGCCTGCAGGGTTTCCCTCTCCTCCTGGGCGGCCCTCTGCTGCTGCGAAGCCAGGAGGCGGAGCTGTTCTGAAACGGCCAGCAAGTCTTGGACGTGGGTGGAGAGCTGATCCTGGAGCTCTGCGGACGGGACAGACCCCCCCCCCCCGTGAGAGGGCTGTGTTTCATTCATTTATTGCATTCCTGTCGCACCTTTTCCCTCCCGGGAGCTCAAGGGGGCAGACGTGGATTTCCTCCCCGTCCCCATCTAATCCCCACCAACAACAAGGTAGGCGAGGCGGAGAGAGGCAGGGGGCTGCCCAGGGCACACCCAGTGGGGAGCTTAGTGGCCAAGCGGGGAATTCGAACCCTGGTCCCCTCTCAGGGCCAAGTCCTAGTTACCTGCCGGCTTGGGCGGACCTTCATGAACGGCTTTCGTGAAAGCGGTGCTCTCGCTCCAAATCCCGGGAGTTTCCACGTCTGAAAAAGAACAGGAGGCACAAAATTTGGGGGGTGAAAACCTGCAATGCCCCCTTGAGTCAGAATTAAGAGGGAGGCTGCAATTGAGTGGCCTGGGGGCGGGGCTTGGACTACTGCAATGTGCTCTACGTGGGTGGCTGGAAGAACCCAGCCAGTTGGGCGGCGTATAAGTAATAAATTTATTATATTATTATTATTATTATTATTATTATTATTACTACCCCTTTCCCCCATGAGGGCTGACAACATGTCAAGTCGGGGGGGGGGGGCTTTCCGCTCTGGGTTTGTGTTCAGGGCGCCTCCCCCCCCCCCCGAGATGGGCGAACAGAAATCCCCACCTCTCTCCGCCACTGCCTGCAAGATGCTGTCCACAAAGGAGGTCCCAAAGCGGTGGGGGGTGAGTCGCCTGGGGGTGCAGGGCCGCCTCCTGGGGGCTGTGTCGACCACCTGCAAAAGAGCAGAGCGTTGGGAGTGCTGCCATGATACGACTCCGAAGGGGTTCGTCAGCTGCGATTCCTGCATTGCAGCGGGTTGGGCTGGATGACCTTTGGGGGTCCCTTGCCAACTCTACCATTCTGTGATTCCAAGACCCTTTCCCAGCAGGGGAGAGAGATGGCAGGGACCCCACTGCACACAGTTGCCTCACCTCTCCCTGCAGCACCCGTTCGAGGAAACTGGCAATTTCCAGGAGCTGCGTCTGAGCGCCGTCCATCTCCTGCAAGGAGCAGGCGCAGGCCTCCATGCTGGATTGGGTCCTCTCCATTTCCGCCTTCGCGCTCGCCAGCTCCTCGCCAACAGCCTCTCGCTCCTGCCTTTAGGGGTGGGGTGGGGGACAGGAGAGTCAGGACGATGCTGTTCCCTACGCCACAAAAGGAGGGAGACACTCTTTTGGGTGGGTGGGGGGAGCTTCAGGGGTCTCGGAGAGGAACAGGCACTTACTGAAGGGCGCTGTGGGCCCCCTTGAGGTCCTCCAGCTGGGCGCTGCGCTCCCACAGAGTCACGAGGGTGGCCTTCAGCTCCAACTCCGTCTCCGAGAGCTGGCGGCGGGCAATTTGGTTTTCCAGATCTATAAACTTTTAACATTTCAGCAGTTTGGTTAGGTTGGCTTATTTGCATTATTTTACACCGATTCTTTTATTTTACACCAACATTTTAAAAAATCCATTTGTTGATTGTGTTATTGCTGATTGTTTCCGAGATAGAATAGTTATACTGTTCTGAGTCACCTTATACTGCAAAAAACACCCCTGTTTAGAGAAGTCTACCCAAGCGCCCAGAAGGTTGAGATATTTTTAGTCTGTTTTAGCATTTTACCTTCTGTACCTTCTGTCAATCTCTCTTGATTTTGCTCAATTTTGTAAACCGCTTTGAGGGGTTTCTCTCCCCCCCTCCATCAAGCGGTGTATAGATTTTACAAACTAGATAAAATGTTCTGAAGAAAGATGTGATTTCAAGAGGAATACAAGAAGCTGGTTTATGCAGAGTCAGACCATTGGGGCCAACTCTCCGGCGGGAAGATTCAAGGGCCATCAAAGAAACATTCATCCGTGTTCTTACGCGGCTGCATTTTCCACTTTCTGGATGCCCCACAATCGTATCACAAAGTAGTTGTGTTCAGGGTTATAACTCAAGCACGGCAAGCTGTTGTTTCTTCTTGATTTCCAATGTCAGAGTGGCTGGGGAAACCCAGCCAAGTGGGTGGGGTATAAATAAAATAACAATAAAAATATCTTATCAATAAAAAAATTCAGCGAGGCAAATTTTTATTCTGAAAGTGTGGCCTGGAGAAAGAAGTTTTCAAACCACTGGCCCACACTGAGAGGCAGGCAGCCTCCTCTTCCAGCCCTACAAAGAGCTGGTATTCAAAGCAGGTCCTCCTCTGCTGAGAAGAAAGATACCAGTCCTCATGAAAGGCAACTTGTGACTTTCAGCAGGAAGCTGCTTTACCCTAGGAGATGCCCTTAATAATAATAATTAATTTTTATTTATATCCCGCCCTCCCCAGCCGAAGCTGGGCTCAGAGCGGCTAACAACAGTAAAAATAAGAGAGTTTACATAAAATCACAATCAATGAATTGAAATACATTCTAAAATCCATTCATTCTAAAATCAATTCTATGGGCTAGAGTTCTATGAGGATTACAGAAGGAGGGGGTCAGGCTGTGCCTAAAGCCTGGTGGAACAGCTCTGTCTTGAAGGCCCTGCGGAAAGATGTCAAGTCCCGCAGGGCCCTGGTCTCTTGGGACAGAGCGTTCCACCAGATCGGGGCCACAGCCGAAAAAACCCTGGCTCTGGTTGAGGCCAGCCTAACCTCCCTATGGCCGGGACCTCCAAGATGTTTTTGTTTGAAGACCGTAAGGTCCTCCGTGGGACATACCAGGAGAGGCGGTCCTGTAGGTACGAGGGTCCTAGGCTGTATAGGACTTTAAAGGTTAAAAGGTAATGGTAAAGGGACCCCTGACCGTTAGGTCCAGTCGTGGCCGACCCTGGGGTTGCAGCGCTCATCTCACTTTATTGGCCAAAGGAGCCGACGTACAGCTTCCGGGTCATGTGGCCAGCATGACTAAGCCGCTTCTGGAGAACCAGAGCAGCGCATGGAAACGCCCTAACCCTAACCTTCCCGCCGGAGCAGTACCTATTTATCTACTTGCACTTTGACATGCTTTCGAACTGCTAGGTGGGCAGGAGCAGGGACCGAGCAATGGGAGCTCACCCCGTCGCAGGGATTCGAACCGCCAACCTTCTGATCGGTAAGCCCTAGGCTCTGCGGTTTAACCCGCAGCACCACCCGCGTCCCTTAAAGGTTAAAACCAGCACCTGAAACCTGATCCTGCACTCCACCGGGAGCCAGTGCAGCTGGTATAGCACCGGGTGAATGTGATCCCGCGACGAGGACCCCGTAAGGAGTCTCGTCGCGGCATTCTGCACCCACTGGAGTTTCTGGGTCAGTCTCAAGGGCAGCCCCACGCAGAGTGAGTTACAATAATCAAGTCTGGGAAGATCTGGAAACAGCGTGATGAACTGTTTCAAAAGGACTGGAGCAAATTTATATTCTATATGAAAGAAAATGGTAAACAGTTGAAAACGTTTGTAGGTTTGAGCTGAAATGTTTGGTAATGTGAAAATAAGAAGCCGATTTACATATAAGAAGGTGAATGTTAAAAGAGAGCTATAAGGTAAAAACGTGGTAACAGTAATGTGAAGAAATTGGTAAAGTTGTGCGTGAGTCAGTTAGAGGGAGGGAAGGAGGTCGATGCTTTATGTAAGCAATGTCTTCAGTTACGGATTTCTGATATGAAAAGGTAATGAAACATAGAAAACTTAATAAAAATCATGTTAGAAAAACATACAATAATCCAGTCTGGAGGTGACCGTCGCGTGGATCAGTGGCTAGGTCAGGAGACCAAACCCTGGGGCCTTCTGCACGCTGAGCAGGCACCCTGCCGCCAAGCTGTGGCTCTCGCACCTGGGCCCCGCTCCCCTTCCCCACCCGCCCCAGACCTGCGCCCCTCGCTGCTCCAGGAGCCGCCCCTCTCCGTACCTCCCGGCACTCGGCCGTCTCGCCAGCTTCCCGCCGGGCTTCGTCGCGCTCCTGCTCTGCCCTCGCCTTCTCCACCGACAGCCTGCGTCACACGGAACAGGGTTAGCGGGAGCCTGGGAACTGTGGCTTGCTGAGGGTGCTGAGCGCCGTTATGAGGCTCCCACCTCCCAGAGCTACAATTCCCAGAGAGGCTTAGCCATTGGTCCCTCTCTGGAGACCGTAGCTCTGGAAGGGGGACACTCGCCACCTTTAAACTACAGTTCCCAGGATTCAGGGACGACAGCACGACTGCGTAAAGTGAAGTCATAGTGCTTCAGGCGTCTGGTGTGAATGTGGCTCTGGGGGGTCAGGGTGTTGGACCCGCAGCGGGGAGACCCGGGTTCAAATCTGCACCCCACTATTACATTTGCTGACATTTCAGCAGCTTCAAGCTTGAGCTCGACTAAATAATAAATAAATAAATAAATAAATAAATAATAAATAATAATAATAATAATTTATTATTTATACCCCGCCCATCTGGTGAAGGCCATGCCAGAAATATATATTGGATATATCTTTTATTCAATTTCTATTCACTAAATTTATACATTGCCTGTGGTGGTCACGTGGGATTACTATGAGGAATTATGAAAATATGGAGCAAGCCACTGTGTCCGCAATGAAAGCATTGCGTTGACTGGGCTTGAGTCAGTGACAATAATTCCTGATCAAATCCCACAAGCCCCTGCATCTCTGCCCATTTCTCTACACCTGACAGGCACGCATCAGCGTTCTAAAACACAGACCAGTTGCTTCACCAGGCATCCTGGGCCATAAGATAGTAGGTAACTTTGATGTAGTTTGTTAATCTTAGGGCCAGGAAACAGAGTTTCACATGGAAGTGATGAAGATGCCTATCCTTCCTTTCCTGTTTACTGCCTGTTTATGACCTCCGGGGTTTGCTAAATGCATTCCTCCTGGATTCCTGCACATTTTACCTGGACACGTATGCATGCTCAAAGTAGTCTTTGAAGTTAAAAGGATTTCTCTGACCTAACATTGTCCACACATGGGTTTTTTTGAAATGCTCAGAGGAAATCTGATTGGTTCTTACGAACACCGCGTAAAAAGTTCTTTTGTGACTAAAACGACCTGGGCCGAGGGGTGGAGAGTTTTCGCTCTTCCTCCCAGAGTTTTGCCTCGTGTTTTGTTTTAATCAGGGTCCAGTCCTTTCCTTCGCCTTCAGAACGCGACAATTGCCCTTAATCCAAAATTCACAGGGCAGTTAACAACACTGAATAATCATTATATTATTGCCATTGTTCTAATACTTATACCCCACCCTTTTACAAAACTGGGACTGCAGGCAGCTCACTGATAAAGGTTGCAAACATTAAAACCCGTATCGTAGGACTTTAAGCAGTCCTGGCTCCCCACAAAGAATTCTGGTAGTCGTTGGTTTGCTAAGGGTGGCGAGAGTTTATCCCCCTCCCAGAACTACGATTCCCAGAGCAGCTTAACTATCAAACCTCCTCTCTCAGGGAACTTTTGGGGTTTCACACCATGCCTTTAAAGTACTGTACTGTGATACCACTTTAAGCAGTCATTGACTTCCCCCGGAGGATTCTGGGAAGTGTAGTCTGTTCAGGGCACTGACAGTCATAGGGAGCTCTCCCTATTCCTCTCCCAGAACTACATTTCCCAGAGTTCCCTGGGAAGGAGCCTCGATTCTGAGCATCAAGACTCACCGCGCTGCTTCCTCTTCCAGCTTCAGGATCATGTCCTGCTTCTCTGACAGCTGACGGGAGAGGATCTCCTTCTCCTCCTGCAGCCGATCGCGCTGGCTCTCGGCTGCGGTCCCCTTCTGCCTCGCAGCCTCCAGCTCTGCAGAAAGAGCGCAGGGTCAAGACTGGGTTAGAAACTCAGATACAGGGAAGTTTTTAATGTGTGACATTTTAATGTATTTTTAATCTTTGTTGGAAGCCGCCCAGAGTGGCCAGGGAAACCCAGCCAGATGGGCGGGGTACAGTTAATAAATTATTATTATTATTACAGTGGTACCTCTGGATGCGAACGGGATCCGTTCCGGAGCCCCGTTTGCATCCAGAAGCGAACGCAACCCGTGTCTGCGCGGAACGCGATTTGCCGCTTCTGCGCATGATATCATTTTGACCGTCTGCGCATGCGTGGGTGACAAAACTCGGAAGTAACATGCTCTGTTACTTCTGGGTCACTGCAGCGTGCAGCCCGAAAATACTTATCCCGAAGCTACTTCAACCCTTGGTATTACTGTATTATTATTATTATTAATAATATTAATAATAATATACAGTGGTACCTCGGTTTCTGAACAACTCAGTACCCGAACGCTGCAAACCCGGAAGTAGGTGTTCTGGTTTTTGAACTTTGCCCCAGAAGCAGAATGTGCTCTTGAGCTTCCGTTTTTACTGTTGCACAGCTAATTTGAGTCCCCAGCATCGTAATGAAAGCCTTCCATTTCTGATTGCAGTGTTCCGAGGTGATATTTGGTGCTTTTCTTTTTTGCTATTTTTTGCGCTTTTGTGTGGCTTTTCCATTTTTGTGACTGTGGCTTGTTTTTCGTTTTATGATTGATGGACCGATTGTGTGACTGCGGAAATGGGTAAAAGCCCCCCATCCAAACAATGACTATCATTAGTGCAGGTAATGGGGGGGGGGGGGAATTAATTTTCATCATCTACAAGACTGGCTTATTTATTTTATAGTAAGGAACATTGATTATTGCTTTAATTTTATGGATCAATGGTTCTGTTAGATAGTAAAATTCATGTTAAATTGCTGTTTTAGGAGTTGTTTTTTAAAGTCTGGAACGGATTAATCTGTTTTGCATTACTCTCTATGGGAAAATGCACCTTGGTTTTGGAACACTTTGGTTTTGGAACAGACTTCCGGAATGGATTAAGTTTGAGAACCAAGGTAGCACTGTATATAATAAGCTCATCGCCAAATGGCACCTTAAGCCTAGGTTGTGATCACCACAACGGACTGTCAAGGGGCCTTTTTTTTTTACAGTGAAAAATATTATTCATTTCATTTCTATACCCCTTTATTTATTTATTTTTACATATCAAAGCAGTTTAAAGCAATCCAGAATAAAATAAATTCAAGCTTCAGGGAAAACATTTCAGATCCTTCTCTAAGGGACATTCTGCTCTCCCCAAATTTATTTACCTACTTCATTTATAGAGCTGCCCCATAGCAGAAGTATTCTAGGAAGGCAGAATGGCATAGTGGTTAGAGTGTTGGACAAGATTAGGGTTCAAATTCCCACAGCCGCAGCCTCCTGACCTACCTCACAGGGTCGTTGGAGGGAATAACTGAGGAGGGGGGTGAACCAAGAATTCATTGGAGAAAGACAGGCTACAAATTCAAGGAAGAAGCTCTTCTGCTTGCCTGCTTAAGAAAGCTGGAGGGCCCAGCCCTCCCTGGGGGATGCCGTCGGGAATCGAACCCAGGGCCTTCTGCATGCCAAGCAAGTGCTCTGCCACTCAACTATAGCCCGGAGTCATGCCACTGGGTCCACCTGGCTCAGTACTGTCTACACGGACCGGCAGCCATGTCTCGGCCAACTTCAGAGCCGCAAATATTTCAGTTCCACTTCCCTTGGCTTTGGAGAATTTTTCGGGTGTTTTATGCAACATATGGAAAGTTAAAATTTAAAAACTTTTCTTTTACCCCACGGCTAAAGGATCTTGAGAGTTTTAGGACAAAACCAGAGGAAGGTTGACGCGTCTCCAAAAGTCCTGGACTCAAAAGGCGATGCTTCCCACCCATCCCAGGCGAGAGACACATGGTCGATTCACCTGTCTGCAGGTGAATCTTGGCTGCAGTTAGCTCATTTCCCCGTCCCAAGGCTTCGACCAGCTCCTGTGTTGCATTCTCCAGCTTCCTGCACACCTGCAGGCAGCAAAGGATTAAGAAGGGTTAAGTCTGAAATAAATAAATTAAGCTCTTATATATATAATAAATGTTCATAAATGTACCAAGCAAACACGTACATAAATATATAAACCACATGTCTGAAGCAGCACAGGAAAGCAGTCCTGGAGCCATTCTGGCTCCCAGACTGACCAAATGTTTTCTCTGCGAGGTCAAAGGAAAATGGAAAAGCCTCCCTATTGTCTTTTCATTCACAAAACCTGTCTTAAGGGCATATCTGTGTATGAATAGGGTGAGCCTGTGACCTGGCTCAGGAACTAAGTATTTATCATTACAAAAGACTGGCCAGGCTCCCCAGGGTATCCAATCAAGTGACCATTAATAGGTAACCTGCCAGACAGAAGATAAACAATGACAGGAGGTAAACAATGTACTCAGATTTCTCTTGAGCTACACCCCTTTCTGTGACGTAGTTATGATGTTTCTGGGGGTGGTCTTGATCTACAGGGTGGCAATTTCAAAAGTCTTTATAAGGCCTTGCGCGCCATTGTTCTGGGTTCCTCCTCCTTCCTTCGTGTGGTGAGTGAGGACCCTGCTGCAACAGATCAATAAAGATCAGGCTTACGAGCTGCTTTGCTTCTCAGTATTCTCTGGTTGGCCTCTGTTATTTTCTCTGACAGATGGAGAACCTACAAAGGACTCTATAAGGGCTCTTGTGTCCCCCATAAGGGAATAAGGGCAGATTTTCGTTTATTACAACTCCATGAACGGCAACGAGGCAGAACACGTTCGCAAACACCAACATAGAAATATTGTCAGAAGGACTGGTCTTATCTCAAACAGCCGTTGTGACTGAGTGGAGAACAGCCCCAAAATCTCACACCACTCGCCCCAGAACAGAACTATAGTGGGGAAAACGGCACAATGAGGCATTATGGAGATATGGTGGAACCTCCAAGTTCAGAGGCAGTCTACCCCAGAACACCGGGAACCAGGGAAATGGAGGGAGAGAGCAAGAGTCTTTGGCGCAAAGGGAGAAACAGGACTGGATTTGGGGCTGGGGGCCCGATCCAGCCCTTTGAGACACATACACCCTCCTCCCTGGTTCAGTTCCACCCCCAAGAGAAGACTTGCCTCGTGGTGCTGGGCGAGCTCCTGCTGGGCTGCCCTCACCCTCTGGACCATCTGCCCCATTGTGACTCGGAATCGGCCCGCCAGGGTCCTCATGGCCTCATACTGGAGAGAAAGAGAGAGAGATTTAGTCCCCCCGTCGGAGAAGTCTGGCAAAGGCCTTGGTCCTGTATACCTGAAGGAGCGTCTCCACCCCCATCGTTCAGCCCGGACACTGAGGTCCAGCGCCGAGGGCCTTCTGGCGGTTCCCTCATTGAGAGAAGTGAGGTTACAGGGAACCAGGCACAGGGCCGTCTCGGTAGTGGCAACCGCCCTGTGGAACGCCCTCCATTCAGATGTCAAGGAATTAAGCAGCGATCTTATCTTTAAAAGACATCTGAAGGCAGCCCTGTTTAGGGAAGTTTTAAATATTTAACGCTGTACTGTTTTTAACACTCAATTGGGAGCCGCCCAGAGTGGCTGGAGAAACTCAGCCAGATGGGCAGGGTATAAATAATAAATTATTATTATTATTATTATTATTATTATTATTATTATTATTATTATTATTATTATTATTTTAAAGGGAGCCGGGGAGGCCAGGAGTGAATCAGGACTCACGTTGCGCCCCATCTTCGCCCAGTTGCTCTGCAGCGCTGTCGCGAGGCAGGCCTCCTCCGCCAGGTGTTTGGCGTAGCCGCCCGAGAGATCAGACTGCAGAAACGACAAACGGGAAAAGTGTGCGGATGAAAGAGAGGAGCTTCCTTCAGGGGCTCGCAGCAGAGCCGGAAAGGGGTCCGAATAGGGCAGCCAGAAGGAGCGCCATGGAGAAAGGGGCTTTTGCGTTTCAAGGAGAGTAGACGACAACACAATTGAAGTTTATTACAATTCAGTGGCAAGAGAAATGGATGAACTACACAGAACTGGCTAAATTGACCTACAAATTGAGAGATCAGGACACCAGTGATTTTAAAGAATGGGAACTTTTCACATATTACTTAAAAAGACAACAAAAGGAATTGGACTCCTTGGCAGGTTTTGAATAAACACACACAACTTTATTGTTAACATAGTAGATAGATAATATAAGGATTTATACAATTTTACAGTATGCAGAGAACAATACGAGTTGAGAAATCAGAGAGAGGAGCTGAGGGAAGTCTTGGGGTTTTGATGGGGAGGTGGGGGGGAATGATGAGTATGAGATGTTTTGATATTTTGTTATGTTGAAATTGTCAAAAAAATTTTAATGAAAAAAGTAGTTTATTACAATTACGCATGGCGTGGAAGGAGAGGACAAGGAAAAGTTTTTGTCCCTCTCTCGTAACCCTGGGAGTCACAGACATCCAATGAGGCTGAACAATGGACAGATTTTTAAAAGTTCTTCATCACACAGCGCAGGGTTAAACCACGGAACTCCTTGCCACAAGGGGCAGGGATGGATGCTCTTTTTGAGCTGTGTCCTATACGTCCGTCCCTGTCAAAACCAGCAGAAGGCCACATGCAGACTCCGCAAAAGGCGCAGCACCTTAAAAATTAAAACCCGTTTGCAGGCGATTGGAAAGATCTGAGACCCTGGAACCCAGAGGTTGGGGCCAGGCCCCCGGTGCCTCCTTCCCCGCTCACCTGGAGTGCGTTGGCCTCCACCAGCAGGGTGCGGAGACGCCGCCAGGACCCGCAGTCCTGCTCCAGCTGCCCGATGCGTTGGGTGGCGTGTTTCCGGAACAACTCCAGAACGTGGTCTGCCTGCAAGGAGCGAACGGAGGCGGAAGAGGGATTACACAGGGAACTTTTCTGTCAGAGGATTCGCACAACTAACCCTTCCCCCTCTGCATGCAGAAGACCCCAAATTCAATCCTCCGCGGCGATTCCGGGTAGGGCTGGGAGAGACGCAGCCACCCTGAGAGCTGCTGCCCGCCAGTGCAGGCGATACTGAGCTCAATGGACTGATGGTCTGAACCATAATCAGGGAATTATGGTGCCCCATGTTTCCCCCACAAACAGAACAGAAAAGCTGGCAGGGCTCATCCGCCCACCTGCATCTTCCTCTGTACTCAAGAGACCTATGACATCAAAAAGCTTGCCTCTTTTTTTTTAACCTACCCTGAGCTAAGCAGTCTTTACAGAAAAGAGTAACACCTCTTTTAAAAAACAAGGTGTTTTTTTAAAAAAAAAATTAATTGTAAATTTTATTTACAACATAACATAAACCCCTCACCCCCCCAATACAGAAATACAATAAGCATAGCATACAACAATACAAAGAACCAAATAAAAGACTTCCTTTATCCTGTATCCGGCCTCCTTATTTACTTCTTATAAGCTGTTTCCTTTATGAATAATTATTAAGATTTTTCTAATTATAACTTAAATATCCACAAAGTCTCCTGCAGACATTAATTGAAACAAGTCCAGGTATGTATTTTAGGGCACTGTTTTGCGAAGTATTCTCTGCATTTTCCCCATGCTTTTTGAAACTCTTGTCTAGTATCTCTAATTGTATTTTGCATCTCCTACAGGCATAGGCAAACTCGGCCCTCCAGATGTTTTGGGACTACAACTCCCATCATCCCTAGCTAGCGAGACCAGTGGTCAAGGATGATGGGAGTTGTAGTCCCAAAAAACATTTGAAGGGCCGAGTTTGCCTATGCCTGGTCTATTACTCTGCAAGCCAATGTTCCTGTTTCAGTCCCTAAGAGGTGTTTGACAGCGGAAGGGACTCTCCTCACCTGGGGGCTTTTAAGCAGAGTTTAGATGGCCATCTGTCTCGGATGTTGAGATTTGTGCACTGCAGGGGGCTGGAGAAGAAGACCCTCAGGCATCCCGGCCACCTCTGTAATTCTAGGATCACCATACCTGCCTTCCCCCACCTTGTAGTCTCTGCTTTTCATTTTGTATTGTATTATTTTATGTACTGTGGGCTTGCCGTTGTTTTATTGATTGTAGTTTAGAAATTATTTATTGCAACTGTTGAGTGGATTTCTGTTTAACTTTTATATGTTATTATTATTTAATACTGTTCTAATGATTGCTGAATGTTACTTTTTTGATGTAGGCTGCCTATTTTAAAGTTTTATTATCACATTTTTGTATTGCATTAGATTGTCATAAGTTGTACATTTTTCGTTTCTTCAGCTTGTAAACTGCCTTGAGCATTGTAAGATAGAGAGACAGCATAGAAATTAAAAAATTAACTTTAAAAAATGATGATACCCACCCAAGTATTTTTCCCCAGAAAGAACCTGCTGTTGGGGTAACTTGAAGGAGTTTTTAATGGTTTGGATTTTCACTTATGCAAATATTGCTGTTGTTATTTTAACCTACAACTCTGTACAGTGGGACCTCGGGTTAAGTACTTAATTCACTCCGGAGGTCCGTTCTTAACCTGAAACTGTTCTTAACCTGAAGTACCACTTTAGCTAATGGGGCCCCCCGCTGCAGCACGATTTCTGTTCTCATCCTGAAGCAAAGTTCTTAACCCGAGGTACTATTTCTGGGTTAGCGGAGTCTGTAACCCGAAGCGTATGTAACCCGAGGTACCACTGTATTGCTTTGCTACCCGGTTTTCTGGTGCCTACGTGTTCTTGTATAATAAAATAAACAAACAAAGGTTGGACAGGCCCCCTGTCAGGGATCATCCATCCGGCGGGACTCCTGCATTGTAAGGGGTCAGAATAGATGACCCCTGGGGTTCTCGTTCCAACTCTATGGTTCTGCGATTCTACGCACCGCCTCCTTGTCTCTCAGGGTCTTCTTCCTTTCGTCCTCAATCCGGCTCCACTTCTCCCGGATGCGAGAGATCAGGTTGCCCAACTGCTTTTGCTGCAAGAGAGAGAGAGAAATAATAATAAATAACAACAATAATAAATTTTTATTTATACCCCGCCCTTCCCGGTTCAAAAACCGGGCTCAGGGCGGCTAACAACAAATATAAAACACTTAATCGTAAAAGCAGCATAAAATACAGTATAAAAACATGAATAACAATAACATTTGAAGGTCAGGGACCCTCCTGCCGGGGGGTGGGAGGGAGAAACAGACTCTGTGTCCCCTCCTCCCCACCCAGCCCATCGCTTGGGCCTCACCTGCTGGCTAAGGGAGCGACGGTCATCCTGAAGGCGTTGGAAGGAGGCTTCGGCTGTCTCTCGGAGAAACGTGGAATCCAAAAGGCATCCTCTCTGCAGGCAGAATGGGAGCCAGATCTACACACACGGCGCCAAAGGCTCTTTATAAGCTATCTCAGCTTACAAGGAACAGCCTGGTGCAGTGGTTAGAGCACTGGACTGGAACCCGGGAGAGAGCAGGGTTCAAATCCCCCGCACTCCTTCGAGTGGTTCCCTCGCTGCGAGAAGCCAAGTTACAAGGAACCAGGCAGAGGGCCTTCTCGGTAGTGGCACCAGCCTTGTGGAACGCCCTCCCACCAGATGTCAAACAACAACTACCAGACTTTTAGAAAACATCTGAAGGCAGCCCTGTTTAGGGAAGCTTTTAATGCTTAAAAGACTATTGTATTTTATTATTCTGTTGGAAGCCGCCCAGAGTGGCTGGGGAAACCACAAATAATAAATAATTATTACTATTACTATTATTATTATTATTACTCAGCCCTGCAGCTCTCCCTGGGTGTTCTTGGGCCAGTCCTCCTTGCCTCCTCCTGGCCCCAACTACCTCACAGGGTTCGTTGTGGGGATAAAATGAGCAGGGCGAGGAGAACCACACCTGCCCCCCTTGAGGAAAAGGTGGGATTTAAATGCAACAAGTTGAATAAATCAGCAGTCAAACCCCTCAAGCGGAAGACCTCGTTGCCATTGGCATCACTGTTCAAAAATTAATTTCCAGCAATTCAGGGTGGGAAACCAGCCTCGAAGGTGGTGCCAGGGGTGAGGGGCACCTGTAACCCTCCGGACACCACCGGACTCTGTCTCCCCTCACCCTCCCCTCACACCTATTTGCATGCCCAGCAACCAACCAACCAACCAACCCACCATCTCATCTGTGGCTGTGGCCAGCCTCTCAACCAGAGCACGCTGGTTCTTCAGAGTCTTTTGAAGGGGGTCGTGTCTCTTCCAGAGGGCCTCGTACATCTCACGGTACAGCTGCACCTCCTGGGAAATGAAACAATTATTACTAATAGTAGCAGCAGCAGCACACAAACTGCTTCCAATAGAAAAATAGAATCATAGAGCTGGAAGGGAACCCCAAAGGTCATCCAGACCAACCCCCTGCTGCCATGCAGGAACCACAACTAAAGCATCCCCGACAGATGGCCACCCAACCTCTGCTTAAAAATCTCTAAGGAAGGAGAGTCCACCATCTTCAGAAGGAGACCGCTCCACCACCGAACGGCTCTTACTGCCAGAAAGTTCTTCCTGATGTCTAGTTTTTTAAGCAAGGGAGTAGATGGCCAGTTGTCGGAGATCCTTCAGCTGAAATTCCTGCATTGCGGGGGGTCAGACTCTGGGGGTACCTCCGAAGCCTACTATTCTTTGTGCAGTGGAACCTCGGTAGCTGAACGTAATCCATTCCGGAAGACTGTTTGACTTCCGAAATGTTTAACAGCCGAGGCTCGACGGACGGCCCCGCAAAATCCATTGAGAAAATGGAGAAGCTGTTTGACTTCCAAGGCGCGTTTGAGAAACAGTTTCTATCCAAATGCGATTTCGGTTTTAAATGCAGTGTAGGTAGTCTCTATGTGAGTACAGTATATTGAATTCAATTATGGGGTATCAGAGTTTTTAGGGGCTAACCAGGCTGGGATAGTTGGGATAGCAGGCTTGTTGGGTTGTCAATGTCTGGTGTAGATTTTTCAGTTTCGTTGTTCTGTATGGGACAATGACAATAAAGATTATCGTATCGTATCGAAAGTGGAAGCAATTACAGTGGTACCTTGGGTTACATACGCTTCAGGTTACATATGCTTCAGGTTACAGACTCCGCTAACCCAGAAATAGTACCTTGGGTTAAGAACTTTGCTTCAGGATGAGAACAGAAATTGTGCGGCGGCAGCGGGAGGCCCCATTAGCTAAAGTGGTGCTTCAGGTTAAGTACAGTTTCAGGTTAAGAATGGACCTCCGGAACGAATTAAGTACTTAACCTGAGGTACCACTGTACTTCTGGGCTTTTGGCGTTCAAAAACCAAAACGTTTGGCTTCTGAGACGCTCAAAAACCACGGTTCCACTGTATGGTACTAATTTTAGGAGTTCTAGAAGAGAGTGCAGCTCTTCAGACCTCAAAGACCACTCTCCCAGCATGGATTTCCCTTTCCTTCGCTCACCAGATCTGCCAAACACAGGCGCTGCCCACAAAACACACACACACACACACACACACACACACACACACACACACATCCCGTCCCCGGCAGAGAGACAAAGCCGGGGTCAGCCCCTGCTGTCCATGTGCAGCCGTGCAAGGCTTAATGCCCGCTGGCACGCTGCAGGAATCCGCTGCCGAGAGAGAGAGAGAACGTGGCTTGGCCGCGTGAGGAACCCAGTGGCGCGAGAATGACCAGGCCGGCCAGCTGGTTTCCGCCCTGAACGGCTGGACCATCTTTGTGCAACGCTGGAAGCAGCGTGGTGCAGTGGTTAGAGTGCTGGACCAGGACCTGGGAGAGACCAGGGTTCAAATCCTCCCACTCGGCCACAAAGCTATATTAAAATAAGGAAAATTCTCAGGGATGATTCACACCCTGGCCGGCACTTTCTTGATCTCCTGCCCTCGGGCAGAAGATATAGAAGCCTGATTAGTCGCACCAACAGGGTGAAGAACAGCTTCTATCCGTGGGCTGTTAGGCTGCCGAATGAAAAGATGAAAACAACAGGGCAACTGACTTTCAGGTTTGGTGGGTGTGCGTCAGAAAACAAGGAGAATTAAGACTAAGAGAGCTGAGTGCGGGGTGCTCGTGTAATCTCACTGTATGCAAGTTGTACAAGTCACAATAAAGTCTTTCAATTTCAGTAAAGTCTTTCAATTTATAAATAATTATTTATTATTTATAAATATATTACTGTATTTATATCCCGCCCATCTGGCTGGGTTTCCCCAGCCACTCTGGGCTGCTCACAGTATATATAAAAACATAATAAAACATCAAACATTAAAAAACAGAATCTTATACAGACGATAGATAAACCACTAAATTAAGGTTACCAGACGTCCCCATTTCCTGGGGACAGTCCCTGGATTTACAAACCAGTCCCCTTAACAAAATCCATTGAAGTTGAAAAGTGTCCCTGGATTCATTGAAAAAAATCTGGCAAGTTTACAATAAATCAACAGAAAATAATAAATAAATAAATAAATAAATAAATAAATAAATAATTATACTCAAACTAGTCACTGCCTCTCAACCTAATCTACCTTGCAGGGTTGTTGTGGTGATTACATGGGGGGGGGGACCACGTACCCCCCCTTGCGCTCCTTGGAGAAAAAAGGTGGACTATAAATCCACTCTGCCCTGACCCAGCAGAAGCCTCCCTCATTTCAGTTAATAATAATAATAATAAAAATAAATTTTTATTTATACCCCGCCCTCCCCAGCCAAGACCAGTTGTGTGGCCTCCCTTGCCGGGTGATGGCGAGATCTCACAAAACTTGTGCAGATATCCGTGGCTGGATGAGGCCTCCTCCTTCTCTACCCGGGTCTCTTCCCTGCCAGTGTTAGAAACTGGGACAGAAAAACTAGGAGCAAATGGCTCCTGGGACCTGGATTGTGGGCACCAAAACAGAACGTCTAGTCGCCATTTTTTTGGGGGGGGGGGGGAGTCAGCAACATTTTTTATTTATCATTTTGATAAGCATGAGTTAATATGCAATTCACGTAAGCGACACATTGTTAATATCACATTTCTAGCAGAAATTGTTAATACAGTGGTACCTTGGGATGCGAAGGGGATGCGTTCTGGAGCCCCGTTCGCATCCTGAATAGAACGTAAGATGTGACAGCGCGTCTGCGCAGGTCGCGTTTTGCTGCTTCTGCGCATGCGCGTGATGTCATTTTGAGCATCTGTGCATGCACGAGCGGCGAAACCTGGAAGTAACGTGCTCTGTTACATCCGGGTTGCCACGGAGCACAACCTGAAAGCGCTCAACTTGAAGCACATTCAACCCAAGGTAGAATGTACATGTTTAATTTGGTGTTGGCAATAAAAATATTGGTACCATACTTTTCAAAACACTCTACTCTTTCTTGATTCAGGTAGGTAGGCGTGTTGGTCTGATGCAGTCAAAATATATAAAAAAATTGTCCAGTAGCACCTGAGAGACCAACTAAGTTTGTTCTTGGTATAAGCACACTGGGCAATTTTTAAATTTTTTATCTACTCTTTCTTGTTAAATTCCTTGGCCTATTGTCTATCCTTAACTTCGAGGCTTCAAAGCACCTACATTTCAGGAATCCTGGAGTGTCAAGCCAGGCGCAAAAATATGAGGCGCTCGCAAATGGAGAATCTTTAGGCGCCAAATGCGCCTGGTGCCCTGCTAATTTCGAACCCTGTTCCCTGCTTACCTGGCTGGGCTCAGAGATGGGGGTCTGGGTGGCTGCGTCCCTTTGATCCGCCGGTCCCACGCAGGCAGGCAACCTCTGGGAATTCAGGCAGTCCCGGATCTCCCGGGAAAGGGCTTCCACGACGATCTGGGAGCTGGCCAGGTGCTCCTCTAGCTCTGCCCGAGACAGGCTGCGCAGCTGGTCCTGAGACAAGCTAGGAGGAAACAGCAGAGAGGCCACCTGTGGTTTGCCGCATTGCAGGGGGCTGGACTAGAGGACCCTCAAGGGCCCTTCCAACTCTAGGATTTGGAGTCCCTGCTTTGCATGCAGGTCCTGGGTTCAAATCCCGACATTGCCAGGGCTAGCTGGGGGAACAGTCCAAGTCGGGGTGGCGTGGGGGGAATAAAAACCACAGCAGCCTCATGTGTGCTGGGGAAGAGGTGCAGCCAGGTGGCTGGACACCTGCTTGGCATGCAGAAGGGCCCTGGGTTTGGTCCTCCCGCTTGGAAGGTGTCTGAGATCCTGGGGAGCTGCTGCCGGTCAGAGGAGGCCATGCTGAGCTCGGCGGACTAACGCAGCCTGGCATTTATGGCAGCTTCCAACATATGCCACATAATCCCCCTTCCGCATTTGTACGGACCTGACAGTTTAGGGCGGCAGAACCTCCCTGCCTACTGATATTAAGCCGGTGACTTCACCGTACTGTTCAATGCCTCTTAAGGCATTTGTGGTAAGACGAGCCTGGCTAAACACTGAGAAAAGTCAAGGTGAACTTTAACCTGTTTTAGGATTTTTTTAGTTTTGCTGATTTCCCCCAATAATTTTATTGTTTCATCTTTTCGTAAACTGCTTTGAGGGTGGTAGTTGTTGTTTTTATATTCAAGCAGTGGGAAAAAGAAAAAAAATTATTTCATACATTTTTTAAAGACTTCTGTCTTTACCCCGTCCTGCTTTTAAGAAAAAAATACATGTGTCCCTATCTCTGCCCCCAGAGGCAGAAGTGACGACTCTGTGGACCTCTTCCATCCCCTTCAAGGCCCAATCCCAATCCCAGGGCCGCTGTTTATCAGCTCCACCTGGTACGCAGGCTGAGACCCTCCCTGCCCGCAGACTGTCTCACCAGAGTGGTGCATGCTCTGGTTATCTCTTGCTTGGACTACTGCAATGCGCTCTATGTGGGGCTACCTTTGAAGGTGACCCGCAAACTACAACTAATCCAGAATGCAGCAGCTAGACTGGTGACTGGGAGCGGCCGCCGAGACCATATATCACCGGTCTTCAAAGACCTACATTGGCTCCCAGTACGTTTCCGAGCACAATTCAAAGTGTTGGTGTTGACCTTTAAAGCCCTAAATGGCCTTGGCTCGAGCGTCTCCACCTCCATCTTTCTGCCCGGACACTGAGGTCCAGTGCCGAGGGTTTTTTTGGCTTCACTGCGAGAAGCCAAGTTACAGGGAACCAGGCAGAGGGCCTTCTCGGTAGTGGCGCCCACCCTGTGGAATGCCCTCCTAGAAGATGTCAAAGAGAAAAATAACTAACAAAATTTTAGAAGACATCTGAAGGCAGCCCTGTGTAGGGAAGCTTTTAACGTTTAATAGGTTATTGCATTTTAGTGTTTTGTTGGAAGCTGCCAAGAGTGGCTGGGGAAACCCAGCCAGATGGGTGGGGAGTAAATAATAATAATAATAATAATAATAATAATAATTAGTGCCTAGCCTCTCTCTTTGCAAAGAGGAGGGGCTAAGGGGTCCCCTTCACAGGTGCTCTTTCTGCCCCCCCCCCAAGCCAGACCTTCGAGACCTGGACGCAGCGGCTGGATGGAGCAGACAGACACCAACGGAGGGTCTCAGTCCCCAGAGAAGACCTGGGTCTTAGGCGCTCTACTTACTGCCACAGCAGGGAGTCTGTTTCTGCTGTGCTGTCCTTGGTCAAAGTCCTCTCCTCCAGGGAGGTGTTGACACCCGTCTCCAGGAGGCTCAGAGGCGACATCCAGGTGGCCGCTGAAACCAGAGAAGCAGCCGCCTTCCTCTGCTGCCACAGGACAGAAGCCGTATTCATCGGGGATGTGTTGAGTCCTGTCTCCAGGATGTTCAGAGGGAGGATCTGGGAAGCTGCAGGCGACACAAAGGCCGAAATGATGCCATTATCCCTCTCTTGCTCCTGGTCCTCCGAGGATGCATTTGGTCCAGCCTCCAGGAGCCTCAAAGGAGAGACTGAAGCGAGGCTGTTGTCCTCCTCCTGTTCTTGGACAGAAGCCTTGTCCTGCAAAGATGCATTTGGTCCAACCTCCGGGAGACTCAGCTGGGGGACTGAAATAAGACCACTGTCCTTCTCGGGATGCAGGATGGAACCCTTGTCCTCTGAAGACACATTTGAGTCCAGGAGCTTTGAGGGCGACGTCCAAGTCATTTCAGGAACCACAGAGACTGAAGTGATGCCATTATCCCTCTCCTGTTCGTGGACAGAAGTCTTGTCCTCTGAGCATGCATTTGGTCCAGCCTCCAGGAGACTCAGTTGGGGGACTGAAATAAGACCACTGTCCTTCTCGGGATGCAGGATGGAACCCTCGTCCTCTGAGCGTGCATTTGGGCCGGCCTCTAGGAGCCAAGAGGGGGACGTCCAAGTCATTTCAGGAACCACAGAAACTGGAGTGATGCCATTGTCCTTCTCCTGTTCTTGTGCAGAAGCGTTGTCCTGCAAAGATGCATTTGGTCTGACCTCCAGGAGACTCAATGGGGAGACTGAAGTGAGGCTGTTGTCCTTCTCCTCTTGCTGGATGGAAGCCTTGTCCTGCAAAGATGCATTTGGTCCAGCCTCCAGGAGACTCAGTTGGGGGACTGAAATAAGACCATTGTCCTTCTCAGGATGCAGGTCAGAACCCTCATCCTGTGAGCATGCTTTTGAGCCGGCCTCCGGGAGCCAAGAGGGGGACATCCAGGTCACTTCAGGCATCACAGAAACTGAAGTGAGGCCACTGTCTTTCTCTTTTTCCTGGACAGAAGCCTTATCCTCCCAGGATGCATTTGGTCCAGCCTCTAGGAGACTCAGTTGGGGATGCAGGTCAGAACTCTTGTCCTGCAAAGATGCATTTGGTCTGGCATCCAGGAGCCAAGAGGGGGACGCCCAAGTCATTTCAGGAACCACAGAGACTGAAGTGATGCCATTATGCTTCTCCTGTTCGTGGACAGAAGTCTTGTCCTCTGAGCATGCATTTGGTCTGACCTCCAGGAGACTCAATGGGGAGACTGAAATAAGACCACTGTCCTTCTCCTCTTGCTGGATGGAAGCCTTGTCCTCCGAGGATGCATTTGGGCCGGCCTCTAGGAGGCTCCGAGGGGACCTCCCGGTTCCTGCAGAGCCTGGGGCGACGCTCTTCTCATCTTGCAAGGCAGGGAAGGGGAGACTTTCTCTTTTGGGGGTTTCCAAAGCCAGGTTTGGCTCGGCCATCTCCTGTGGGTGGCTGTCTCGGAGTGAGTCGCCAGGCAGCCGTTCCTGGCTGGGCTGCAGAAGCAAAAAAACCAACACAGGCTCATAGGATGTTGCAGAAATGTGAGAGCTGGGTTCAAATCCTGACTCAGCCAGGATGTTCACAGCAGAGGGGAAACGGAGGCAACTGCTCTCTCTCAGCCTTGCCTACCACACAGGGTTGTGTGAAGCTGAAATAGTTTGCGGTGGGGGGGGGGGATCGAAATGCAATAAAAATAAATAAAACAGGTCCTTTTCGATTGGGGCACCACCACAATGCCATTCCAGGAGGTGGTGATAAAATGCTAAACTTCTTGGACTGATTTTTATGATTCTGTGTTTCACTATTGAGAAAACAGTCCTCAGAGAGCAGCCTTGATTTCACTCATTTTTTAGTGACTTTTATTTCGTTAGGGCTGCCATTTTCCCGGACACTACTGGGATTTCAAAGGTGGAATTGACGTCCAGGGGTTTTCCTTTCAAAAAGCTCAGTAATGTTGGGGTTTTCCTTAGAAAAGCTCAACAACTTTTGCGGTGTCCTGGTTTTTACTTTTTGATACATGGCAACCCTAATTCCGTTTATTCATTACATTTGCATTGCGCCTTTTCCTTCCAGGAGCTCAAGGTGGCGTCCCTGGTTCTCCCCCTCCTCATTTAATCCCCACAACAACCCTGTGAGGCAGGTTAGGCTGAGAGAAGGCAAGGACTGGCCCAAGGCCACACCCAGTGAACACCCGGGTCTCCCCTATGCTCAAACCCCTAGCCCCCACTGGTCCTCTGGGTAAGCTGCCTTGGCCAGGAGGGCTTGTAAAAGACAGAAAGGCAGGCCAGGCCATTTGTTTCGACTTATTCTTACAGTATGTCTGTGCTGTGGGGGAGCATCTGGGAAGGCTGATTTAGAGGAAGCCAAGAGTAAGGCCTACATGCCTATGGCTGGATGACCTTTGGGAGTCCTTTTCAACTCTACGACTTCTTCCGAGGTGCCCTCCATCCATAGCTGTCAACTTTTCCCTTTTCTTGCGAGGTATCCTATTCAGAATAAGGGAATTTTCCCTTAAAAAAATGGAAAAGTTGACAGCTATGCCTCCATCCATTACTAGCGGCTTGGCTGCTCAATATTCTCTGGTTGGCCTCTGTTATTTTCTCCTACAGACAGAAAACCTACATAAGGACCCCATACTGGCTCTTGGATAAGGATAAAGGAGCAGTTGTTTCTTATAACACCAGGAAACCCAGGAACTTGCATGATGCTTCACCAAAGGTGTTTATGGGGGAAAGGGGAAACTTATATAAAAGTAAGAGAATCCTTTTGTTCAGGGCTTCTTCCTGCTTCTTCTCTGGGGTGGGTGGAAGTTCTGTTGCTGAAATCTTGGAAGTGATTCTTTTAATAATAATAAATAATAAATGTTATTTATACCCCACCCTCCCCGGCCAGAGCCGGGCTCAGGGCGGCTAACACCAATAAAATCACAGTAAAAACATAATTGGGGCGGGGGGAGAACCAATTTAAAATACAGGTTAAAATGCAATTGAAAATGCAGCTTCATTTAAAAAGTAGCCAATAGATCAAGAACAGAAGGGCCAGTCTGAGTCCAAACCAAAGGCCAGGCGGAATAGCTCTGTCTTGCAGGCCCTGCGGAAAGACGTCAAGTCCCGCAGGCGGGGGAGGGAGCAGGGGAGGAGAGTGCGGCGCAGTGGCTAGAGTCCTGGACGGGACCTGGGTTCAAATCCCCACCCGGCCCCCCACGAAGCTCCCTCGGAGCTGATGCTCCTCTCCCCGCCCCCCACCCAAGGAAGTTGAGGGTCTGGCCTCAAGCCCCCTTCCCGGGCGCTGGCATGAGCCGGAGGAGGGCGGGGGGGCGCAACCCCCCAATAAATCCCGGGACTCACCGGCTCCATGGCGCCCCGAGGTCCGGCCAAGAGCGCGCCCCGCGGGGGAAACCCAGCGCCCTCGCTTTTTTTGAATGAAACCGCCGAGTGACGCCACCGGAGGAGGCGGAGCCAATGAGGGGAGAGTGAGTGGGAGGGGCCCGAGCTCGGCCCCGCCCCCCGCGCGCAAGAGCTTCTGCAAAACGTTTCAAGCTCCGCTGCTGCCGGCGGAAGATACTCGGCAGGGCGCAATTGCCAGCCAAGCCGATTCGGCTCTTGCACAAATGCAAATCGTTCTGCATGAAAGAAGAATAGTACTTTCATTTTCGGAATGTATAGAAAACAGACAGAACAATTCCCTCCCTGGGGAATGCCCTCCCACCAGATGTCAAAGAGAAAAACAGCTACCAAACTTTCAGAAGACATCTGAAAGGCAGCCCTGTAGCTGGAAGTTTTCGATGTTTGACCAGGGGTAGGCAAACTAAGGCCCGGAGCCGAATCCGGCCCAATCGCCTTCTAAAGCCGGCTCCTGGACGGTCCAGGAATCAGTGTGTTTTTACACGAGATAAATGTGTCCTTTTATTTAAAATGCATCTCTGGGTTATTTGTGGGGCATAGGAATTTGTTCTTTTTTTTTCTTTTCCAAAATATATTCATTCATTTTTCCCCTCCAAAATATAGTCTGGCCCCCCACAAGGTCTGAGGGATGGTAGACTGACCCCCTGCTGAAAAAGTTTGCTGACCCCTGTGTTTGACTTTTATGTTTTTACATGTGTTGGAAGCCACCCAGAGTGGCTGGGGAAACCCAGCCAAGAGGGGCGGGGTATAATCAATCAATTAATGGGCGGGGTATAACCAATTAATCTAGGGTTGCCATATTTCAGAAAGTGAAAATCCAGACAGAAAAGGTGTTAGCTTTTCTAGGCAAAGGTGTTTTTCTTTCTTTTTTTGGGGGGGTGTGTGTGTGTGAAAAAAAGCTGTTGAGCTTTTCTGCAAAAAAACTGTTGAGGGGGGGCTTTTTAGGGTTTCCACACATCCAAACATTAACAGGATTCCAGCCCAGACAAAGTTCCTGGAAATTCCGGGCGTACGCGAACCCTAATTGTGCGTCAGCTGCTCTGGGTGCCTTTTTGGGGGTACAAGCACTCCAAATACATGAATGTGCTTTTTCTTGCTTGTGTTTTCCCCCTTTGGGCTCCTTTGGGAGGTAAGGGGCCGAGCAGCAACTCTGGAGAGATTGGTGGGGTGGAATAAAAAGGACACAGCCTTCCCGGAATTGAGATTTATTCCCCTCCGTTGCTAACCTTCCAGCCCCAGGTGTGCCGCAATGCGGCCTGCACAAAAGACGAGAACTCGCCATCCAACCGCAGAGACCCATAAAAGACAGATTTATTGCTCGTTTAAGAAAAAGCACAGAGACGGGGGCAGAGGAGGCGAGGAGAGGAAGAAGGTTAGGAACCAGGGTGGAGGAAAAGGTTCCTGTTCTTCTTGAACAGAGGGGAACCAGGCCAGAATCCATTCTCACAGGGAGAAAGGGGTTGGCACGTCTGAAGAGGAAGGGGCAGCAAGCCCATCACAGCCCGTCTGCCTCTTGCATAGCGAAGGAATATATCTCTCTACGGTTATTAGTCTCTCCTGTTAGATTAGCTGAGCTCAGGGTCAGGGTTGGTGGGGAAAAGAGGCAAGCTTCTGGATTCCACAGGACTCTTGCACACACAGGAAGTTGCAGGCAGCCAGCTGACAAGCCATCTTTGCCATTCTGTGCAACGCTGGCCTTACATGGGAAGGAAAATTCGCTGCGCTCGTCATCCCCGATCTCTGGGTGGCGGTCTTGCATAGTGGGAGAACTCAGTAGCCAGGGGGGTGGCAGGCAAAGTGGGGGTCTAGCCTCCCTGCCGGAGAGGGGCCGGCGCTTTTTCGGCCGGGCTTTCTGAGATCCCTGGCGGTTTCATTCGCCCAAAGAGCTGCCTGGAAGAAGCATTTCCTGAGAAGGTCTCACAGTGATTCCCGGGGGTCTCCCGAGGGCGGATTTGGGCCTCCTGAGAAGAACTGCTGCCCCCCAGGAGGATAGGGGCCACTCAGCCCGGCCACGGCTGGCCCGAGGGCGCCACGAGGTCGCAATCGAAATCCAAAAAGGTGGCAGAGTCCAGGGGGGTTTCCCGGGGGCTCTGCAGGCCCAGCACAACATCCACCGGCCGCTTCCGAAGCATCTCTGCGTCGAAGGTCATCCCGCGGAAAAAGAGGTGGCCGCGGAAGTGGTGGAGGTAGCGCAGGCGCCGCTGGGGGTCCTGGCACAGGAGCTGGACGGAGAGAGCGGGCAGCGGTCAGAAGAGACGGCAGAAGCTGCCTGGCACAAACTGTTTGCCCACCAAATGCAGAACCGCCCTGGATCCTGTGCCCCTTCTCTATGTGTCCCCTCCCCAAAAGGTTGGGAGAGTGGCAAGGGCCTTCTCGGTGGTGGCTCCCTGTCTGTGGGCTGCTCCCTCCCAAGAGAGGCTCAACTGGTACCATCATCATCCTGAGGAAATGGGCAAAAACATTCCTCTTTACCCAAGCCTTTGGCCATTAGATAGTCTATGGCCTGTTAAAGGTGGTGGGGGGCAGATATTATGATTAATATATGGCCTAGGACCCTCGTACTTATGGGACCACCTCTCCTGGTATGTCCCATGGAGGACCTTATGGTCTTCAAACAAAAACATCTTGGAGGTCCCAGGCCACAGAGAGGTTAGGCTGGCCTCAACTAGAGCCAGGGCTTTTTCGGCTGTGACTCCGATCTGGTGGAACGCTCTGTCACAAGAGACCAGGGCCCTGCGGGACTTGACATCTTTCCGCAGGGCCTGCAAGACAACAGAGCTGTTCCACCAGGCCTTTGGCCAAGGCACAGTCTGACCCCCTCCTTTGGTGATCCTCGTAGAACTCTAGCCCAATGGTTGCCATTAATTTGATTTTGAATTGATTTTAGAATGAATTTTAGGATGCTGTGTTACTTTTATTGTTGTTAGCCGCTCTGAGCCCAGCTTCGGCTGGGGAGGGCAGGATATAAATAAATAAATAAATAAATAAATAAATAATAATAATAATTAATGATGATGATGTTTACATTGGCCAGCAGCAACTCTCTGGGACAGGGAACCAGCCCTTCCTGGGAAGAACAGGACTGAGCCTCGAGGCCTCGAGAGAAGGGTGGCTGCTAGCCCTGGTGGCTGTGTTCTGCCCACTGCTGTCAGTCGCTGGAAACCAGTCCCTGGGAATCTGGTGGGCTTCCCTTGGGGGGCGCCTGGCTGGCGACTGTGAGAGCAGGAGGCTAGACTAGGTGGGACCCACATTGCCCGATCTACCAGCCAGGCTCTGCTTATGGAGCCTCCAGCTGCAGAGGCAGTCTATCTCACTTCCCATGTTCTTAGGGGCACATGGCCACTGGGAGAACAGGATGCTGGAACAGACACGGCCCCTTTTTTGTCTGATCCAGACAAAGGGCTCTGTTTATATTCTTGTGCCCAGAGTGGCTGTGAATCTAAGTTTGGCCTCATTTAGGGGCAATACTGTTGGGAGACATTCTGCACAGAAACATGTTTGTACCTTTAAGAACAGTTTTTGTGAGCCCTGGGCTAATTGGTTGCAGCTGGCCGTGGCTACAAAAGGAGAAAAGCTGCAGTTTGAACCCTGCCTGCAGAAATACACCCACAAGCTTTGCTGTTTGTTGTTTTAAAATAAAGTCCTTATTTAATTTGGTTTTACACCTGTCTCATGGAGTCACAGTCTCTGTCATCTGCCACCAGTGGAAAATTCCCCTCTAACATGAGTAGGAAAATGAGAGTACCCCTAAACATTTTTTTAATAGAAAAAGCACTGCTTATGCCCATAAGATCCTAGTCCTTATGATCTCAAATGAAGGGCTGGTTTTAAAAAGTGCCTTGCACCCATTCGGGTCCACCCAGCTCAGTATCTTCTGCACCAAGTGGCAGCATGCTGGCTGTGGGCTGAAGGGAATTGTGGCCCAAGACAATTGGGTTGGCGAAGGCCGGCTCAGATATACGTTAAAGGTTTCCGAAGTGGGAATCCCAGAATCAGAAGGGTCCCCCAGCGGTCATCTAGCCCAACCCCCTGAAATGAAGGAATTAGACCGGAGTCAGTAAGTGACTGAACCCTTTGACCACTTGCACCATCAAGTTTATGGTCTGTGCAATATCACATTTTAGATTTGCCCAAAGTTTACTATTAAGGAAAAAACTGCAGCTCACCTCGCTGAGGAGAAGGCGGAGGCCCAGGCTGAGGGTGCCTGGGATGGCGTAGCTGCAGCGTTTGACGCTCTCCAGCATGCGGACGTGGTCTTTCTCAGGGGCCACCGGGAACTGAAAAGAACGTGGGAGAGCTGGATTCCTCTCTGCCTCCTCGCACATTCATGCAGGAACGCAGAGTTGCCCTAGGATCCCTGCCCAGCAATTCCTCTCTCATGCAAGTCGCCCTCCTTTGCTACCCACCAAGAGAATTTCGCTGCTAGAACACAGCTGATCCATGGAACTCACTGCTGCAGGAGGCTGTGAGGGCCACAGAGTCGACTGGAGGAGGAGGACGGGAGGAATTCCTGGAGGAGATGGCTTCTAGCAAAAATGCTTCTCAATCCCAGTCGCCGGAAACCGCAGGCAGGGAGAATGCTTTTCTGCCCGGATCCTGCTCACAAGCTTCCCATTGGGGCATGTTTTGGCCCCTGTGAGAACAGGGATGCTGGGCTAGGTAGGATCCAGCAACAGGCTGCTCCAGTGGAACCTCCATGTCCAGAAGCAGTCTATCAAGATTCCTAGTCTCTCAGGGGCATTTGGGCCCTTTGAGAACAGGACGCTGGCCTGATTCCACCTCAGGCTCACCTTATACAATACTCTTTATTGTCATTGCCCCATACAGAACAACGAAATTGAAAAATCTACATAAAACATTCAAAACCCAACAAGCCTGCTATCCCAGCTATCCCAACATGGTTAGCCCCCTAAAAACTCTGATACCCCATTTTTAAATACAATATACTCCCAGAGAGACTCCTTACACTGCGTTTAAAACCAAAATCGCATTTGGGTAGAAACTGTTTCTCAGGTGGCTAGTCCTAGTCTTTATAACCCTGTACCTTCTTCCAGAAGGCAGAAGCTGAAAAAAATTATTTCCGGGGTGCGCACTATCCTGCGCTATCTCTGCAGCTTTCTTATGGCACCTGGAAGCGTAGATTTGATCCAAGGTGGGAAGAGTGCACCCAATTCTTCTCTCCGCAGTCTTTACAACCCTGGACAGCATTGTTTTTCCCCTGACCGTGCAGCTCCCAAACCACACACACGGACCATAAATTAATACACTCTCCACAGTACAATGGTAAAATGCCATCAACAGGTCCTTTGAGAGATTGTTTTACCAGAGGAGTCTCAGAAAATGTGACCTCCGCTGTGCTCTCTTCATCAGGTCTTTGCTTCTTAATGGAACCTCCATCTCCGGAGGTAGTCTACCTTCACAGGAGACAGAGAACTGGGGAACATGCAGTGGAGTCTCTCTCTCCAAGCTGCTTCACAGCCTTACCTTCCCAGTGGCTAAGCCATACAGCAGCACCCCCATGGACCACCAATCTGCCGCATGGGCGTACGGCCCGCCACTCAAGACCTCCGGGGCTGCAAAGAAAGAAGAGGGGAGGAGATATTGAGCCTTGCAAGGACGGCCCCCGTCCCAGTTAGCCACTGTCCCCTTTGCCGCCTTAACCGCCCGTACCCATGTACTGGAGGGTCCCACAAATGGTGTAGGCCCTTTCGCCCCAGGGCAGGTGGCGGGAGAGGCCAAAGTCAGTCAGCTTCAGATGACCTGCAGTGGGAGAGAGAAAAAATAAACAAATTAGGGCATTACAGCCCGGAGAGAGACCCACACAATTGGAAAATGATTTTTATTTGATTTTACAAGCATAGAGTTAGAACAATAAAAAGGTAAGGGGACCCCTGACCATTAGGTCCAGTCGTGGCTGACTCTGGGGTTGCAGTGCTCATCTCGCTTTATTGGCCGAGGGAGCCGGCGTACAGCTTCCGGGTCATGTGGCCAGCATGACTAAGCTGCTTCTGGCAAAACCAAAGCAGCGCACGGAAATGCCGTTTACCTTCCCCCCGTAGCAGTACCTATTTATCTACTTGCACTGGTGTGCTTTCGAACTGCTAGGTTGGCAACCACCGACCTTCTGATCGGCAAGCCCAAGTAAATATTTGGAGATTTCTCTCAATCTCCAGACTTCCCACCATCCCCATCCATGGGTCTTATTGTGAACCATTTTGACTGCATACTGCTTCATAATCCATATTTTGCATCTGTCCATATTGTCCATAGTGATTGTTACATTCCAAGCGTTATTAAAACCTTGTTAGTGCTTTCATCTGCTTACAGTGGTCTCCCAAATAAATTATCAATTTCCCCCATTCTTTCTTAAAGTTTTTGTCTTCTTGGTTCCTGAGCTTTCCGGTCAGTTTTGCCATTTCGGCATAGTCCCATCAGCTTGGTTTGCCATTCCTCTCTGGTTGGGACGTATTCATTGATATTTTTTGCAATTACACCTTTTCTTCCACAGAGCTGACGGTGTCGTGCACCAGGAGTTCCCGGGGGGGGGGGGGCAGAGATATCAAAAGTAGGGGGTCCGTGGCTTGATTTTTGAAAAACAGGAGCTCTGCAGCACTCCACTAATTAGGAACCTCTGGCATACACGGTTATTTGCCCACAGCAACCCTGTGAGGTAGGCCAGGCTTAGAGACACCCAGGCATGGCTGACTTGGGATTCGAACCCTGATCTCCCAAGTCTTAGTCCCACACTCTAACCACTGAGCCACTCAGGAAGCTCATGGGAGGGTCTGCGGATTTTGGAGGGTTTGAAGACAGGATATTGAGCACCCATCACACTGGATACGCACGTTGACTTTTAATTGCATTTTAACTACTTCTTTTATTTCTCACATTGTCCTTTATGGCGTTAACCATTTTAAATTCTACAGGGTGCACTAAATTAGAACAACAAAAAGGAGTAGCAATCAAAATGAAATTTACAGACCAAACAACATCTAGTACCATGCATTACAATGGTCACAATAGGCAGGGAAGTCATTCGAGGGGTTACAGGATTTGGGGTGGCTACTGTTGTTGTTGTTATCTGCCTTTCCTTCCTGCCCCTGCCCCCCCCCCCACTAGAACTCAGGGCAGCTTCCAAAAATAAAAAAACATGTGAATGATAACCACTAAAAAGCATTTAAATTCTGGTAGAATTAAAGCAACATAAAAAGGCAAATTTATTAAGGTAAGAATAATATGTTGTTTCCCCGCAGGACATTCAGGAACTCCCTCCCCTGCCAGCCCGAGCGGGACACACCTTCTTCATCCAGAAGGATATTTTCCATCTGTAAAGAGAAGAGAGCAGCCCAGTGAGGGTGTGAAGGTGCCCTCCCCTCTGGCGGCACTCGAATTCGGACCAAGGGTTCGCCAAGTGCAAGAGGCAGAGATCTGGGAAAGGGCCAGGCTGAAGTTATGCCAGGAGTTTGGGCTGGTGGGCCAAATCCCCTGAGAAGGGCCAATCCCAGGGTTGGGGGTTGGAGTGGGGGGTGGGAGGCCCTTGCCCATAGCGAAAAGGCCCCCCTAAAGGCATCTCTCAGCAGGGCTGGGAGAGAGACCCCTGGAGAACGACTGCTGCCAGTCAGTGGAGACAATACTGGGCTAGATCATGGACCCAGGATCTGACTTGGGATAAGGCAGCTTCCCATTTCCCTGCCCCACAAAGAAACTTTTTTGGGGAGGGGGAGGAGGTGTCTCTTGTACCTTGACATCGCGGTGGACGATGCCCAGATTGTGGAGGTAGCCTGGGAGAAGGAAGAGAAGGAAGCGTCATTCCAATTTTATTTTCCATCCGTGGTAAAAATTATGATTATTACTAAGGGCTGTGATTGCTCCAAAGTATGTGAAGAACTCTCTAGGGCTTGCCCCATTGGCGTGGGGCAAAGAGGTCAGCGGTGGCTTGGGTGAAGTTTCTCCTGTTCCACGCCCCACCCCAATCTCCCGGAGGAGAAAGATTCCAGTAGGATTTCCTTGGAATGAGGGACAGTGGAGATAATGGGGCTTTGAGCGCCCACAGCCTTATTTGTGTGTACAGTGGTACCTTGGTTCTCAAACGCCTTGGTTCCCAAACACCAAAAAACCAGAAGTAAGTGTTCCGATTTTGGAACATTTTTCGGAATTCGTCTGATGCAGCTGTTGGCTATTTTTTCCAGGGCACCTGCACCAATCAGAAGCCGCGCCTTGGTTTTTGAACATTTTGGAAGTCAAACGGACTTCCGGAACAGATTAAGTTTGGTGCTTTTGTTTTTGCTATTTATTTTGCGTTTTTATTTTTGAGGCTTTTTTGGTTCATTTGTTTTTGTGACTGTATGGAACCCTGTTCAGCTACTCTTCACCATCCAAACAATGACTATCATCAGGTATGATGCAGGTTTGAAAAATGTTTAATTTTAATTTTTATCGTGTACAATACTGTCTTATTTATTTTATAGTACTGTACAGTACATTGATTATTGGGACGCAGGTGGCGCTGTGGGTTAAACCACAGAGCCTAGGACTTGCTCATCAGAAGGTCGGCGGTTTGAATCCCCGCGACGGGGTGAGCTCCCGTTGCTCGGTCCCTGCTCCTGCCAACCTAGCAGTTCCAAAGCACGTCAAAGTGCAAGTAGATAACTAGGTACCGCTCCGGCGGGAAGGTAAACGGCGTTTCCGTGCGCTGCTCTGGTTCACCAGAAGCGGCTTAGTCATGCTGGCCACATGACCCGGAAGCTGTCTGCAGACAAACGCCGGCTCCCTCAGCCAATAAAGCGAGATGAGCGCCGCAACCCCAGAGTCGGTCACGACTGGACCTAATGGTCAGGGGTCCCTTTACCTTTACCTTTTACATTGATTATTGCTTTCATTTTATGGATCAATGGTCTCGTTAGATAGTAAAATTCATGTTAACTTGCCGTTTTGGGGGTTGTTTTTAAAAGCCTGGAACGGATTAATCCATTTCGCATGACTTTCGATGGGAAAGCGCGCCTTGGTTTTGGAACGCTTTGGTTTTGGAACGCACTTCCGGAATGGATAAAGTTTGAGATCCAAGGAACCACTGTATATGCAACCTGAGCAAGAGGCTCACAGCAGGAGCACCCCAGAAGATAGTGTTTCTCCATCAGTCGCTGGTTTGGCTCCAGCACAGAGCAAGCGGATCTCTTTGTCTCCTGCTCCCAACTGAGCTCACACACTCCAAAAAAACATAGGCTCGGAGGAAGGGCCCACCCATTAGCCCGGGGGAACCCCCTCACTTCATGGGGGCTCTTGCAACCTGGACTGTCCTTTCGGGCGCTGATGAGGACACTCAAGAGGCCAGCTCCGGCCACTGTCTTACAAAGAGACTTGTCCGGCCAGCAATGGAGTCATCTGCTAAGAGTTCAACCCTCACTCTGGACAGGACCCCCCAAATTAGAAGGGACTCAGGGCATCATCTAGACTGACCCCCCCCTTGTCCCCAAACCCACAGCACTTCCTTACCAAGCACCAGGACCAACTCCGTAGCAAAGAGGCGGATTACGGCTTCGGCAAAACGCCCAACCGACTTCCAAAGGGTGTACAAATCCCCAGTACTGCAATATGTGCACACTGGTGGTCAGGGAGAGAGAAGAGGGGGTGGGAAAAAGAGGGGGGTGTTACTTATAGAGTCTGAACAGAGCCTGCTAACCCCACTTTGCGCCTTTTGTACATGCAGTACATGTCCTTTTCCTCCAACGCATATGCCCCATATATCAAAAGCACATTTAAAGCACGCACCCCCTTCCAAAATATCCTGGGGACTGTCATTTACCCACTTACTGCGCTACAGTTCCAGGCACCCTTAACCAACCACAGTTCCCAGGATGGTTTGGGGAAAGCCATGCGCTTTAAATGTATGGTGCAGCCGGTGGCTTCCTCCAAAAGCAGCCCAGGAACTATCGTTTGTTCAGGGTGCAGGGAATCGTAGCACCGCGAGGGGTAAACTAAAGTTCCCAGGATACTTTGGAACGAGGGAAGAGGTGCTGGACGCTGTGCACACAGCCTTGAAAGCAGCCGCCTGCTGCCCAGGGGTGAAGGCAGAAGGAAATTCAGGGTCCAGGTGGGGTTCAAGGAGGGACAGAGGAGAGGGGGACCCGAGGCCAGCAAGAGAGACAGAGAGAGCCAATGGTGGTGCACCTCACAGGGTTGTTGTGTATGGCATTATTTTACCGTATTTACTCAAACGTAATGTGCACATTTCGCCAAATTACGCCGTGAAAATTAGGGTGCACATTAACATTCCCCAGCAGATCGGGTTTTTTGCTTCAAGGTTTTGAAAACCAAGGTGCCCATTAATTTAATGGTGCATTAGATTTGCATAAATATGGTATTCCTTATACAAATATTGAGGCACGTGGTCATTCAGTGCCATCAGTATATGCAAATGTCTGGCTCATTTAAGGGTACCCAAAACCGTTTTTTCGCAAGAACAACGGAACTTACAGGTGGAGAATACTTTTGTTTTTACAAAGATACCAGGTAGCTCAACTATTTTAGTAAAGTATTACTAAAACAGAAAGATCCCCTTTGCAAACAACACCATGTAAAAGTATTAACTCGGGCAAACAGTCCCTTTGTAGATCATATTATTTGAAAAAGCAATACCTTTAACTGCAAATAATATTATTTGCTAAGGGAATCTTTGCACGAGTTAATACTTTATTATCCCTGTATCTTTGCACTTTTGCTCTCCCAGGCTGTGACGCTTAACAGTCTGGGTTTTTTAGTCTTTCCCTCTTTTTTTGCACTCTCTTTTTTGTGTTAACAAATAAATTTTTTAAATTTTTTTTAACGGTATGTTGGCAAGAAGCGGGGAAGGAGAGAGAGGAGAAGCCGTTGATCCCTGCACAGGCCGTGAGAGCCAGCCGATTCCTATGGCAGGGGAGAAGCAGAACGAGCTCCGGGAAGAGTAAACAAGGAGTCACATGTGTGGGCAAAGGCTCAGCGGCACATGGCTGGACACGCACGAGGGTGGGGGGCACAGGGTGGGGAGAGAAGGACAGTGGGAGGGGGGGGCAGATCTCTACTCTAGCCGAGCCCCGCAGGGCAGATGGTCACTCACTAATAAAGAGATGGCGGCGGCCTTGCCAGCTGTCTCCCAGGCAATGCACAAAAGGGTGCCTGACCTGCTTCTGGAGAACAAGAGAAAAGGGGAGCGGTGAGTGAAGGAGGGAGCCCAGCAGGGGAGGGCTTTTGGGGGGCGGGTGGCAGAGAGGCTTCTTGGATTTGGAAGACATATCAACCTCTTTGCGGAGGAAAGGGGTCAATGGTGCAGCCGGAGATCTCAAAGGACCGAAATCTATTCAGGACAAATAAACATCATTCCATCGTCACGACAATAGACACACACAATTTGGTGGAAATAAATGCCCTCTTGAAAGGTTCGGCCTTTCGTCTCGATTCAAAATGCCACCCAAAGGCCCATCTATTGTTCACTAAAAATGAAATACAGTGGTACCTCAGGTTACATACGCTTCAGGTTACAGACTCCGCTAACCCAGAAATAGTACCTTGCTTCAGGATGAGAACAGAAATCGTGCGGCGGCAAGAGGCCCCATTAACTAAAGTGGTACCTCAGGTTAAGAACAGTTTCAGGTTAAGAACGGACCTCCGGAAGGAATTAAGTACATAACCAGAGGTACCACTGTACACGCATATAGATAACGGACACGCAGAGAGAGATTTGGTCTTCAGAGTGTGGTCTTAGAATGTTCCTTCTGGATTTTGATTCAAAATGATGCTCAATGGGGCATCTCTCCACCATCAGAATATATATATTATAGCGTCCAACATTTCTCTGATGAAAACAGAGACGTCCTATTGCATAATAATTATAACGATATTATTTCTACCCCAGCCACTCTGGGTGGCTTCCAACATATAAGAAACATAATAGAGCATTAAACATTTAAAAAAACTTCCCTATACAGGGCTGCCCTCAGATGTTTTCTAAAGGCTGGGGGTCACGTAACTCCCTATCCTCCGATATTTCTCTGATGAAAATAGGAAAAGTGGGACATTCCGGGATCAAATCAGAAACTGGGACATCTTCTGTAAATCCAGGGCTGTCCCTGGAAAATAGGGACACTTGGAAGGCCTGATATATATATAGTCACAAACACACAAATTTGGTGAAAATCAGAGCAGTCTGGAAAGGCTCAGTCTTCCAGCTTGATTCAAAACGGCGTCCAATGGTACCCAAACATTAAACACCCAACGTTTAACACAGCTAAATTTGCAGCAAAGGCTGCTCAACTTAGACAAGATCATGTGCACTCCCTTGCAATTTAAGATTCTGGGATTTTTAATGTATGTTTTATTTACTGTTTCGTGTTTTTCTTTATAATTCTTATGCATACACTGTGTTTTTATGTAACTGTTTAGTGACCACCTGTGTTTGGCTGTCTCGTTAATAACTTGGTGCTCATTTGTTCTCTTTTTCCATATCAGGAAATGAATGTTTGGTGTACAGTGTATTGGTTTGGGCTGAATATTGCTATATGCAGACTAATGGTTTTACTGGTGATTTGTTTATTGCATTGTTTGGTTTATGCTGCGTTTGTGATGTCCCGTTATGTCATTGTTTGCAAGCAGCATAGAAATACAATAAATTGAATAAATGAACAAAGGCCTTGAATCTCAAGTCCTGCAGGGCATCCCCAGGAGTTCAGGAAACACCCCCCCCCAAAAAAAAACCCTGTCCCCATGAGAATAGATATTGCACCCAGAGAGCTCAGGACACACCTGAATGCTGACCTCCTCCTTGCACTGCTTGAGGGTGTCTCGGCGGAGAACTTCCACTTTGGGGAGCACCTGAAAGGAAAGGAGACTTTGAGCAAGAAAGAGAGGCAGAGGACTGGGGGTCTTGGGGGTCAGGCAGGGCACTCACCTTGACCGCAAAGACCTTCTCTTGCCCGCAGTCTAAGACCTTCAAGACTGTCCCAAAGGACCCCTTGGCCACAAAGCCCAGGATCTGCAAGGATGAGGAGGGACAGGGGTTCAGTGGCAGAGAACCAACTGTGCATGCAGATCCCAGGTTCCAGCCCCAGGAGCTCCAGCTTCTCTGCCTGGAGCCCTGGAAGCCATTGCTGCCAGTCAGTGCAGACAATACTGATCTGACCTCGGAATAAGGCGCTTTCCTATGTTCCTAAATAAATTAATAATAATAATAATAATAATGTTGTTAGCCGCTCTAAGCCCGGCTTCGGCTGGGGAGGGCAGGATATAAAAAATTCTCCTCCTTCTCCTTCTCTATACCCCACCCATCTGGCTGGGTTTCCCCAGCCACTCTGGGCGGCTTCCAACAGAATATTAAAAACACGATGAAACATCAAACATTTAAAACTTCCCTAAACAGGGCTGCCTTCATACGTCTTCGAAAAGTCAAATAGTTGTTTATTTCCTTGACATCTGATGGGAGGGCGTTCCACAGGGCAGGCGCCACCACCGAGAAGGCCCTCTGTCTGGTTCCCTGTAACTTGGCTTCTCACAGGGAGGGAACCGCCAGAAAGCCTTCGGAGCTGGACCTCAGTGTCTGGACAGAACGATGGGGGTGGAGACGCTCCTCCAGGTATAAATGGGTCTTGGGGGAGCTAGATGGGTCACTCGTCTGCCTAAAGCAGCTTCTACCATTCCTATTTAAACCAGACGTCCATTCAGAACCATGAGGACTAGAAATTTGCTGTGTTTTTAAGGGAAGGGCCACTGCTCAGAGGTAGAGCAAGTCCTTTTCAGGCAGAAGGACTCCGGCTCTTTCGACAACAGCCTCTCAGGGCGGTCTGGGACAAAGCCTCCGTCCATGAGACCCTGAAGAATGGCTGTCAGTCAGACTGACAGCGCTTGGCTGGGTGGGCCAATGGGTAGAGTCAGGCTATGGCAGCTTCCGATGCTCCAAGGGGGAAGGCGCCACCTCTGCTGTCCCCAGTGCGGGTGCCCGTGAGAGGCAGGGTGGTGAAGTGGTTAGAATGCTGGACCAGGGCCTGGGAGAGACCAGGGTTCGAATCCTCCCACTCAGCCACGAAGCTCACTGGTGTGAGCCAGCTGCTGCCTCTCAGCCTCGCCTACCCCGCAGGGTTGTGGTGGGGATTAAATGAGGAGTGGGGAGGGGACCACATACAGCGCCTTGAGCATCTTCGAGGGGAAAAGGTGGGATAAAAATGCAAAAGAATAATTTCCCCCAAATCTGCTTCCTGAGACTCGCTTTAATTCCCCCCACTTAGGAGGGCACTGACCTTCAGCTGGCGCTGCCCCATTGGAGGCTGGACTGGGAATTCGGGCAAGAAGAGGGAGATGCACTGGGGCAGGGTCCTCTCAGCCCCCTCCTTCGCCAGCTGGGGCAGCTTCTCCACCACAGACCCCGACTCTCGCTTCAGGGGGTTCCTGCCCGCAAAGGCTCTCTCCAGGCCCAGAAGCGTGCCGCCAAAGCTGGAGAGAAGGTTCTTCCAGCCCCGTGCCCAGGAGGCGTCGGACAGGAAACTGGCCCCACGACCCTGCGGAGGAGGACAGGCATGGGCGAGGCCCCAAGGAAAGCAGGAGCAGACAAAAGGGACAGGCTTTAGTAACAGCAATAGCGGGGAACTTATTGGAGCGGAATGTCAGAAGATTCATGGCAAGTAGAAGAAAGCCCTTCTCCACACAGTGCCTAGTTTTTGTTTTTTTTAAGATAGTAAGAAATGTATTTTGGCTATACAAATTGTTTTATTTTGAAGTCATAATGATACTTGGTAATTTGGGAGAATTTGCATTTATTAGAAAATAGAGAAATTATTTACATGATGGAACAGAACCATTTGAGCACATTTTGTGGAATGAAAACTTAATGATAACGCAGCAAGATGAACTGTTCAATCCACATATTTTCCAAGAGTATCTCCATCTCTAAATATGAAATAGTCCTTGTTATTCAGCACAACTTTTCTTCCACCATACTCCGGTAGCAGAATCTTCTCACCAACTTTTACACTAACTGGAAGAGCATCTCCCTTCTTGCTTTTAGAGCCTGTTCCAACTGCCACAACAGTGGCTTGTAACACTTTCCCTTGTGATTTTTCTGGAATCATAATGCCTCCTTTAGTTACTGTCTCAGCTGCACACCTTTCCACCAATACACAGTCGAAGAGGGGAAGAATTTATTTAAATGCCTGTCCTGCCATGGCGTGCTCTTTACAAGGGCTCCTGCTCCCGCTGCGAGGACTCCTTGCACACACAGTGCCTTGTTAAACTCTGGAACTCCCCGCTGCAGGAGGCAGTGATGGCCACCAACTTGGACTGGACAAATTCATGGAGGAGACGGCTATCAGTGAGAACAGGATGCTGGATTAGATGGGCCCTTTTTGGCCCGATCCAGCAGTCCCTTCTTATATTAAATGCTGGGAATCCTGCACAGCAGGGGGTTGGACTAGATGGCCCTTGGGGTCCCTTCCACCTCCAGAGTTCTAGGATTCTATGACAAAAACAACAACCCAAACAGCACAGATAATTCTGAGGGTTTCTCGGAGCCCCTTTGAGGTTTCTGTGTGCCTGTCTTTTGCTTTTTGACCAAGCAATATGTAAAAAATAAAAATAAAAAAGATCAGCATTAAAGTATGAGCTTTATAGAAGGAATGCTTTTAAGGTACACATAGGACAGGGGTAGGACACCTGCTATGCTTGCAGAAGGCCCCAGATTCAATCCTGGAAGGACGGGGAGAGACCCCCCCCCCACTCCCTGGAACTGCAGAAGGTTGCTGCCAGTCAGTGTAGGTGGGATATAAATGTACTGAACTGATTAATTAACAGCAAGCGGGGCAGAGGGTTCTCCCAGCAATGGGGGGAAGAGTGTCTGAGACTACCCTGCCCCATAATTCCCATTTGCTGCTTCTAAGACAAAGAAGATATTCACAGGCAGGGAGCACTCCACGGGAGAAGGCAGCTCATAAAATACCTTGGGTTCCATTTCCCTTGAATGTGGTAACCAGTTTAAAAAACAAATCAAAACCTCTCAAGCAAACTGGAGTCCATTGCAGTTTGACTACAAATGGAGTCTCAAGGTCCCATTTTCGCGAGGGGGCTGCAGCTGTTTGTGCCAGCAGCTGTTTCCAAAACAGTCTCCCAAGGCAGCCCCACAGAGAATGAACTGCAGCAGTCCAGCCTGGGCAAACTGTGGCGAAGCCTGCCTTCTTCCAGAAGTGTTGCAGCTGGAGCAAAAGCTAAAACTACACACAAAATCCCTCTAAAAGGAGATAGATCCAATTTAGGTTCCAAACTGGTAGAATTTAATTTAGATTTGGGGAGGGGAAGAACCGTAACACCACCACCCTTAGAGCAGCAGCTCCCCAAATGAGTGGTAGCAAACACCTCGGGGGGGGGCGGTGACTTTATCTAGGGGGCGCTAAGAGGCAAGGGGGTGGCAGGCGGGCACTGGAGGTGCAAATAACTCTCAGACTTTCAAAAGCTGGTCTCACTGGATCAAGTCCATCCGTCTAATACATTTGGATTTTGAATAAACCTGCAGGAGCAGCAGACTGTTGCTGTTTGGCTGAACAAAAGCATTGTCCAGAATAGTGGGTTGCACGCTGCTTTTTATAGGGTAGGGGGCACCAGGGTGAATTTATTGTGTGTCTCCCCCCACCCCATTTGGGGACCACTGCAGTAGAGCTACAAAGCCAGAGGCTGGTGGGTTCCAAATATTTCTTTTGGGGGGATCCCTGTCTTGAGGAAGATGAAGGAATATATAGAGCATTCTCTGGCTGCACCCGCGGCAGAATGAGGCGGTAGAGTCCTGAGATAGCGGAGGGGCCTAGATCACATTTCAGGCAGCAAATAATAGGTGGGAGGGAAGGAGAAATGGGGGGGGGGGCTACAAGGGGTTGCCTCCCCCCGTCCCGAACCCTCTGCGCCCCACGAGGCGCCGATCCCCCACCGGCAGGCTCCTTTATTACTGGGCAAGTTTGCTTTTCCCGAAGCTCCTGTCGCTGCCTCTCTCTGCCTGGCCTACCTTGCAGGGCTGTCGTGGGGATGGGGCGAGGAGGGGGAGAAAGAGGGCAGATTGGGACGCCAGCGAGGCATCAGGCGCTCTGGCCACACAGCTCCCCTCGCAGGGCTGTCGGGAGGAGGAAACTCAGGGGCATAGCTGTCAACCTTCCCTTTTCTTGCGGGAAATCTCCTTATTCCAGCACCGTTTCCCGCTGCTGTCCCAGATTGTTAGATATCCCGTAGACTGTCCCCGGGACAGGTGAGGCTGCCGATCCCTTATTTTCAAATCTGAAAGTTGACAGCTATGCTCAGGGGAGAGGCGCAGGACAATGGAAAGAGGGGCGAGGCGAGGGCGATGCGCTCTGCACATGCCCAGAGGCTTACCTTGAGCATCCCGGCGGGCGGCGCCTGCTCCGGCGCCCGGTCCTCCTCGGGGCTGGAGCTGCTGCTGCTGCTGCTCCCCGCGCCTCCCATGGCCCCGCTGGCGCCTTCGGCCCCTCAGCCAGCCCGCCCCACGGCCAGCCCCATCGCCCGCTCCGCGCTAAGCCGCCTTACGTAAGCAGCGCCGCTAAGCCGGATCGCGCAGAGAGACTCTCTGGCCCCGCCCACTCGCGCAAAGCCACGCCCCGTAGGCAACTATAAGGACCGCCCTCCTTAGGATGAAAAAACGCAGCCCCGCCCCTCATGCAAAACAGGTCCGCCCCAACCGTCCTATCATTATTCAAGCCACGCCCCTCATGCAAAACAAAGCCGCTCCAGCTGCCTCATTATTCTCAAAGCCACGCCCCTTATGCAAAACGCAAGACCTGTGCTTCTCAGGATGCAAATTGCAGCCCCGCCCCCGCCACCCAAGCTCCCCCCCTCAAGCAGAACAGATTCCCCTCCCCACTTTATTATTATGCAAGCCACGCATGATAACATTCACCCCTGTGTGTCTTTCGAGTTGCCCACCCTCAATTCCTTATTCCCCGCCCCGTATATATTTTATTCCGCCCCCCTTTATTATGCAGGCCACGCCCTTTATGCAAAATAGAGCCCCGCCTGAGATTCTTATTATGCACGTCGATGGGGCGGGCCCTTGATACGCTTTATGCTCCACCCAACCTGCCCCAGGGAAGGGATCTGATTGGTCTCCGCCCCACCCCCTCCTGCCTAATGCATCAAGCACACCTGGGACTTCTCCCTCCCAGAAACTGGTACCCAGAGCATCTTTCCTCAATAGCAACTTGCCGTGGCATCTGTGTGGCAGGAAGGGGCAGTGTGCCCACTGGCAGATGAGACCCTGTATTACCATGCATTTTTTTGAGTCTTCCACCAGACACAGAGCTCTCCTTAATTTGTTTTTCCAGTGCCGCAAAAGAGGCCCTGGTATGAGCCTCTTCAACTTTCTTAAGAGGGTCCCAGGTGGGAATAGATATAGGTGGGGTGCGACCCCAGAGTGGGCTGGAGTGGCTTAGGGTGCCCCTTTTCTGCAGACCACATACTCCTTGCGTCTGAAGAGGGGGGCTGATTGGCCATGGGGGGCTGGTCAGTTTTGCTCCTGGGTTCAGTCCCCAGAAAGGGCTGGGCTTGTCCAGACAATACTGAGCAACCTCTTGACTGCTGGTTTGATGGCACCAGGTGATAAATTGTTTTCTGGGGTGGGTGACAGCCTGACACTCATCCACACCTTCCTGCAAGGAAACCACAGACGAGACACAGGTGTCTATTTGGACTCTTGTGGGTGCAAATCGTATCAGAGTGCTCAGCTTCCCCAAAGCAAAAAAAGCACTCCTGAAATTTACCTACTATGTGCCCACTTGACTCTTTTCATTGGCAAAATTGGCTACAGGGGTCACATAATACCTATTCTGCGTTTGTAAGAACATGGTCTTCTGGCATGGCAGCACCTTGACTTTGGAACTCCCTGCCTCTTGACATGAGGCAGGCACCTTCACTGTAGTTTTTTTTGGCACCTGCTAAAAACACTTTTATTTTCTTTTGTGCAGCACTTTGATGTTTTGTGTGTGTGTTTTTAACATTCCAGTGGTGTATAATCTTAATGAAATAATGTACCAGAGCAAGTCAGAATCGTAGAGTTGGAGGGAACCCACAGGGCCATCTAGTCCAACCCCCCGCAATGCAAAGGGTGCTTCCATGGCTGTGGGTGGGTGATTCTTAAGATCAAGCTTTGCTCAGCAGAGAGGAACTTGCACGCATTTGGCTCTGGGTGCTGCCTGCCTGTCCGCCTCTGCTTTTAACATTCTGTGTTCCGATGATCCTTCGATGGATGCTTGTCTTCCCAAAAATGCTGCTGTGAGCAGGAGTGAAAGATTCTAAGAGGAGCTTTCCATATGAGTGCAACCCACTGGGCCTGAACCCAAAATAATTCCTCATCTTAGTTTCTGCCAGACCTTTCTACTGAGTCCCCTGGAGTCGCCCAAGGTCACCTGCTTTGTTGGCCTCATTCCATACGCTCCTCAAGTGTTTCTGCCTGCCTGGAATTTGTCCTTAAACTCTGGTAATGACTCCTGCCTGCCTGGGATGGAGGACAGATACTGTGTTCGTTTGTGTGCAAAGACTAGCCTGCTGTTTAAAGGTAAAACCTGCATTTGTTGCCTCACCGTCTCTGGCCTGTGACCCCGCCTACCACTAGGTTGCTGCCAGTCTGGCCCCTGACACATTGCCCAGAAAAGATTATGGCCCTTAGGTTTGATAATAGGTTCCCCAGGACTAAATTCAACTCGGATTAAGTTGAGCTCAGGTCCGCTGGATTTAACAGGCCAAAGTGAGCCATTGCTGTGAATTTCAATAGGTCTCCTCTCTGTAAGAGTTAAAACTGCATCCCATTCAAGCTGTGAGGGGGGGCAGATAGAGGCCAGTTTTGAAAAGAGTCCCTGTAGCAAATGCCAGTGATATTTTAAGGGCCCCAGGGAGTAGCAGTGTAGAGCCCGCCTGGTCTGGGATAAATGGTTTTGGTGAAAGCCCAAATTCGAGCCCTGCCAGCCAGAACAATTTGAGAGTAGAGTTGGAAGGGACCCCAAGGTTCATCTAGTCCAACCCCCTGCAATGTTCAGATGCAGCAGGGCCCTGCAAAAGGAAGGTGGCGCAGTGCAGCTGAGAAAGGGCCCCAATTCCCCTGCTGGCTGCCCAGAGAGAGTAAAGACAGACACACACCCAGCTCCAAATGATAAACTCTCTTATTTAAACTCTGTTCCCCTCCCGTTTCCCAACAAACAATGCATAGAGCAGCAGGCGGACAGCAGGGCGCCCCCCCACCCAGCAACCACGCCAAGGCCAGCGCAGACAGCCCTGGTCATAGTCCCGTGGCGCCAGGCCCCCAGCTCCCGCGGGGTGACACTCCGGCCACAAGGCATCCGGCGGGGCTGGGTCCCTGGCTGTGTACGGACTCTCTGGGCGCCTGCACATCCCATGTGCCGCAGGAAATTTGGTCCCTGGTGGCGGAGACGTCCTCCCTGCCACCTCCTCTCTTCTCCCCGGCCAGCGGGGCAGCGGAGCAGAGGCCTCACTTGCGCCTGCTGAAAATGGACTTCTTCCCGGGGACCTTTTCTCCGACGCTCAGGCCAATGAGGAGCCGGGCCTTCTCGTCCTCCTCCTGCTGCTGAACGTGGCCCTCCAGCTTGCCCTCCTGCTTGCCCCGGGAATCGTTGCCGCCCGTGGCCGGCTTGAGCCGGAGCTTCTCCTTGATGACCTGCAAAAAAAGGGCACGAGAGGGAAAGGGGGCGCTTGTCTGCTCTGCTCCTTAAAAGAGGGTGTGGGGTGAACTTTCGGGTCTGTCCCCCATGCTGCTGCCGGCTGGCCAAGTTTGATTCCCGATTATTGCATTGGGTTGGACTAAATGACCCTTGGGGTCCCTCCCCGTCCTACAATCCCGTGATCCTTTAGCTGCGCTTCCTGCACTGCAGGAGGTCAGGCTACATGACTCTTGGGGTTCCTTCCAACTCTACAATCCGACGATTCTAGGCGGGTTGGATGGTGCGCCTGCCAATCGCCTGGCATAATGGTGTCAGGGGGTGTGGCAGGTGGGTTGTCCAGCCCACCTGCTGACACTTTGAGACTGCTGATAAAATATAGCTGAAGGGCTCTTCGGGTGCTTTTATGTAGCCTCCACCTCCAGAGACAGTCTATCTGGAGTCCTAGGTTCTGTGGGGTGTTTGGCCACTGTGAGGACATGATGCTGGATTAGATCAGCCTGATCCAGCAACCAGGCTGTTCTTATGCTCTTATAAACCCTAAGAGAGCTACTGCTGGACAGGGTAGGCAATACTGGTGGCTAGAGGGACTCTGCAGACGGCCGAGTCCTCCGTTCCTAGAAGGCCACCGAAGGCTACTAGCTGCGACGGCTGTATGCCACCCTCAGAGGACCCTGTTGTAAGGCTCCTTCCTAAGCCCTGGCAATCTTTCGAGCAGAGGCCTGGCAGGCAGAGGGTGAACCAGAAACTGCCCCCCTTGCAGTCTTTGGCCCATCCCGTGCCCCTTCCCCACACCCTCCGCCAGCACCCACTCTACCTGCGCCACCAAGGCCTTGCGGCTGTCCCGCTTCACCGCCATGGCAAAGTCCAGCCACGTCCAGGTGTTGTTGTGGTATTCCAGGCAGGGCAGCACCAGGTTGAGTTCGCCCCAGTCCACACTGTTCTTCTCCCCCTGGGGAAGAGGGTGGAGAAGTTGCAGGTCAGGGGAATAGGGACACCCTTCTCCTCCTCCCCGCCATGCTCCCCGCACCCGAGCCCCAGGAAACGGGAGCGCCCACATATCTGAAGGTTCTGGATGGGGTTAAGGCGGCAGCAGACGCAAGCCGGATCCAAGAGGTTGTGTGGGCATCGCCCAGGATGCCACAGCATCCCATTTGGGGACAGAGAGAAGGGAGTTCTTCGCACAGCTCATGGCTAACTTATGGAACTCTCTGCCACATGATGTGATAGTGACCACGACGGTAAGGAAAAGCCATGCTGCATTCATGGTCTGCGCCAAAACCCCAAACCCAGGACGACTGGCTGACCTTGTAGCTCACGCAGAGCGGCACTTGTGGGATCTTGATGTAGATGAACGAGTTATTCATCGCTGCCCTTTCCTTCATCTTGTCGATGTCGTCTACTGGGTACTAGAACCACAGAATCATGGAACTGAAGGGTTGGAATCACAGATAAAGACTCCCAGGCAGGCGGCCACCCAACTTCTGCTTAAAAACCGCCAAGGAAAGAGAGTCCACACCTTTATTTTTTAATTTATTAAACTTGTATACTGCCCTTCATCCATAGATCTCATAAAAATAAGAGAATAAATCACAGAATACATAATAAAACCAAGAAAAAACCACACAAAACAATACCTTCCCCACAACACGTTTAAAAGGGTATTGGATGTAATCAGCCAAATCGGCCTGGCTGAAGAGGAACATTTTCGCCTGGTGCCTAAAGGTGTGTAATGAAGGTGCAAAGTGAGCCTCCCTGGGGAGAGCAGTCTACCTTCCAAAGGAGTCCATTCCGCTATAGGGAGGGAGGAAGGAGCCTGTGTTGGGAGAAAGCACCAAGGGGCCCCATCTGCCAGCCAGGTGGGCGGCATATGCATATACGTAACATAACATAATGACCCTCCTCCACACCCAGCCCAACGATTATTATTATTTTTAATAATAAAATTCACTGTGCATGGCTGTCAGGTTGCAACCAGCACATTGGGGAACACCAACGCCCCCTGCGCCCACGTGCTCTCACACCCCACACCCCACACCCCACAAGAGGGGCAAGTTACCTCTGGCGTTTTGCGGAAGGAGCGCCTGACCCCTGACGTCCGGTTGAGGCCCTGAGCCATGCCCTTCCCCGTCCCCAGGGAATCTTCGGAGACCATGAGCTGTCGGGGCTTCACCACTGGCATGCCTGCATAGGGCAGAAAGAGGTGCAGGGGTGGGGTTCTGCTCCCAGCAGCTCCCCGCTCCCCACAGCACACCCACACATAAAGCCCCGTCCCTCCCCAGTGAAGGCGGAGTAGAGGGAGAACAGGGAATCGCTCAGGGGTGCGGCAGGCAGTCTCCTCTGTGGGGACAGGAGCTGGTCACAAATTTATTTCTGCCCGGCTCAGTGTTTGGGCAAGTGCCAGGTCATGGCAAAAGCGCACTGATGGGGTGAAACCAGATGGGTAACAGCAGCAAGAATATTATTGGCCCAAAAATGGAAGCAAGAAGAGTTACCAACGATTGAAGAATGGAAGATGAAGTTAATGGACTATGCAGAATTAGATAAACTAACAGGAAGGATTCAAAACCGGCGAGACCAGAAATTCACGGAAGACTGGAGTAAATTTAGGGACTATTTGAAAAGTATTTGTGAAGAACAGATGACGTTTGTAGGGTTGCAAGAAGTTTTGTGAGGAGCATTATTAGAAGTATTGTAAAAATGGACAAGGGGGAGGATGATTTGTTAAGAGATGTAAAGGCAATATGAAGTTAAGAAATGCATAAGAAGTGGTTAAAACGGTGGATCATCAGAAGGGCTGATGGAAGTCTAAAAAGATTGTATAAGTGATAAGTTTTGTGGTACATTTTATAATTTATGTTAAAATTAATAAAAAATATTATTTTAAAAAAAGCGCACTGATGGGAGGGCAGGAGGAGCTCACCTGTCGTCACCAGCTTGGACTTGTCCTCTTCGTCGCCCACCTCCTCCTCCTCCACGTTGCGTCCCGGGAAGAAGAAGCCCATCATGCGGTGGAAAAACTGGTGCGTCAGCTGGATGGTGAGGGGCACCACGTTCACCTGGCCGGGGCGGGAGGGGCGGTCAGGATCCCTGACATGTGGAGCCTTGCCACCCTCTCCCTCCCACCCCATTCTCCCTCACATGATTCCATAGACTGCCTGGACACAGAGGAACCAGCAGGGGAAGAAGGCCAGGAGATCTGGGGTGGGACAACGATGAGTGGTCAGAGGGAGAAGAGGGGGCAGACTGGGAGAAGGAGGTGTGAGAAGCTGAAGAGGTGACAGGGTTTGGTGAGCAGGAAGAGGCTGGAGCAGAGAGCAGTGCAGAATCAGAGGCTGGAGAGGAAGGGGGCCAGGAGACAAGAGGCAGGCAGGGGAGGAAGCCCTCTTGCTGCAACCAGCTCCCTTCCCCTCTGGTCTCCCAGAACCAGAAGAGGGATGAAAAGGGAGGAGCAAAGAGAGACAAGACAGCAGAGCCTTAGGCTGCTGGGGAAGGAACTGGGAAAGGAGATGTAAAGATCAGTGGAAGGCAGGGACCTTCAGTCCTTGGGGCAAGACCTACAGGGAAGTGATCCCTGGAGATTTTTAAGCAGAGGTTGACTGACCATCTGTCCTGGATACTTTAGCTGAAATTCCTGAATGGCAGGGGGTTGGACTGGATGACCCTCAGGGTCCCTTCCAACTCTGCAATTCTATGATCGCTAGACCTGCACTGGTTTCTTTGACTAAAGAGTTAACTTCAATGACACCGGTGAAGTTAACCGACTCCAGCTCCTGCCACATGCATCCCATCACCTCTCTCTCCCATGCGCCATCTCACCTCGAAATGCTCTTTGATAGAGATGCCACCCACTGGTGGCCGGACTTTGCTGAAAATCCGCAGGGCCAGCTGGCGGCCGGACTGGCAGGTGCTCTGAGGGCGGAGGACCACCTGCAGGCAGGAGCAGACAGGGCAAGGTGGCTGTGGTCACAAATGTTACACCCCACCCACTCAAAAGAAGAGGCTTTGTCATAGGGCTTGGCAGGCTCAGGAGCAGTGGGGAAAACACTCTGTGTATGCCCAGAGCATTCATTGGCAGAGCCCACGCAATGGCCCCAAGCCTCTCCACCTTCCAGGTTGGGCAGTGGGGAGTCCAAGGGGCGGGGGGGGGGGGGTGCTGGCTCTGCCACTGACCTTGTAGACGGCGTTGGGGAGGAGGTTGTTCATGGTGACCCATCCCAGCTCCAGGAGGTGTTCGGCCGTGTCGTCCGACTTATTCACCTGAGAGAGGGAGAGAGAGAGAGAGAGAGAGGAGGCAGCACGGTGAACCCTGACCATGGCAGCATCTGCTGTGACCCCCACTCTCCTCCTTGGATTCCTACATTGCAGGGCGTTGGATAGATAATAATAATAACAATAATTCATTATTTATACCCCGGCCATCTGGCTGGGTTTTCCCAGCCACTCTGGGCGGCTTCCAACAGAATATTAAAATACAATAGTCTATTAAACATTAAAAGCGTCCCTAAACAGGGCTGCCTTCCAACGAAGCTGCCAGCCGACAAAGCAGTGTGGCTTTCAGGGCAGAAGTTAAACAGACACTACAAGCTCAGTTTAATTCATTAATAAAACATTTCTCATTCTCCTGGTGTCATAGCTGCAAAGATGACCCCTGGGGGTCCCCTCCCCACTCTTCCACCCCACCTTGCTGTACAGGAAGCGCTGCAGCTCCAGCTCAGCAATGCCCAGCTGCCCGTCCTCCTCGGTCAGGCGCCACCGGGCCTGGGCAAAGTAGAACTCTGTCCGGCGGGCCACCCCCACGTCCTCCGGCTGCTTCCGCAGCTCCATCTTGTTGGCCCGCTGCAGCTGGAAGTCCTTGAAGCACCTGGAGGGAGGGGGGCAAGGTGAGGAGATGGGGGGAGGAATAGGGGCACAGGGAGAGACTTGGGGGGCAAGGAGAGCCCACAGCCTGCGGCCAGGGACATTGTGAGAGGTGGAACCGCAGCTGTGCAAGTAGCGCCTCCATCTTCCCTTTCTTTAACTATGTTAATGCCCAAAGTCAAGACTTCCTTATGCCAAGCGCTCAGTCTTCTCAGGGGAGAGGTTGCGTTAAGTTATGTTTGAACGTTGGATGTGTAGGATTATGTCTGAAGTCCATGGAAAGAACAGACACCATTCGATGAACTGCTAGGTAAGTGTTTAATGGTTCTTCCATTGGTATTTGTTTAAAAATTTTATGTTCTGTACTGCCCTGAGATCCAGGGGTATAGGGCGATATACAAATTTAATAAATGAAGAAATAAATAAAATAAAAGCCAATAAGTATTTGTTTTTTTCTAAAAACAACAACAACATGGGGCTCCCAGGTTTAGAGGCAGTCTACCTGCTCAGGATAACCGCTGCGACTGGGCGCCTCCAGCGGGAGCTTGCCCCTCCTACCTGATGAGGATATTTAGCTCTTCGCTTTCCTGCTGCAGTTCCGCTTTCTCCCGGCTCAGCTGCTCCTGCAGCTTCTGGTTGTGGTCCAGGAGAGACTCGTTCCGGCCGTCGTCCTGCAGCGACTGGAGGAAGGAAGGAAGGAAGCAAGCAAGCCGTCACGGTGCGCATGGGGACGTGGGATCTTGGGGCCCCCGCCAACCTGCTGCCCCCACTGCCTGCCCATCCCGCCTTGGAGAGGCACGCAGGGCAGGTCGGCCTGGCATATGGAGGGTTGAGGGGAGCGAGAGTCACCTTCATGACCGAGTACATCTGCTTCTCCAGGTGGCGGATCTGGGCCACATGCTGGCGGACGGCCTCCTGCAGGTGCAGGATGCTGCTGCGCTGCTCCTCGGGGTTGCTGGAGATCTCCAGCTGGAAGCGGACGCGCTGCTTTTTCTCGCTGTGCTCCTGCGAAAATGGAAACGTGGAGGGGGGAGGTCTCGAGTCATAACCTCAAGACCTGGGCAGGGACAACATGGAAAGTACAGGGGTCTCGATCCAGCGGGGTGGGTGGATGATGAGAGGGACCCTGCTTTGCCTGAGACCCAGGAAAACTATGGTTTCTTGTCCTTGGCTTACAAGACTACAGCTTGCTGAACCCAAAGGCTTAGCTTAGGTTAGCTGTGGTTTGTTCAGCTACCCCACCTGAGATGCAAAACAAGCCAGGGTTTTATTTGGGGGGGGGGATAACAAACCATGGTTTGTTTGCTTGGCTGTGGGGTGGCATGCAAGGTAATCGAACAAAGCATGGTTAGAACAAACTGTGGTTCAGTGGTAAGTGCAAACTATGGGCATCGAATGGAGATGGATGCTGGACGATTCCGGACAGATAAAAGGAAATACTTGTTCACACAGTGCATGAACTTTGGAACTCTCTGCCACAGGAGGCAGTGATGGCCACCAGATTGGAAGGCCTTAAAAGAGTAGACAAATTCCTGGAAGAGGAAGCAGCTATCAGTGGCTACTAGCTGCCATGGCTATCCTCTGCCTCCACTGTCAGAGGCAGTTGCACTTCTGAATACATTTGCTGGAAACCCCAGGATGGGAAATGGCTCTTGTGCTCGAATCCTGCTTGTGAGTTTCCCTTGGGGGCATCTGATCAGCCTCTGTGAGAGGAGGAGGCTGGATTTTTGGAACCTCCCGCTCCAGAGGCAGTCTACCTAGATTCCTAGGGGTATCTGGGCTCTGGGAGGACAGGAGGCTGGCCTAGATGGGGCCCCCATGGCCTGATCCAGCAGCCTTTTCTTACGTTCTTACAGACAAACCACACTTTAGCACTGCAGAAACGCAGGTAATGTAACCATTACATACTCCAGCCTGCTAGGATTTCTGAGGTTAACAACAACAAATAGCTAGTCCCCAATATGTCATCCCACCTTGCGCTTGGGCTCCACGTGGAGCAGAAGGTTGTTGACAATGTCGAGGATCATGGCGTACTGTGCTGGATTGGTGGAAATCTCCAGGTCGTGGTGGATGAGAGTGAAGGTGTCCGCGGCCCCTGGAGGGTGGGTGGGGGGTAAAAGAAGAGGGCAGAAAGATGCCCCCAAAGTCCTTCATTCAGAACCATGAGGACTGGAGCCTTGCTTTGTATAATAATAATAATAATAATAATAATAATAATAATAATATTTATACCCTGCCCATCTGGCTGGGCTTCCCCAGCCACTCTGGGCGGCTTCCAACAAAATATTAAAATACAGTAGTTCGTCAAACATTAAAAGCTTCCCTAATTCAGATGTCTTCAAAAAGTTCTATTTTTCTCTTTGACATCTAGTGGGAGGGCGTTCCACAGGGAGGGCGCCACTACCAAGAAGGCCCTGTAACTTGGCTTCTTGCAGGGAGGGAACCGCCAGAAGGCCCTCGGAGCTGGACCTCAGTGTCTAGGTAGAACGATGGGGGTGGAAATGCTCCTTCAGATATACTGGACTGAGGCCATTTAGGGCTTTAAAGGTCAGCATGGGGGTGGAAATGCTCCTTCAGATATACCGGACTGAGGCCATTTAGGGCTTTAAAGGTCAGCACCAACACTTTGAATTGTGCTCAGAAACGTACTGTTTTAAAGCTCTGGGACGCAAAGGCAGAAGGTCCCTGGTGGGATCTCTAGGGAGGGCTGGGGAAAGTCCCTCCTGGCTGAAAGGCTGGAGAGCCTTGGCTGCCAGTCAGTGCTGGCAATACTGAGCAGAGTGGAGCAACGGCTTGGCTCAGGATAAGGCAGCTTCCTCTGCCCCCTGGCACACCCACTACCTGCCACCCCCTGCCAGTCCCTCTGCTTCTCCTGGCTCCTCCCCACACACCTTCCTGCTTCTTGAGGAGGTCCTCCTTCTCAGGGTGGGCCGGCGGCTCAGGCGGCTTGATCTCGGTGGCCAGCTCGGGGTTGATGTCGTGGCTGTAGCTGATGTAGTACATGCGGCAGCTGCACCGTGAGATGATGCGCTGGACCTGCTGGGTGGGCTGCACCTCGTGCGGCTGGTTCCAGTCTGGTTGGGGGGGTGGGCGGAGGCAAAGAGTCGCAGGTCAGATATGGTACAAAAAGTGAATAAGGAGTGGGCTATCTTTAAGGAATACATCAAAATTTATGTGGGGAAAGTAGAATTTCCGACAGATATTGAGTGAATCCAGAAAATGATTAGAGTGAAAGGAGAGTAAAGTTAAGATAGAAGAAGAGATTAAAGAAATAATGAAGTGCGTTTAAGCTAGTTGGAAAAATAAAGTAGCGTAACAAGAACAGCTGGAAGTCAAGTCACCTGGTGAGTGTCCGTGTGGGGTAGGTCTGTTGATACATACAGTATAGATAGGTATTATATAGAGTAATGTAGGTACGTTTTATGTTATAAAAATAAGGTAGTGTGTTATGTATATGTACTGTGTAATTGGATAAATGTATATGTATGGGGGGGGGGAAACCAAAGAGTCGCAGGTCAGATTCCCAGGCGGCTGAGAGAACATCGCCCCCACCTGCCCGCCCTTCCCAAACCCCTGCCACCCTCCCCGCCGAAGGTGGGCACTCAGCTCTCCGGCCTGGCCTGCCTCCTCTTCTCTTGGCGCACTGACCTGTGGTGGTGCTGACCATGCCGCCCACCGCCTGCCCGCTCTCCATCAGCTCCTGCACGGAGTCCAGGCTTCGCTGGCGGTGCTCCTCAATGTTCTTGACCTGGGGGTGAGGGAGGCAGGGAGCAGGGGTGAGGGAGAGGGAGGGAGGGCAGCCTCCGGGGAGAAAGCAGTGTCGTCCAGAATTCGCCAGGCGCCAGGCACATTTTGCCCCTGGCTATCGGCCACCTGAGACCACTTGTTTTGGCAAGGTGTGTGTTGTGGGGAGCAGCACTGCAGGAGTGCAAATATCCAGAGTGTGGGAGTCAGGTGGGATTACTATGAGGAATTATAAAATATGCACCAAGCCATTGTGTCCGCGATGAAAGCATTGCGTTGACTGGGTTTGATTCATTGACTGTAATTTCTGATCAAATCCCACAAGCCTCTGCATCTCTGGCCATTTTCTCTACTGTTCATTTTCTACGCCTGACAGGCACGTATAAGCATTCTATACACAGGCCAGTTGCTTCATCAGGCATCCTCAGTACATAAAGATAGTAGGTTACTTTGATGTAGTTTAGTCTTTAGATAGATCTTAAGGGCAAGGAAGAGAGTTCACAAGGAGATGGTAAATCCTGCCTCTCCTGTTTACTTCTGTTTATGACCTCCGGAGTTTCCTAAAAGCATTCCTCCAGTCCTGTTTTATTTACTCTCAGATATGTATGCATGCTCAGAGTAGTCTTTGTAGTTAAAAGAATTTATTCTGATCGAACGTTGTCCCCACATGGGTTTTTTTGAAATGCTCAGGGGAAATCTGATTGGTTCTTACGAACACTGTGTAAAAAGTTCTTTTGTGAATAAAATGACCAGGGCCGAGGGGTGGAGAGGGAGGATTCTCATTATTATTGGCACCCCTCCCAGAGTCTTGCTGGTCAAGCCTCGTGTGTATTCTATTAATCAGAGTCCAATCCTTCCTTGCTTTGGGAAGGCTACACAGCACCCACCTCTAGCCAGAGCTGCACGTCTTCGTGCTCGGAGGGGCTGCTCTCGGTGGTGGCGAAGTACTGCATCCCGTCCAGCAGGCAGGTCCAGGAGGTCTTCTGCTTGAGGGTGTCCCCATACCAGGCTGGGTGGTGCTGGCACTGGAGCAGCTGAGCTTTGGCGGCCGAGACAATCACACAGCCCTCCGTCTCTGCCCCGCGGAGGACCATCTGGGGTGGGGGTGGGGAGGGAGGAGCAGGAGTTGGCAACAGGCAATGTTTCACTCCAAAGAGACAGGGTGGTGCAGTGGTTAGAATGCCGGGCTAGGGACCAGGGTTCAAATCCCCACTCAGCCGTGAAGCTCTCACCCTGGGCCAGTGACAACCTCTCAGCTTAACTTCACAGGGGTCGTTGTGGGGATTAAATGAGGAACAGGACCTGGGAGAGACTAGGGTTCAAATCCCCGCTTGGTCCATGACACTCACTGGGTGACCTTGGTGGGCTACTCATGGTCATTCTCAACCCAGCCTACCTGGCAGGGTCGTTGTGGGGATAAAATGGGGAGTGAAGAACCAGGGAGGCCACCTTGAGCTCCTTGGAGGAAAAGGTGACACATGAATGTAACGCTCTCCCATCAGATGTCAAAGGAAAAAACAACTATCTGATGTTTAGAAGACACCTAAAGTTTTTTAATGACTGGTGTTTTAATGTATTTTTAATCTTCGGTGGAAGCCGCCCAGAGTGGCTGAGGAGACGCAGCCGGATATAAGTAATAAATTATTATTATTATTGTTATTGTTATGATGAATAAATAAAGTCACTAAAAGACTGGAGTGACATCAAATATACAATCCAAGGCTGCCGTCTCAGCCACCAGCAGTTGAAGGTGGCAGATGCACCTTCACGGGAGGTTTTTAAAACACAGGCCATCTATGAGGGATTCTGTAAGTATGATCCCTGCATTGCAGGAGGTTGGACTAGATGAGCCTTCCGACTCTATGAATAGTACATAAAACCATACAGCAAAATCCATATAAGAGAAGCTTAAAACAGACACCATTTCACTATTGTGGAATGGTCCATTCTTAATTGCCTGCATGGGCTGGGCCGAATAGGAAAGTTTTCAGCAGGCATTTAAAAGTAGGAACAGAAAGCACCTGCTGAACCTCCAGTGGCAGGGAGTTCCACAGGGCTGTGCCATTGACACTAAGGACTAGGCACCTTGCTGTTGTCAAATGAGCCCCACTGACCTGGGGAATGGCCTACGATGTTCCTGCAAGTGAATCGCCTTTGATAAGATGCAGGCTAACCCCCTCAAAACAGTCAGCCCCCCCAAAGCTGCCCAACCAAGCAAAGTATCCCTGCAACCCCGGTTGCTCACTCCGCTGGGTGAGAGGTGGCAGCAGCCCCCGTTTCCCACCCAGCAAGGAGGAAGGGGGGCCGTGGCAGGTGGCAAATACCTGGCAGTTGACCAGCTCGATAAGGCAGTTTCGGTTGAAGATGTCGTCCGTCTGGCAGGCAGCAATCCCACACAGCTGCTCGCTCACCCCGGAATCCTCCTCTGTGAAGACCACAAAGCGGTCCGTCTCCTCGATCAGCTTCTTGAGCATGTAGGCTCCTGGGGGGAATCACAGATTTCAAGAGTTGGGGGAACCCCAAGGGCCAACTAGTGCACCCCTGAGAAAGACGAAAGGCTGGGGTGAGAGGTGGGTGTAGGAAGAGCTCTATGGTCTGGGTGTGAGAGGAAAAGTACACAGAGCTGGACCGGGAAAGTTTGTCCACAGTAGTTCATGCGCTGGGGACTTCAGGGCTGGACTACTGCAGTGCGCTCTGTGTGGGGCCTCCCTTGCATGTGATTCAGAAGCTGCAGTTGGCGCAGGATGCTGCAGCCCGATTGCTGACAGGAGCAAGGCCTTGTCAGCATTGAACTCCTGTGCTCAGATATACACACTGGCTGCCAATTTGTTACCGCGCAAGTTTCAAGATGTTATCAGTATATAAAGCCCTTAATAACTTGGGACCAATTTGCCTACAATATCACCTGACCCCACATGCACCCGCTTGACTACTTTGATCGGCAGAATTGCCCTGTTACAAGCGCCACATTATATCAGTTCCACATTTGTAAGTAAACAATATTTTAGTCTGGCGGCACCTACACTTGGGAACTCCCTGCCTATTGATATCAGGCAGGCACCTTTGCTGCCCTCTTTTCAGCTAAAGACGTTCTTGTTTAGACAAGCCAGTCCAGATGTTCAGAAAGTGGATGCGAGTTTCAATCCATTTTCAGCCTATTGTTGTGTTAACTTTTAGAAAGCCTCAAATTATTGCTAATTCTTCTCAGGGATTATTTTATCGCTTTATCTTTCTCGTCGAATGTTCAGAGATTTCTTTACAATGGAGTGGTGTATAATTTTTATGTAACAAGCAAAATAAAAAAATGAGGAAGCTGAAAAAAGTGACGCTCTTTCCCACTTCCTCTCTCTGCTCTACAGTGTGTTTCAAGGCTCAGGTCCGCTCTATGAGGTCCGTCTCAGATATTTACATGCACCTTCCCCTCTTTTTCTGTTGGGGGGAATGGGACACTGATCCAGCAATGATTGGTGACCAGGGTGTGTGTGCCTATGACACTTGCTCCATAATTCAAAACCCCCACATGCGAAAGGAGAGGCTCTTGACTTCCCCACCCCCCGCCACTTTACAGCCAACCCCTTTCCCCCTCCCTCACCTCCAGAGGGGCTGCGCTCCGTCCTGGTGCTGCTGGGTGGGGCGATGACCCTCAGTGGAGGCTGGTAGCTGGGGGGAGGCCCCCTCTTGGGCTTCTTGGCCGGCAGCTGGGGGTCGATCCTGAGCCCCTTCAGGGCCTCGGTGGAGAGGTTGCGCTTGAGGACCGCCGCTTTCTTGTAGCCGTCATAGAGGCCAAAGGCGATGTCCCGGTTTGTTGTGGTCCAGGAAGCCCGCAAGTCCACCAGGTGCAGCTGGTGTGTGTGGAAGACGTCGTCCCCGTCGCGAAGAGGCAGCTCCTGGCGGGGAAGGGAGGCTGTCAGGCACCACATGCGCCCCAGGGGAGGAGGCTGCGCAAGGGAATGATGGTGCCAGGAGCAGCGCGTAACGACTGCTTGTCACACAGGTAGGGCTGGGAATGCACACACACACACACACACACACACACACACACAAGCCTGGAGAGCTTCTAGCAGTCAGTGTCGCTAATGTGGAGCTACTGCTTCCACAGATCTTCCAGATAATGGGGACTAGAAACTTTTGTTTGTTTTTCAAGGGAAGAGCCGAATCTCTGGGACAGAGCACCTGCTGAGCTTGCAGAATGCTTGCACCTCCAGTTGGGGGCTGAGGGAAAAACCCCTGCCTGGAACCTGGGGGAAGGCATGCTCGCTGCTGAAGGAAGGGGGGCTCCTGCGCTGCTGCCCACCTCCTCGGCGGTGCGGACGCTGTGGCGCTGGTAGGCGAGGGAGGAGAGGCTGAGGAGGTGGGTCTTCTTGACCAGGGAGTCCAGGCGGTGGTCGGCATTCTCGTCGCAGGTGGAGGCCATCAGGTGCACTGTGACAAGGCTCAGGTCGCTCATCATCTGCGTGATGCTCCACTCGGAGATGAGGCGCCGCATCACCGTCCCGGCTGCAGGGTGAGAACGGCGGTGTGAAAAAGAGAGAGGGAAGGGAGAAGCCTCCCCCACCTGCCAACGTCAGATCCCCTCCCAGTTCCCACCCCCCTTGTGCCCACTCACCCTGGGGGATGAGCCTCTGGGTGCCTCGCGTGAAAATGTGCCCCTGCCCACACTCCAGCTGGATGCCACGCTGCTGAGCGAAGGAGGCCCAGTAATGCACCTGGAGGAAAGCAGGAGAAACAGGGTTTGCTTTCGTCTCGGCCTTCGGTGAAGTTCGCTCAAACAAGGCGCACAGGATTGGGGGGGGGCAGAGGTTTTTCACTCTCCCTCTTCCGCAGCGCAGCACATTACTCTCCCCAGAGCCAGCTGCTCTAGCACTGCCGCCACTCTTTCCAGAAACCATGCAAATTGAGTAATGCGAAGACCCGGTCATCCATCGAGCGACAGCAGCCAGGCTGCAACTGGCCCAACAATGGAGATCTCCTTCCCACATCATTCTAACTTGGGTTTCCCAAACTCAGGTCTCCAGCTATTTTCGGACTACAGTCCCCATCATTCCTGACCAATGGTCCTGCCAGTTAAGGATGATGGGAGTTGCAGTCCAAAAACATCTGGAGACCTCCTGGGGTTTCCAGCAACGGATTTTCAGAAGCATTGCTGTGTCCAACTGTGGAAGCCGAGCCACTGTGGCTAGGAGCCATTGATAGCCCACGCATTTGTCTAATCCTGTTTATTAATTATTTTTGGCCAAATCATTTTTATTGGTTTTTCCTAATTTTTACCAAATCAGCCACAATAAATTTTGCAAAAATTGGTTTCCCGCACTCCGTTCTTGCTGCGCCTAAAGTTTCTTCTTGTTGTTGCGGTATTTCCCTAGTTACTTCTAATTCACATTCCATTCCTTCCAATTAACTTTATATTACAATAGTTTGTTGTTGTTTTAAAACTTGGTGCCCTTAAGCATCAGCTATCCACTTGCCAATTTTAACGCTTACAATATCTACAAGTAAGGTTAGTCAAATAATTATCAGTCCAGAATAAATGATAATTATTATCATTTCTAAAAGTTATTTTAATTTATTTTAAGTTATTTTAATTTATTGTCTAGTCCTGTTTAAAAGCCATCCAAATTGGTGGTCACAGATGCCTCCTATGTGCTGTGTGAATAAATTATTACCTTTTCCTGCAACGTGCAGCTTCCTTGGGTGTCCCCAGGTCCTAGTGTTATAAATCTGAGGGTTGCCCCTTACACCCCTCCCCACTCGAGCAAATGGGCTTCCCAAGTGCAAATCCGAAGCCAGATGAGACCCCACCTGACCTCCGGGAGCCTGGCCTGCATCTCACCTGGAGCTTTGGGAAGAGGGCTGTGAAGGAGAGCTGCCGGTAGTGCTGGCCCAGCTTCTTCCTGATGGGCTTCAGGTTCCCGAAAAGTTTCCCCCGGCAGATGGGGCGCGTGACGCTGGTCCACGTGGCCCAGAAGTTCTGCATCCAGCGCAGGGTGCTGCTGTAGAGCAGGATCCGGGGCTGGGAGGGCTCTGCGGAGGGTGGGGTGGAACAGAAAAGTTGTCAAGATCAGATCATCACCGCCATCAAGACAACAAGTCCCAGGGCAGGGACTTATAACCACTTTATTTTATTTTTAAAATATTTTTTATTAAGAATTCCAATATAACAAATTATCATAACATATCATCTTCCTCACCCCCCCATTTTTCCCCTCCCCCCCAAAAGAACCCTCCCTCCCTCTCCAAGACTTCCCTCGGTTCCTCTCTCTGACTTTTCAGCACATGTTGTTCTCTGCATATTGTAAAATTGTAAAGATCCTTAAGTTGTCTATTATATTAACAGTCAATAAATTTGTGTATGTTTATTCAAAGCCTGCCAAGGAGTCCAATTCATTTTGTTGTTTTTTTAAATAGTTTGTAAAAAGTTCCCATTCTTCTTTAAAGTCACAGTTGTCTTTGTCTCTCAGTTTGTATGTCAATTTCTCCAGTACTGCATAATCCATCAATTTCTCTTGCCACTGTTCTTTCGTCGGGGTTTCCTCATTCTTCCATCCTTGTGCTATTAAGACTCTTGCTGCTGTTGTCTCGTACATAAAAAAATTATTTATTTTCCTTGGCATGTCAGGATTTATAACCACTTTAAATGGGATACTTGATTTTTAATTGCACTTTATTCATAGCAATAAGGATGCCCTCAGAAGGTGGACTCTCTTTCGTTGGGGTTTTGAATAAGAAATTTATTTATTTATTTATTTATTTATTTATACCTTGCCCATCTGGCTGGGTTGCCCCAGCCACTCTGAAATAATGGGATCATCTAGTTGGAAGGGACCCCAGGAGTCATCTAGTCTGACCCCCTGCTGCAATGCAGGAATCTCAGCCAAAGCATCCCTGGCAGGTGGCCACCCAACCTCTGCTTAAAAACCTCCAGGGAAGGAGAGTCCATCACCTCCCAAGGGAGACCGTTCCACTGTCAAACAGTTCTTGCACTCAGAAAGCTCTTCCTGATACTTAGTTGGAAATCATTTTTTAAATAATATTTTTATTGGTTTTACACAGTTTTATACATTTTAACTAGAACCATTTCAAACATTTAAGCGAAAGGTTCTTTTGAATCTCCGGACCTCCTTCCCTCCCTCCCTGGGTTCCATATTTAAAATTAGAACTTCTGCATCTTTTACCATTACCCATCTGTTATACATCCATAGTTACCATAGATAAGTCCACATTACAAGTGTCATTACATCCCTGCCAATGATCTTAACTGTTTACAGTGGTCTTTTAAATGAATTAAGAATTTACTCCAGTCTTTAAAAAATACTTGATCTTCCTGATATTTAGTTGGAAATTAAAATATTTCCTCCTGAGGGAATCAGACTCAGCCTGGCTCCTATACCCTACCTGACCCTATAAAAAAAAGTGGGGAAAACACACGACCCGATCTTCTGTCATGGATGCTTGAGCTGAGATGCCAGCATTGCAGGGGGTTGGACTAGATGACCCTTGGGATTCCTTGCGACCTCTACGATTCCACACTCACCCCCGCTGGGCCGCGTCAGGTCCATGCAGATGCAGAGGTTGAGGTTCTCGGAGCGGAAGGCGCGGTAGGAGTCATAGTCCTGGCCCACGGGCACCTCGGGAAGGAACTCTGGGGAGCGCAGCACCACCCCGTGGTGGTCGTGAGGGTTCCCGTGGCACAGCCACGTCAGGTCCAGCGTCATGCACAGCTGCGGCAGGTGCAGGAAGCAGCAGTCGTCATACCTGCCCCGGAGGAGGAGAAGGAGGAGGGTCAAACAGGTATTGCGCCCCACGGCAGGAGGGGAGCACCCTGATCCTGCCCAGCAACTAAGGGGAATCTCGGCCTGATATTAATATAAATAATAAAAGCATTATATTGTGCTTTGCTGTTGTAACCTAGGAGTCATAAATAATAGCAGTGCTTTATCCTGGGGGGACACAGGGGTACGCATGCCTCTAAACATTTTGTGAATCTTTATACTTTTGTCTATTTACTGTACAGTAGTACCTCGGGTTAAGAACTTAATTCCTTCCGGAGGTCCGTTCTTAACCTGAAACTGTTCTTAACCTGAAGCACCACTTTAGCTAATGGGGCCTCCTGCTGCCACCACGCCGCTGGAGCATGATTTCTGTTCTCATCCTGAAGCAAAGTTCTTAATCCGAGGTAATATTTCTGGGTTAGCGGAGTCTGTAACCTGAAGCGTATGTAACCCGAGGTAAAAGGTAAAGGTAACCCTGCCCGTACGGGCCAGTCGTGTCCGACTCTAGGGATGTGCGCCCATCTCACTTAAGAGGCCGGGGGCCAGCGCTGTCCGCAGACACTTAGAATCATAGAATCATAGAATCATAGAGTTGGAAGAGACCACAAGGGCCATCAAGTCCAACCCCCTGCCAAGCAGACTTCCGGGTCACGTGGCCAGCGTGACGAAGCTGCTCTGGTGAGCCAGCACCAGCACAGCACACGGAAACGCCGTTTACCTTCCCGCTATAAAGCGGTACCTATTTATCTACTTGCACTTAAGGGTGCTTTCGAACTGCTAGGTGGGCAGGAGCTGGGACCGAAAGACGGGAGCTCACCCCGCCGCGGGGATTCGAACCGCCGACCATGCGATCGGCAAGCCCTAGGCGCTGAGGTTTTACCCACAGCGCCACCCGCGTCCCTGCCAACCCGAGGTACCACTGTATTTATTTTTCACGATTTGAACTATAAAAAGGTGTACCCCTAAACATTTTTTTTTAGAAAAAAAGCACTGAATAATAGTAATAGTAAGGCAACTTATATGCTTATTTTTTTTCCCGCAAGGACAACGCTTATCCTGGTTTTTTCTTTCTTTCAGTGGCTTGTTAGACTCACTTACTTAGCCCACATAAAACCCTCTGTATTCTGCGTGCCTGGTTCATGCTTTCATTTCTCATCTTTCCATTTCCATCTGCTGTTATTACTGCTCTCTCTGGCTCCCTTCCCACGCTACATTCCTAGGATTCTCTGGTTATTGAAGAAACGCCAACAGAGGCAAGCTTCACTACCCAACGCCTGGGCAAACGTCATAGCGCCCTCCCCTAAAGAACCACCTCTCTCTCACACACGCTCTTGCCCTCAAAGCCCTGCTGCCCATGCCAATATGGCCACTTACTTGGAGGCTGTCCGGACGTTGACGTCCAGGTCCCCCTTGAAGACGAACTGCCCTGGGCGCCAGTGGAAGGAGAGGTGGCTCCACTCCCAGTGCATGTTCTCCGTGGTGTTGTAGGGGTCCTGCGGCAGAAGGCAAGGTTGGAGCAGAGACCAGGCTGTCCCCCTTGTTGGTGGCCGCCCAAGCCCATGACCCGCCGGGCTCCCTCCATGTCCTGCCGGGCCTCACCTCCGTGGCCACCTGGTGCAGGTTGGCCTGCTCAATGTCCATGTGCCAGTCTCCGTGGAGAAGCAGGCGGCTCTTGTCCCACCAGGGCAGGGGGGCGCTGGGGTCCTCGGAGGGCTTGGTCAGCAGGTCAATGGCCTGCCCAATCAGCGTCCAGGCCGGGTCCCAGCACGGGCCCCACACGATGCTGTACTGGAAGACCTCGGCTGCAAAGGACAGGGGGCTCAGGCGCGGAAAAGCACATTCCTCCGTTCAGAACCATGAAGACCAGAAACTTGTGTCATTTTTACCGGGTGAGCTGTAGCTCATGGGCAGAGCCCCTGCTCTGCCTGCAGAAGGTCCCTGGCTCCATCCGCTGCAGCATGTCCAGGTAGGGTTAAGGCTCCCTGCCTGAACCCCTGGAGAGATGCTGCCAGCCAGTGTAGGCTCAATGGGCTTGGGATAAAGCAGCTTCCTGTTTAAGTCAGCTGTTTATTCCACCCCATGAAGACTGGAACCTTACTTAACTCTCAAGGGAAGTGATCAAAGCTCAATGGGAGAGCCCCTGCTTTGCAAGCAGAAGGTCCCTGGTAAGAAACAACAACTTTTGTTTTATATATAGCTGCTGTAAACCTGCTGTTTTTTTTAATGAACAATGGCATATAAATATTTTAATAAACACAATGCTGTAAAATACTATTATTCTGAACTCTAGGTTCAGTCCCCAGAGGCATCACCTCTGGCGCGGCTGGGAAAGATTTCCTGCCTGAAGTCCTGAGGAGTTGCTGCCAGTCCGTGCTGCCAGTACTGAGTTAAATAGACTTAGAATAAGGCAGCTTCCAGCCTTCCCTTATCATTGCACTTTTCACTCCACCTTCCCTCTCTGACAACTTAGGCCAGCGATTGTGGGTCTCACCAACCTAGCGCCCTGTTTTATCCTCCCAGCAACCTTACGAGGCGGGCTGGGCCATGAGACAGAGAGACTGGCCCAAGGTCACACAGCGGGCTTCATGGCTCACAGGAAATGTTAGTTCACATCTTCCTGGTTGGAGACCAACCCTTAAACCCAGCCTTCTTTGCCTTTGGGTGCCTGAATGTTGCGTGACTAAAACTCCCATCATTCCTGGCTGTTAGATTGGCTGTGGATGATGGGAGTTGAAGTCGACAGCATCTGGTGGTCTAAGACAGAATCACTCTGCATGGAAAAACGATGACACGGGTTTAATTCCTGGAAGCATCTCCAGTTTAAAAACAACAGACGTTCTTTCTTTCTCTTTCCCTCCCCCCCCCATTTTTTATTTCCTCCCCCTCTTCTCTCTCTTTCTGTTCTGTGTTGCTATTCACATTAGCTTCTTAGTCTTGAAAAAGAAATTAATCTTTTCATTTTCCAAATTTCAATAAAATATATTCTTTAAAAAGGACCAGGTGGCAGAAGTGGGATTGGGGTAAGGACCCTTCTCTCTGCCTGAGATCTTGGGGGGCGTCAAGGCTGCCTCCTCCTCCTTCCGCCTAGCCTGGAAACCCTCGCAGGGACTCACAGTGGAAGTCGTGGTAGAACTTCAAGGGGGGCATGTTCCTCTCCACCGAGACGTCCCCCCAGGGCAGCCCCAGCTTCAGCACCTGCCGCCGGCGGGAGCAAGGCTGGCCCCGCTGCTCTGCCCCGGCCAGACGCCCCGAGAGCCGCCAGTCCCGGATCTCAAACAGGTAGCGGGGGTAATCGCGGATCCGCACTGCAAAGTCAAGAGGTGAAGCGTCAGGAAAGGGCAGGTGAAGTGACCCAGGGGATGTAGGAGCAACAGCCCCCGGACGGAGGCTGCAGCATTTGCGGCTTTTTGGAGAAAATGCGAGGAAGAGGCAGAATGGCAGAAATTTATAAAATGATGCATAGCCCAGAGAAATTGGAGAGGGGAAAGTTTGCCTCCCTTCTCTCATAACACCGGATGTCGTGGACATCAATGTAGCTGAATTTTGGAAGATCCGGGACAAGTTTTTAAAAAAAGGACTTGTACAGGGTTAAACTGTGGAACTTCCTCCCACAGGAGGCCACCAAGCTAGGTAAAGGTAAAGGTACCCCTGACCATCAGGTCCAGTCGTGGGTGACTCTGGGGTTGTGGCGCTCATCTCGCTTTACTGGCCGAGGGAACCGGCGTACAGCTTCCGGGTCATGTGGCCAGCATGACTAAGCCGCTTCTAGCGAACCAGAGCAGCGCACGGAAATGCCATTTACCTTCCCACCGGACTGGTACCTATTTATCTACTCGCACTTTGACGTGCTTTCGAACTACTAGGTGGGCAGGAGCAGGGGCCGAGCAACGGGAGCTCACCCCGTCGCGGGGATTTGAACCACCGACCTTCTGATCGGCAAGCCCTAGGCTAGATGGCTTTCAAAGAGGATTCGGTGCATTCATGGAAGGGGTGGGTGGCTATCGAGGTCTACCAGCCATGGTGGCTCTGCTCTACCTTCACAGCTGGAGGCAGCAATGATTCAGAATACCAGTTGCTGGAAACAAGGGGAGGGGGAAATTGCTCTTGTGAATCCTGCTTCCTTGCTTCCCATTGCGGCATCTGGCTGGCCTCTGTGAGAAGAGGATGCCGGACTAGACTGGCCATTGACATGAGGCAGCAGAGCTCTTCTTACATTCCTAATAGTGTCTCTGAGCATGTACAGAAGGCACCCCCCCAACAAGTACCTACGCAACCCATCCCGCATTCTCAAGACAAATGGAGAGGAGGAGTGCAGTGCACACACCCTGAGCTTCTTGGGGAAGAAAGGTGGGGAGTAAATGGAAAGATAATAAAGTTTAGAGCGTCGGGTGGTTTATCAGTAATGCTCAACTTATTTATTTGCTTATTGGATTAATGTCCCACAATTTTCCCCCTGAGGAGCTCATGGGTCCCCCCTCCTCGTTTAATCCCTATGAGGCAGTTGAAGCTGAGAGTCAGTGACTGGCGCCCCCAATGTCACCCAGAGCACTTCAGTGGGTTTTCAAACCCTGTTCCTCCAGGGAGAGCCACACTTTGGCTCTCCCTCAAGATTTATGAGGCTTGATAACAAACCATTAATTAGCTGCAGCTGCCCCCCAAACCCTGCAGTCACCTGAGGACAGTGCAGAGACCTTTCCTCTAGAGACCCCCTGGGCTCTAGGGCTGGGCAACATTTGGTTATCAACATCGCGATATATCACCAGCTAAACATCGTGAAGTACGGATATTTCACAATAAGGGTGGAGCGATGTAGAGGCATTGGGGGGTTTCCCCACATTGTGATTTTTGCATAGCAAGCACATACAGACATTATGATTCACAATATATCGCCAGGTCAAAAATTTCAAAGGCATTATCGTGATATGGACTCGAAACTGGTTTGGGACAATATATTGCCCAGCTCTAACGTGATTCGTGATACACTGCCAGGTCAAAAACTATGAACCCAATATCATGATATGGACTTCAAACCAGTTTTGGACAATCGTACCTTGAAATCTGTTCTGGAAGTCTGTTCGACTTCCAAAATGTTCGGAAACCAAAGCGCAGCTTCCGATTGGCTGCAAGAAGCTCCTGCAGCCAATCGGAAGCCGCGGAAGCAGTGTTGTACCTTCGGGTACCAAAGAACGTTCGCATACAGGAAGACTCACTTCCGGGTTTGCAGCATTCGGGAGCCAAAACGTCTGAGTACCAAGACATTCAGGATCCAAGGTATGACTCTATATCAACATATTGCCCAGCCCTACTGGGCTCCCTCCCTTCGCAGCCCCTCAAATATCCTCCCCACACGCCCTGGGATGAGGACAGTAAAGCCCCCACGTGCTGGGAATGCCAGGACCTCACCGAAGAAACTGTTGATGCTCCCCTTGACCATGCGGCACCAGTGGGTGATGAGGTCCAGCCCGTCAGCGGGGAAGGGGCTGGTGGCGTCCAGCTCGCGGATCTGCCGCAGGACCCTCTCGGCACCGTGAAAGGACTTGTCGGCCAGCGCCACCAGCTCCAGGCCAGCCACGGTCCACGTGAGGAGGGCTCGGCGCATTGGCGTGTTGCCGTAAAGGCGCTGCGAGCGCTGGATGTAGATCTCAATGTTCTTCTTCTCCAGCGAGGCGTACAGTTCCTCGATCTTGCGGGCTGGCAGCAGCTCCCCGTGCTGCTTGCGCAGGGCGGCCACCTTGGCATCGAGAAGGTGCAGCCGCTTGGCGCTCTCCTTGCTCTCGTCCTTCATCAGCTCGTAGTTGTCGCGCAGCTTCACCTCAAAGACGTCATCCAGGAAGACCCAGGAGAACTGCTGGACTTTCAACAGCAGGTCTGGAGGGAGCCAGGAGCCGGGGATTCCTCCGGCGCCGCTTCTGCCATGGAGACCCTTGAGCCACTTCTGGGTGCCCAGGGCTTCATCCAGGGTGGCTGAGAAGTCGTACTGGTAGGGGAACTCCACCGCCACGCTGGCGCACGACAGGGCCCAGACGCGGTTGCGCAGCGTGCTCAGGGAGGGGAACGGCCCTCGGTGCAGGATCATCTCCTCCAGCTCGGGGACGGCTTGCAGCTCGACCTCCTTCAAGACAAAGATGCTGTTGCCGTCAAAGCCGGCCGCCAGCCCTGGGCAGTAGGCGTGGAGAGACGTGCCGTGGCGGTTGAGCAGGAGGCGCTCAGCCGCCAGGCTCAGGTAGCGCATCTCCGAGACGAAGGCCGTGGCCTTGAGGGAGCTGAGCTCCAGCGTCAGGGTCAGCAGGCGCCGAGGAGGGGCGCTGGCCTCAGGGGAACCCCCCTCGGCGGTGGCGGGGCGGCCGTCAGCGGGCAGGGCAGCCCTCGGCGGGGACAGCAGGTCCCGCAGGGTCTCGTAAGAGTGCAAGGTGGACAGGAGGTGCTGGAAGAGGTACATGTGGTTGGCGGGGCTCCAGAGGATGGTCAGGCTCTCGCCGCACTGGACCTGGCGGTGGAGAAGGGCAGAAGGGTCAGGCCGGAAAGAGGAGAGAGAGAAGGCAACCCCGTCCCCCAAAACGCGGGGGAAGAAGTGGCTGAACAGGGGAAGATTCGGGACAGAGAAGAGAAAGGACTTCTTCATGCCGAGCGGAGTGAAACTGTGGAACTCACTGCTGTTGCAGGAGGCGGTGATGGACCACCAACTGGTACGGCTTGATTTAAAGAAGATTGGGCAAATTCATGGAGGAGGAAGAGGACTTAGCCTCTGGAAGCTGTGGTGGGGAGAGGGCTCTTGCTGGTTTCCCACGGGGGCATCTGGTTGGGCACTGTGGGAAGAGGATGCTGCGCCAGGTAGGCCATGGGCCTGATCCAGCAGGCTCTCCTGAGGTTCTTTTGTGCTCTTGATAGTATCAGGGTGTGATGGCTGGGACTCGGGCTCAGACTCGGAGCCAGAGGAGTCTCAGTCCGCACTGGACCCTCTGCCTCAGGCAGCATCTGAACCTAGTCTGGGGCCTGATTCTGAAGAGCCCCAGTCTGCACAGGTTCCCCTGCAACAAGCACCAGCTGGGCCGGCTCCAGATGCGGGGATGACCTCGTTGCCCTCTGCTGGGCAATCACGTACAGCTGCTCCACGACCAGTTGGGTCAGGAGAGGCTGAGGCGGCCTCTGGGTCTAGTAACCCACCGACATATCTCGAGCTGCAGAGACTGAGGTCTGAGAGAAGGAGAGACCTGAGTACTTGCAGGAGGAGTGCTTGCCTTCGGGCGAGACAGGGAGGTGAGTCACCGGGGAATCAGGAGGGTAGAGATAAAAGGCTGCCGGACCCTGCCCCAGGTTGCAGAAGCAACATTGCTGCTTGCTGGAACCTGCCTGAGACCCTGTGCCTGACCTAGCCCAGTTTCCTGCTTTGGCCCTGTTGGACTGACTCCTCGCGGAATCCTTGGATTTGGGACCGGTCCTGGACTGCGTGGCTCTGGTTAAACCCCGGGCCCAGCACACAGGGAAACCACGGAAGGGGAGGGTTAATCCCCGCTGCAGGAGGAAGTGATGGCCCCCAACTTGGATGGCTTTAAAGGAGGATTGGACAACTCCATAGAGGAGGAGCAAACTATTAATGGTTCCTAGCCAGGATGGCTCTGCTCTGCCTCCACAGAGGCAGCCATGCTTCTGAATCCCAGTTGCTAGAAACAGCAGGAGGGGAGAGGGCTCTTGCGCCCAGGTCCTGCTTGGGAGCTTCGCATGGGGGCATCTGGTTGGCCATTGTAAGAACAGGAGGTTGGGCTAGATGGGCCCTGGCCTGATCCAGCAGGCTCTGCTGACGTTTCTATGAAACCTCCAGGTCCAGAAGCAGTCTATCTCGATTGCCAAGTTCTGAGGGGGCATTTGACCACAGCGCAAGGCAGGCCCCCTTTGGCCCAATCCAGGAGGGCTCCTCTTATGTCCTTATGCGCATCAATAATAATTATAACAGCAAAATAAAAATTGTATACCGCCCTTCATCCAAAAATCTCAGGGCAGACCACAAAATAAAAATACAGCTGTACCTTGGTTTTCGAACAGCTCAGTTCTCGAACATTTCGGCTACCAAACGCCACAAACCCGGAAGTGAGTGTTCCAGTTTGCGAACTATTTTTGAAGCCGAACGTCTGATGGGGCTTCCGATTGGCTGCAGGAGCCTCCTGCAGCCAATCAGAAGCCGTGCTTTGGTTTTCAAACGTTTTGGAAGTCGGACGGACCTCCGGAACGGATTTCGTTCGACTTCCAAGGTACGACTGTACAGGTAAAAGCACAAATAAATAGTTAAATCAGAATAACCCCCCCCCCCCGTGTTGATGCCCCTTCTCCCAAGGTCCCAGGTGAGCAGGGAATTGCTGCCCGCCTCCCCCTCCCCGCTTGACAAAGGTGGACGGTGGTACCTCCAGGGAGCGGATGCTGCTCCGATAGGTGAGGGAGAGGCTGGAGAGGTCGGCCAGGGGGCTGGGGATGGCGGGGGCTTTGCAGCAGGGCTGCATCTTCTCCGTGATGCTCTTCACCAAGGCCAGCGCCACCCCCTGGACACTGATGGTACAGCTTTCAGCACTGCCCAGCATGGTCAGGGTGTCCAGCCTGGCCTCTGTGGCCCCTGGGGGGGGGAGAGAAGAAGAGGGAGGGAGGGAGAATGGATGGCACGCCGGTCAAGCTCCATTTATTTATTCATGGTATGATTACATTATTATTAGGATTAATATATTTAATAACAACCCGTCCTTCAACCTGTCCAAGCAATGTTAAAAACAGTTGCAAACAGCTCACAATCAGTTTTTTTGGTTTTTTGTTTTGTTTTCTTTCATGAAAAGAGTGTTCTGGGAACAGCAGTTTGCTCTTGGTGCTGGGAATTGTAGCTCCATGAAGGGCAAACTACAGTTCCCATGATTCTTTTTTGGGGGAGGGGGGGTTTAAATTTATCTTATTTATTTATTTCATAATTTACAGACCTCTTGATTGAAAAAAACACACCAAACAAACTTCAAAGCAGTTTACAAAAAGAATAATAATAAAAAAATCATTCAAAATAAGCAGCAAGAAATGATTAAAATCAGCTAAAAAGCAGATTAAAAGACAGGTCACTTTCTATATAGCCAGGAGAGGCTTTGCAAAGGTGCCTTCCTGGTGTCAAGAGGCAGGGAGTTCCAAAGGAAGGGGGTGCTGCAGCTCTAAATGACTGAAAATGATTTCTCCCTCTCCTGTAACACTAGAACTCAGAGATCCAAGGAAGACGAATGTTGGGGGGAAACAGGACAGATAAAAGGAGGTCCTTCTTCATGCTGCACTGAGTTCAAATTTGGAACTCGCTCACTTGTGCTCCTAAGGAACGGTGCCCCAATGGCTCACTGAGACCCATCTGCAGGTTCCCCCGGTCCTGTCTGACTTTGGGGGCAGAAACAGCCTCCGCTGCACCCCAAGGCTCTTGTCCCACCCCCAGCACTCACCGGCCAGGCTGGACAGGGTGAAGAGGTTGACGTCCTCCACCTTCAGGTCAACCTTCCAGAGGACCCCCAGCTCCTCCCCAATGGAAAGAGCTGCTGCCTCCTCCTCCTCCTCTGGGCATCCCAGGGTCTCCTCCATCCTCTGGGGGCGCCAGAGGGACAGCACCCTGGAGAGGCACTCGGAGCAGGTGTCCGAAGACTCCACCTGCAGCCCGCGGAGGGTGCAGTCCAGGAAGAGGGTGTCAGCGTGGGTGCTGGAGGTGCCCAGAGGCTGGTTGTAGCTGCCCTGCGGAAGAGGCCAGAAATGAGTCACTGGGACATTGTGATCCCAGGCAGCGGCCATGAGGACTAGCATCTTGGTTTTGTTTTTTTGGGGTAGATACCGCTTTAGAATTGTGAGGTCCAGAATCTTATTTTGTCTTCAGGAAAGGGCGACAGCTCAGGGCAGAGCGCCTGGTCTGCATGCAGAAGGGTCCTGGGTTCAATTCCCCGAACGCCGTCTCCAGGTAGGGCTGGGAGAATCCCCCACCTGCAGCCCTGGAGAGCTGCTGCCAGTCCGTGTAGACAATACTGAGCTAGACGGGCTTGGTTAAAGGCAGCTTCTTCATGTTCCATTAAAAATTTAGAAACGAGGGCAAAAACTTGCTTTTGGGGGGAAGGAGTCGTAGCTCAGTGGCAGAGCTCCTGCTGTGCACACAGAAGGTCTCAGGCTCAATCCCCAGAATTTCCAGGGATGGATGAGCCCCCAAGACGCCAGAGTGCCACTGCCGGTCAGTGTAGACAATACTGAACTGGTCTGACTCCTGCATTCCCTCCTACAGCTTTTGCTTCGCAGGGGGAAATCAAAGCTATGCTCTCCCTGAATATTCACGGAGGTGGCAATTTAGATTAGCACCTTCACTTTTCTCTCTCTCACTCGCTTCTCTCCCCCACCCCCCCAAAACCCCACCTGTTCTCAGCTCTTTTGCCCCACACAAAAATGGGACAGGAGATGCAAGATTATCTGTGCCCTGGGATGCAGCAGGGATGGCAAGGCCTGCAGAAAAATGGGGTGGGACAGCCCTGGGATGCAAAGGTGGGGAGGCCCTGAGCTGCATGGTGGGGGGTTGGCACCCAAGCCGGACCCTGCCAGAAACCTCCCAGAATCTGTGCCAAGCCCCTTCCCCCCACCCCACTTTCTCTGCCCAAGCCCCGTCCCCTCATTCACTTGCAGATTGAAGGAGTCGAGGATGAGGGCCTCTCCCCAGACGTGCATGTTGGGCGGGTGGGGGGCGCGCTGGATGTGGGAGTCAGCCCCCACACGCCAGCAGAGGTGGTCGATTGCCAGGACAGCTCGCTGGTGGACGCTCTGTGGACGCAGGTGCTGGTAATCTAGAAGGGAGAGGGAGAGGGAGAGAGAGAGAGAGAGAGAAGGAGGAAGGGAGGGAAATTGTCCACAAACTCTGCTGGGAAAATTCCCCAACTTTTTCTCTCCAAAGCTACAGGAAATTGCTGGTCTTTGCAGACCCCTTAAACAACAGCTCCCAAAGTGGGCGGTATCAGGGGTTTACTTGGGGGGCATGCGAAGAGGCAAGGGGGTGGCAGGGGGGCAGGCTGCAGGTGTCAATGACCACCCAACTTTGAAAGCTGGCATCACTCGATCAGGTTTCTGATCTATTTGTTGCATTTATATCCCACCTTTTTTCTCCAAGGAGTTCAAGGTGGTGCGCATGGTTCCCCCCCCCATTTAATCCCTCACAACGACCCTGCAAGATAGGTCAGGCCAAAAGTGAATGACTCTCCCAAGGTCACACCCCAGGAGAGCTTCATGGCCAAGTGGGAGGATTCGAACCCTGGCCTCTCGCAGGTCCTAGACCGATGCTCCAAAAACTGCTCCACCCTGGCTCTCCATTAAAATAAATGGTTTTAATTTGTTTTGGAATCAATGCACAATTAATTGTGACTGTTCTGAATTTTATTGCATTATCATCTCAGGCTCCAGAGCCGCCGACAGATTTGTTGTTTTGAACGAAAAAGAAGCAAGTCCTTTCTCGCAGATCAAAACCCTTAAAAGAATTGCCATTCAAAACGTCTGAGATTGGTTACAGTCACAGATGCATTGCAAAAGCAATAAATTAGAAACAGTCAAAACTTTTGAACAACTGTTTTAAAGCTTTATATCTAGGCATGCCAGTTTGCTAAATTTATAGTATTATTTGTGAAAATAATATCTATCTATCTATCGTTGCAAAGGGACGATCCCAGTTTTGTTTTGTTTTTAAAAAGAGGCCAGTCCCCAGTGAATTGCAGGGGTTAGGCTACGGTTCTAACTACCTAACTCCTGCAATAGTAGTAGTAGTAGTTGTTGTTTATTAAATTTACATAACACCCTATACACGCAGGTCTCAGGGTGGTTTGCAGGATTAAATCACAATACAAAAACACAAAATACACAATCCTTACCTAGGGAGACGGAGTTCAGGACCAAGGCAAATGGTGGGGTGTCCCCCAGCTGCACAGAGACACTGACATTGGAGACAGAGGCACTGAGGATAATGGTGGCCAGGATCTGCGGCATCCTAAATGGGGGAGAAACGGCGGGTGTCGCTCTGCACTGGATCTGCAACCTCACCAGAGATGCCATATTTGAGGAAGGGTGGTGTGATGGACCCAAGGCTCCTTTGGCGGCTCTGCTGCAGCAGGCCAGCTCCATCAGGCCTCCTCCTCTCCCCCCAACTGTCGCCTGGGGGCCCCCATCCCACCAGGCTGCCTCGGTGAGAAAGGCAGGAAGCACTCAATCAGCTCTGCTGAAATAGCAGGGGGTTGGACTAGATGACCCTTGGGTCTCCCTTCCAACTCTGTAATTCTGCAATTCTATGAAAGCCCAGCCCCTTCAAGCACCCCCTGCCCCTGAACTGTGCCACCTTGTCATTATAAAAAAACCTGGTGCCTGAGCTTGCTTCTTTCCTCTACCCTCCTTGGCCCTTTTCCTTCGTGTGTCATGTATTTTATATCATAAGCCTGCAGGCAGGGAGTGCCTTGCTTTATGTGACTGAATGCAAACCACTCAGGGAGACTTTTCGGCTGAAGAGGGGGTGCAAATATCCAGAGTGCTGCCATGTGGATGGTGGAGCAAGCTTGTTTTCTGCTGCTCCGGAGGGGAGGACCGATGGATTAAAATGAGAAGAAAGGAGATTCCAACTACATCTTTGGAAGAACAGACGGTGAGAGCTGTTCGCCCGTGGAACGGACTCCCTCGGAAAGTGGTGGGCTCTCCTTCACTTTAAACAGAGGCCATCTGGCCATCTGTCAGGGATTATTGGGCCGCAATTCCTGCGTGGCAGCGGGTTGGGCTAGGTGACCCCCTGGTGCCCCTTCCAACACCACAAATCTATGCTCCAAATAAATAAATAAATCTGATTTTGTGAACTGCCCTGAGGCCTGCAGGTATAGGGTGGCATACACATTTCATAAATAATAATAATTGCAATAATAAATAAGTAGCAGGGCTTCGGGTGCGGAGGGAGGGGGGGAAGAGACCCTGACCTCCTGTTGCTGTTCCTGGTGGGGGCCGGGGCCCCCTCCTCTTTCCGCGCCAGAGCCAGCATGCTCAGCCAGTGGGAGAACTCCTGGTGGCGGTAGTGGACAATGCAGGTGTTGAGCACCACGGCGACCGAGATGTCGATGGCCATGACCTACAGATGGGTGAGAGAGGAGGAGTGCCATTGGCAGCGCGGCATTGCAGGGGGTTGGGCTAGATGACCTTTGGGGGTCCCATCCAACTACAGCAAGAGAAGCACTTGCCTGCAAGGTGGCTTTCAGCAGGCTGAGGCAGACGATCCGCTGGCGGCTCTGAGAGAGCAGGAGCCCATCTGCGGGGAGAGAAAAGAAAAGAAGAGGGGCTTTGTCGGGGTTGTGGGTGGCCAAGTCTCCCGTGCCCTCCTGTGATCGGATTTACGTTCCTTGTGAAAGAGCCCTCCTAGGCAGCTCACCTAGAGAGCAGGGGGCGCATTCCACTCTGGGGGGGGGGCAGGTGCAAAGGGGGGCAGGGCAAGGGATGACACATTTCACCCCTTCTTGAGGCTGGCTGGTCTCCTCCCTTGAGGAAACTCCAAAGTAGGGAGTACAAATGGCAGTGCAGACATTCAGTATATAAAAATAATGAATGAAAGCAAGGGCCAAGCTGGATCGAGACACATCAAAGAAGTGTTTCAGCTAAACGCGTTGCAAACATTGTATGAGAAATCAGGTGAGCAAAAACAAAACTCCACAGCGCCATCTGCTGTCACAGTGTTAGAATACTTAAACAACGCACATACAGTCGTACAGTCATACCTCATGTTGCGTCCGCTTCAGGTTGCGGTTTTTTGGGTTGCGGACTGCCAAAACCCGGAAGTACCGGAACGGGTAACTTCTGGGTTTTGTCAGTTGCACGTGCGCAGAAGCGCTAAATTGTGCTTTGCGCATGCACAGAAGCGCCGAATCACAACCCGCACGTGTGGGTTGTGAACGCTGCGGGTTGCGAACGTGCATCCCGCATGGATCACGTTCGCAACCTGAGCGTCCACTGTACCTCCGTTTATGTAACCCTCTAGTTACGTAAACCTCGGGCTGCACACGCAGCAAACCCAGAAGTTTTACCAGGGTTCGCTGTGCGCGCATGCGCAGAAGTGGTCCTCAGGTTACGGAAACATCAGGATCTGACCGGACCTCCGGAACGGATCCTGTCCGCAACCGGAGATACCACTGTACTGTAAAGCACTTTTTCTTTGCCAATGTAGCTGAGTAGCCAGTGAGCAGAGTGGCCTACGGAGAGAGGGTGTGGCTAAAGAGGAGGCGTGTCCTGAAGAGAGGGTGTGGCTAAGGAGAGGTGTGACCTAAGGGAGAGGGTGTGGCTTGGGAAGAGGGTGTGGCTGAGGAGGAGGCATAGCCTAGGAAGTGTCATGAGGGCCGGAGAAAGAGGCTCTAAGTGCACACCATGTGCCCTACTGTTCCTCTGCCCTCCTCTTACTACTTTCCTCCAAGCACTTGCCTTCCAGCGTGAGTTCGAGGCTCATCTGGGGCAGGTCGCAGGTGGGCGTGAAGCTGCGGAGAGGGATCTGCTCCCCGTCACACTGGTACGCAAACTGCAGTAGCTTCAGGGTCCAGGTGAGATGCCTGCAATGGAGACGACAATGGAATGGAAGCTCCCTTCAATATACCAAGTGGCCAATATACCATTTGCCCATCTAGCTCAGTGGTGCCTACTCTGACCGGCAGCAGTTCTGCCATGACTCCAGGAAGGGGGGTCTCTCTCCCAGCCCCAAATGCAGAAGCCAGGATTGAGCCCAGGACCTTCTGAGCTAAGTTGAAATCAAGATTCCCCTCTTCATGGCTTTGAATTAAAGGTTTTGCATCCAGGAACAGGGGTTCCCTGAAACCCCCCACTCCCCGTTACCTCTTCTGGCTGTTCATAGAGAGCACCAGGCTGGTGTTCTGCAGCTCCACCTTCACCCGGCAGGGCACGTACTTCAGGCTAGCCAGGCTCAACAGCGAGGGGCGCAGCTCAACGGCCGTGGCGGGGTCTGGAAGGAGGGGAAAGCCATGCGTGAGAGGCTCATGGGCCTCTCGAACCCAAGACACTCGCTCGAGGGCACCCCACCTGAGGAACGGAGGAGAGACAGACCCCTCTCCCAGCTCTCTCCCTCCCTCTCTCGTGCACTTGCCAGTTTCAGGGTAGAGAACTACAGACCCTTGCACCCCGTGCCAAACCGCCTCCCCACCGCAGCTGGTTCCTTCACACCAACCATTCATTCGGAAGCGACCCGCTGAAAACGGAAGCAGCAAACCAAGGGTTTGGGGTCAGGACACCAGGCGCCCCTTCCAATGGCGGGGCAAGAGAGTGTACTTCAATCAACTAGGAGGAGCGGGGTGTTCGCCCCAGGTGAGCAGGTGAGTTGCAAATTGTGCCTGAGCTCTGGGAAGCCAAAGAACAGGAGGAGGAGGAAGGAGCCCACCCTCAGCCCTTTGAGGTCCCCCTCAAACACCCCTGGGAGCCCAGAGTTCTCGACCTGCCGTATCTCCGCCTCCGACGCGCCGCAGCAGCTCGCTGTGGAAGAGTCCCTCGTGCAGCTCGGCGTGGAAGCTCCAGACGCCCACCTCCAGGCCGCAGAGCTGCCACTTCCTCAGGCGCAAGTCCAGGGAGACCGTGAGGGCCAGTGACAGCTCAGCCAGGCAGGCGTCGGCCTGCAGGGGAGAGGGAGAAGGAGGAATCCGCCAGGGGGAGATGCATTTCTGCCTGTTAGGGCTGGACGATAGATCAATGTATTGACCAAAGCCGATTTGAAATCCGTAGCATGGTATTGGTTTCATAATTTTGGACCTGGCAATATAGTGCAATTCATGATGTGTGTTGCTTAGACACGTCAGCCTGGAAACTTGGAAAGCTGGTGTAAATTGCACAGTCATACCTCGGGTTACAGACGCTTCAGCGTTTTTTCGGGTTACTGACCGCTGAAACCTGGAAGTACTGGAACAGGTTACTTCCGGGTTTCGGCAGTCACACATGCGCAGAAACGCTAACTCACACTTTGTGTATGCGCAGAAGCGCCGAATCGCAACCCGCGTGTTCGCAGATGCGCCGCTGTGGGTTGCAGGCGCTGTGGGTTGCAAACGTGCATCCTGCACGGATCATGTTCGCAACCTGAGCATCCACTATAATCTGTTTTTATTCGACTGCTATTTTAACTTTTGGAAAGTCTTAGGTTATTGTTTTTCTTTTACTTATTGACTTCTTTTTTTTGCAAACCGCTTTGAGGCTGGTGGCTGTTTTAACACCCACGTGCTGTATATGAATCAATAAAGCATGCAGGTCTGAGAAAGGCAGGAGCCCTTGGGGAGAGGGAAGGTTGCAGCTGTTAGTGATTGGTCAGAAGTTGGGCATTCAGCATCCTTGATCCTAGGCTGCGGGACACGCATCCATCAGGGATGCAACAGGCACCCTCTCACTTTCAACTTCTGGGCATCTCTAGAAGACCCAGACCTATGCAGTTACTTCTAATTATGCTTTTAAAGAAAATCACTTTCTTTTATATCTTGGTGCTGGACACTGCTGTGTCTTATCCTACAGACTGGCACTCCGGAAACACTTTTACAAATAAATTGACAGAAGCAAGCTCCCAACCACCAGGTGTTTCGCTCACCTCCCCCCCCCCCGCCTTACCTGTCGGCTGCTTTTCAGGACTTTGCTGTTCACCTGGGAGAAGGTCGCCTCGCAGGCCATGCTGGGGGAGGCAAAAGGGTGGGGGACAAGAGCAATCCAACTCTGAGTGATCAAAGAAGAAAGAAAAAGACTGCAGTGACCCCACCCACAACTGAGAGATTTATTTTTTAAGAAATAGTACTGCCTTAAGAAGAGGCTGGCTGCTGGAGCAGGCCAGTGGCCTGTCTAGTCCTGCCCCCTCTTCTCACAATGGCTAGGAACCTAGATAGATTGCCTCTGGACCTGTAGGTTCCATAAGAACCAAAGAAGAGCCTTCTGGATTAGGCCAGCGGCCCATGAGGTCCAGCTTCCTGTTCTCACTGGGGACAGCCAGGTGCCCTTAATCCAAAACCCACAAGCAGGATCTGAGCCCCACAGTGCTCTCCAGTTGTTCCCCACTGCTTGGTTTTTGGAGGTAGACTGTCCCTGGGCATGGAGGTTCCGCTGTACCAACAGACCTCAGTAAGAAGAGCTGGATCTAGAGACCCCGGGAAATGAACCCAGAACCTCTTGCATGTTAAGTCAGGCGCTCTGTCCTGAGCTGCGGACAGGCAGGGCCACAGGTAGCCAAACCACCCCCATAGACTCACCGTCTCCCGTCGCCATCCAGCAGGATCTGTGTCCTGGTCACCTGCACGTGCCACAGGGACTCGGAGGCCGCTGCATGCAGGACCATGACGTTGACCGCCTCCACATGGACAGAGCAGAGCTGGGGAGGGCGCAGAGGGGGGGTGTCTGTGAGGAGGCAGAGGTCTAGACCCACCCACCCAGGCTCCCTGCCCAGACCTGAGCACCTCTCACCTGGCTGAGGAGCCGCAGCAGTGAGGGTCCAAGGGAGAGCACCTTGCCTTGCTCAACGCCACCATCTGCTGGGGCCTCCGGGGAGGGCAGCCTGGGCGCCTTCTGCAGGTCCACGCGGATGCGCACCTCTCCGAAGCAGAGCGCCAGGTAGCGCCTGCAGATGGAAGGGGGTGTGTGAAAATGGGGTCAGGAGCAGGGGGGTGCAGCTGGAGGTGCAACCGTCTTCCCCCTGCCAACCCTCCCACCGAGAGACAGGATTTCAATGCAAGCAGAGCTAGCCCAGTTCAGTATCAAGACTTAAAGAGGAATTTTTAAGGTGTTTAAAAAGCAGTTTGGGGATTCGTAGGAAACTGACTTCTCCTCCGACATTTGGGTCTGTTTAGCTCAGCACTGTCCGCACTGACTGGCAGCAATGGCTCTCCAAAGGGTCCTGCCCTGTCCCTCTTGGAGATGCCATCAGGGTTTCAACCTGGGGCCTTCTCCCAGCAAGCTGCAGCTCCTCCTCTAAGACTGAAAACAAGATTCTAGTCCTCGTGGTTCTCAAGGAAGGGCGGCTTTAAGCAGGGGCACAGGATGCTGCCTTACACTGAATCAGGCCATTGGTCCGTCTAGCTCTGTATTGTCTACACTGACTGGCAGAAGAAGCCAGTAGGAAAAGTAGCCAATGGACAGGGCATTGGGAGTTGTAGTTCAGCAGCGTCTGGAGGCCCACAGCCTCCTTTCTGCTGTAGGATGGTGGTACAACCACCAAGCCCTGTTTCCCAGCCCTAACGGGAAATGCTATGAGTCAGCAGAGGTTATTCTTATTTTTTTATTTATATTTTGCCTTTAAGCAGAAGATCCCACGGCAATGTGCAACATAAAGAACCTAATTTATGTTATGAATGTGTTCTGGGGCCAAGCAGAGGTTGTAACACCACCCTTCCTCCCTAAATTTGGCCCATAATCCACCAGGATTCAATATCCGCCCGCCCTGCAGGGTTCCATGCCAGACGAGTGGATGCAGAGAGCGTTCCCTGAAGGATTGACTGGTGGGGAAACTACAAGGCAGTAAAGGCAGTGTGGTGTAGTGGTTGGAGTGTTGGACTAGGACCTGGGAGACCCGGATTCAAATCTCTCACTTGGCCACAGAGCTCGCTGTGTGTGACCTGGGGCTCTCCCTCTCAGCCTAACCTGTCTCACAGGGTTGTTGCGGGGATTCAAGGACTAGGCCCCAGGAGAGACCAGGGTTCAAATCCTCACTTAGCCATCAAGCCCACTGGTTGACCTTAAGCCCAGTTGCTTCCTCTCAGCCTAACCTACCTCACAGGGTTGTTGTGAGGGTGAAATGGGAAGGGCGAAGACAACGTGCACCACCTTGGTATCGTTCGAGCAAAGGCGGAATATGAATGCATTCAATAAATACTCACGGGACATCATGGTTCAGGAGCTTGCTGGAGATCCAGACGCTGTCGATTTCCTAAAACGGCACAGCCAAGAGACACCCATGATGGCTGCATGTACCTCCCAGGTATGTGCCCTCTGCCCCACAGATTCAATGTGGCACACCCACGGCTATCCCCCCCCCCGGGACAAGGTTCAAGGGGCAGACCAGCTTCATAGGGCTGAAGCAGGGTAAGAATTGCACAAAACTGCCTCTTGTGTGTGGTTTGCCTAATAATAATAATAATAATAATAATAATAATTTGTATTTGTATCCTGCCCTCCCTGGCCGAGGCTGGGCTCAGAGCAGCTAACATCATAAAAACAACACAATAAGCATAAAAACAGACATCAATTAATTAAAATACATCTTAAAATTAATTCAGACAAGTTAAAATCTGAGCAGGTGGCAATGACCAGGGTGGAATTGAGAGTGGTTAATAATTGCCAGGACCAACTGTTCCCGCTGATCATACAAGGATCTGTGAGCGGGTTGGGGACCACCTTCGGGCTTGTTTTATACAAAGGAAAGTAAGTCAAATGGGCAAGACTTGCCACAGGTGAGCAGGAAAGTTTGCAAGCCTCGCCAGACCAGGGTTGATGTCAAAGACACAAACACACCCCGGTACCTACCACTGTCTGTTGCTCCTCCTGGAACTTCAGGCTGAGGTTCTGAATCCAAAAGAACCCAAAAGAGCCCACCTTCAGCTCTGCCTGCAGCCGCCGGCGACACCAGTTGGTGACCAGGATGTACAGGAGCCACCTAAGGGAACGTCAGGATTCGAATCAGTGGCCGCCCACGCATGCAAAATGCAGTCTTCCCTACGGCACCTGTTTTCTGCGGTATAGCTCAGCGGTGGGGAAACTCTACCGGGGGAATCAAATGTGTGACTGTAAGGACATAAGAAGCAGGAAATCTCCCCTCCTGGGGTTTCCAGAAACTGGCATTCAGAAGCATCGCCGCCTCCAACTTTGGAGGCAGAGCAGAGCCCTCTTCTCTTCCATGGATTTGTCTAATCCTCTTCCAAAGCCATCCAAGTTGGCGGCCCTCATTGGCTCCTGTGGCAGGGAGTTCCACAGTTTAACTCTGCCCTGAACAAAGAAGGGCTTTCTTTTATCTGCGCTGAGCCTCCCAACAATCAGCAGAGGAAGGCAGCCAAGATGTCTGGAAGCCAAGATGTAGCAGACTCAGCCCGCCGACCACCAAATAATAAAGTCACAGATCCCACCACTGACTCCCCCCCCCATTAAATATTGCACCTCACAGTACGCTATTGACACAAATGTCTTCCATTTACCACAGGCTATGTGCGTCTTGCGTGAGGGAATAATAATAATTTAAAAAAATTATTTATACCCGCCCTTCCCGGTTTAAAAACCAGGCTCAGGGCAGCTAACAGCAAATATAAAACACTGATTAAAATGCGACTTAAAAACAGCATAAAACAGCATAAAATACAACATAAAATGCAGCATCAATATCAATTAAATTCAAAAATTCAGGGGTCATTTTGGGGAAAAACAAGCAAACCCTCTGGGACTTGAAGTCTCAGGTGGGAGCTGACCCAACAAGAAAAGTTCCATTTGCAAAAGTAAGAAGTTGGGTCAGGAGAGGTGTTCTTTCAGGCAGAAGTTAACTTATGGCTTATGCTTCAGGCTGAAACTCAACAGGTGCAGCTTCTCTTGAAGTTCAGTGACTCAAAATCAGTTGTTACACTTCACTTGGAAGAAGAGGTGGTAAGATGCAGGGCCGGATTTAGGTTTGATGAGGCCCTAAGCTACTGAAGGTAATGGGGCCCTTTATATGTCCAGCTGTCCTTTGACTGCGGAAATGGATAAAAGCTCCCCATCCAAACAATGACTATCATCAATGCAGGTAAGAAATTTTTTAAATTTTCATTTTTATCATCTACAATACTGTTTTGTTTACTTTATAGCACAGTACATTGATTACTGCTTTCATTTTATGGATCAATGGTCTCGTTAGATAGTAAAATTCATGTTAAAATTTAGGGGTTGTTTTTAAAAGTCTGGAACGGATTAATCCGTTTTGCATTACTTTCTATGGGAAAGCGTGCCTTGGTTTTGCAACACTTTGGTTTTGGAACGAACTTCCGGAACGGATGAAGTTTGAGAACCAAGGTACCACTGGATATATAGAAATGAGCAAACCAGTGATATTTTAGGGAGCAGGCTAGCAGGTGAGGCCCATTCCTTACAACATAGGAGCCTACACAACGCAAAACACTGTTGCTGTATGTCGGTTTTGTCTTATTTGTTTTTTATCTTCTATTTTGGAAATGTACAACCAGGTTTTTTTTTATTTACATTTTTGGGGGCGCCCAAGAGAGTGAGGCCCTAAGCTATAGCTTGTTTAGCTTATACGCAAATCCGGCCCCGAGGAGATGTTCCTCTGAGCTTCTGCGTACTCTCATTCCTTTACTTAGTTGTGACAGGTGTCAGTTACGGCGAAATATTTTGGACGCAGCTAAATCTCCCTTCGCTGCTTCATACTTTGGCTCCTGAGCGAGGAGCCCTTTCCCTCAGCTGCCCTCTCTCTTAGCAATGCCCCTCCTGAGGCATTTTATTTGGGATACCAGATCCCGGGAAGCCCCTCGGCCCTTGTGACTGGCTTGGGAGCCTCCTCTTTCCACAAGATCTCTCCCAAGAGGAAGAGTGGCCTTTTTTAAATATAAATTTTAATATATTTTTAATCTTTTGTTGGAAGCCGCCCAGAGTAGCTGGGGTAACCCAGCCAGATGGGCGTGGTATGAAATAATAATAATAATTCCCACAGTGTCTGCCTCTCCTGCCTCATCCCTCCATTTTCCTCCCCAGACCCTCAACCGGCTCTTAGAGCCAGTTTCCCCTCAGTCCAAGCCCTGACTGACTCTCTCCCTCAGAAAAAGCGCCTTTTATTCTTCCGCCAAAATGGCTGGCTCCTCCCCCTCCTCTCAGCAGCCAATTGGAGAGAGGCTTCAGCCCTCTGGTGGAATCCTGAGGGACTGCAGCGCCAGACTCGGGCTCTGCTGTCCGTCACATGCGCCTGGTGAGGAACAGTCGAAGGAGCTGCGGATGTCGAGCCTGGAAGAGGAGACTGAGAGGAGGCAGGAGATCCATCTTCAAATATCTCAAAGCTTGTCCAATGGAAGAGCGAAGAAGCTCGTTTTCCCCTGCTCCAGAGGGCAGGACGTGAAGTGATGGCTTCAAATTGCAGGAAAGGAGATTGCTTGCTTGGATGGAAACGGATGAGCAGAGCCTACCGTCCAAAATGGGAAATGTGCCTTGGTTGCTCCACCCAATTTTGCCTTTTTTGCAAGTGATTCCTGGAAGGTTGCATAGAACTGGATTTGGTTGCTTTCAGGGGACAGGCTGAACAGGTTTTTGAAAAAAGAAAAAAGAAATCTGCAAATGTGTGCCTTCAAACACCATTGACCTTACTTCACACAGTTCCTCACCCTGATCTTCTGAACACTTTCCAGCAGCATACGTGGCTGAAGAGGATCTTAGGAGGGCTACTTTATATTATTTTTTGCTATAACAAATCCACCTCAATTCTCACCAAATGCCATCATTCACTGGCTTTCCACTCTAGCCTGAGATAGCTCATTTGGTTTTAATGAACTGCATCGTTTTTTAGATGCGTAAGTCTGGTGAGATATATTTTTACGAACAACAGAAGGAAGGAAACAGCAAACAAAAAAATGCGAGGATTCCACACCAAAAAGTTAACTCCAAAATTCCGCACGGCAGGTAGAATTCTGCGAGCTGAATTAAACTCCAACATTTAAACCTATTGGTTTATTCTGCACAGAATTTGATTCCGTTTCCTTTCACAGTAGGGAGGTTTCTCCTCCTTCTTCCCCACTCCCATCTCAATCCCATCTCTCAGTAGCCAATAAGGACTAGAAACTTTAATTCTGCACCCAACGGTTCTAAGTTCTGCACTGGGGCAGCGTCACTACTGGAGCAAAATATCTATGCTGCAACAGCTAAGCCCCTTGCCATTGCCCTCACCTCCCCATCGTGTCTGTTCCATCTAGGGGGTTGGACTAGATGACCCTCGGGGTCCCTTCCACCTCTACAATTCCATGAAATCTACAGTGCTCATTTTTTCAGAATGTCGAAACCAGACTATTGATCCATCCAGTTCAGTATTCCTTACACTGACTGGCAGCAGCTCTCCAAAGTTTCAGGCAGGGGATATTCCCAGCTCTGCTTGAAGATGCCACTGGGGATTGAGCCTGGGACATTCTGCATGCAAAGCAGCTTTCCCCCGTACCACCTCTTCCCTAAAAATGAATTAAAACGCTAGTCCTCATGAGGTTAATAATTAGCTGGCTTAAATAGGAACATGGGAAGCTACCTTGCACAGAGTAAGACCACTGCTCTGTCTAGTTCAGTGTTCTCGACACTGACCGGCAGTGTCTTCCAGGGTTTCAGGCAGAGGAAACCTGCAACCCTATCTGAAGAAATCGGGGACTGAACCTAGAACCTTCTGCCTGCAAAGTAGGGGCTCTGCCACTGAGCTACACCTAGAGAAAGTAAAACAAGGCTGCAGTCCTCATGGCTATTCAATTCAGGACCAGGGACACAGGTCCCTGCTTTATATCGTGGCCTTTGCTGTCCCCACAACCATCCAAAATGCTCACAGCCAAACACAGAGTGACTCGCGACGGAACAGGAAGATTTTGCTCTGCTGAAATTCAACTCTTTCCCCCCCTGAAAGGATTGCACTTGACCAACCTGTCTCCTTTTGAAACTGATTGTATCACTCCAAAGCAATCGCTGAGGATGCGCCATAAATAACCCTGATCCGCCACCATGGCTGAAAGCAAGACTCGCACCCGGGACCCAGACAAGGCCTACGGGATCGGAAGTGCGAGGAGCCCAAAGGGGCACCCGCAGTCCTTTAAGGGTGCTATAGTTCCCAAACTGAACCCCGACAAAAGGGGTCTCCCCGCCCTTTGCAACCAACATCTCCTAGCGAACACTCGAGACACCGTTATTTACGTTCTAAGTCAGCCTTTGGATACCTGGAGCCTGGCAGGTGTTTTCGACTACAACTCCCATCCAGCACGACCCAGGGGGCAAGGCTCTTCCTATCTGTGACCAGGCCCCTAAGGGCGCAGGCAGATACAAACGTGAGCTGCTGTTGCTTACTGGCAAAGGAAAAGCACTCTGCACGAGCTCAGGGGCACTCCTGTCATCAGCAGTATTATTAATTGCAATCAGTATTAATGCGTTTCTGTCCCGACCTTTCCCCTTTCAAGGTGGCATGCGTGTCCCCGCCCTCATTTAATCCCCACAACAGCCCTGTAAGGTTCATTAAGCTGCCAGGAACTCTAACCACTACACCACACTGCCTCTTGCGAGCACCTTGTAACGTCGTCTCACACACACCCCAGGCTGTGTGGGGCAAAATGAGCGAAAGCCGTGGGGTGGTATATTTGGATGATGTGGTGTAGTGGTTAGAGCAGGCAGCCCCAAACTCAGCCCTCCAGATGTTTTGGGACTACAACCCCCACCATCCCTGGCTAACAGAACCCGTAGTCAGGGATGATGGGAACTGTAGTATTTAAGCGATAAGGCGGGAAGTGGTGGGAAGTAGGGGGGAGGAGAGGTGGGGAAATATTGATAAAAAGGTGTAGTTATAGGTATATCAGTACTCAAATCTGAATTGTTAAATTGTGCTATTAGTGTTATGGTGGTTTTTGTTGTATGTGTTTTTTGTGGTTGCTGTTTGTATTGAAAAAATGATTAAATTAATTTTTAAAAAACCCAAAAAACTGTAGTCCCAAAACATCTGAAGGGCCGAGTTTGGGGGTGCCTGGGTTCGAGTCTCAGACTAGCACCTGGGAGAGGCCAGGGTTCAAATCCCCCCCCCCTCGGCCAGGAAGCTTGCTGGGTGTGACCCTGGGGGCCAGGCACTCTCAGCCTGGCCTACCTCGCAGGGTTGTGGTGGAAATTAAGCGAGGAGAACCATGCGCAGGATCTTGAGTTCGAAAGAAGCTGGGACAGAAATGCAGCAAGTGATCATCAGACCCTGGAATCGGGGGATAGAACAAACCCCCAAAAGAGGCGCAAAGCTTTGCAGTGTTGTGGGCACCAGTTGGGAGCAATGCCAGCAAGGGGGCAAAGAAGGAAAGGCAGCGTCAGCAGTGGGCATCCGGGTAGGCAGCAGTCCAGGGACAGGAGACCCCAGGGGCTCAGATTTGGGGGAGCGAAGGAGTTGAAGACTGGGCCGGTGGTGTCATAAGATGGCAAAGTGGGACAGGCAATGCCAGGCAAGGGGTGAATGAGAGGCTGGCACAGATGCAGACAAAACAAACAGCACAGCCACTGGCAGCTTTGCCAGCCGTGATGCCCCGCAGAGTGGGTGTAAGGCAGCCCCGACTTGTGGAGGTGCCCACACCTCACAGGGCAGTTGGGGGGCCTGTGGGTGGTATTTTGGGTGAGGGGGAAGAACAGGCGCTTCGAACCCTAGCCTCTTCTCTCCAACGCTACACCACAGGAGCCAGGCGTGCCACCCCACTGCAGAAGGACTTCCCCAATTCCGTCCCTCGCCCTTGGAGAGCCAGTGTGGTGTAGTGGTTAGAGCAAGCCCAGAGCTTAGAGAAGGGGCTTTCAGAGGCTGGAGCTGGCGACGCTACCTGGAATCTGAGCAGTGCCAGGCTGATGAAAGGTGGCAATCTGTGCCATGGCAGATAAAAGTGGCAACGTTTACCCAGGGTGGGGGACCGGTTGGCATGAGGGAGGGAGGGAGGGAGGGTGGGCGGCACACAGAATTATTTGGGAGAGGGAGAGGGCTAATGAAACTGGCAGTGCCCCCTGGCATCCAGAGTGGGCAGAGTGGCTGGGGGGGTGGAGGACTAGGCCAGGGTGGCAGTGCCAGCCCAACTGCAGAGAGGTGAACAGCAGGGGGTGCCCAGTTTTCGGGGCTGGGGGGAGCAGGGAAGGGAGGCTGGCAGTGCCACCTGGTCATGGCAAACGGGGTGGCAGAGGAGGGTCTCAGGCCTTAATGGGGACGGGGAAGGCGCCCCCTAAACCGATGCCCCCCTGGAAAAAAAAAGAGTGCTGCAATCTCCCTTACCTCCCCAGGCAGAAGCCGCCCAGTAGCACCAGCAGGACCAGTAGCAAGGCGCCCAGCACCGGGCCCGCCATCGGGGGCGCCTGGGCTGCTCCTTCCAACCGCCCGTCGCCGGCAGCGCCTGGGGAAGGGCCGGCGGGAGCGCGCGGGCAGGGAGGGCGGGGGAGGCGGAGGCGCGCGCGCGGCCCCGTGCGCTGCAGCCATAGGCCGGGGGCCGGGGGAGGGGCGGGACTAAGGCCTCTCCGGGGAAGCCCCGCCCCTGCCTGCCTGCCTGCCGGCGTGCCAGCCTCCGGGTGCGCACAGAGCGCTTCGGCACAGGGCGGCTGCCGGCGCCGGAGGGAGCAGCAGGGCAGGGCGGAGGCCGGGTTCAAAGAAGGGGGGCCCTGAAGAAGGCCCCCAGGAGGGTTGCTGAGCGAGCCCCCTCCTCTGCCTTCCCAGCCCGGCTCTCCCTCTCCGAGGGAGTGGAGAAAGGCTCTGTTGCGCCCAGCAAGGCGCAGCACTTGGCAGATGCAACAGCGGGTTAGTGGCCCTCGCGTCTGTCTCCAGCTCCTCCTGGAGCATCCTGGGAAATGTAGTTCCTGGCCCCGGCCTGCCCAACTGAAAACTACTACTACTACTACTATTATTATTATTATTATTATTATTATTATTATTTAATATTTACACCCCGCTCATCTGGCTGAGTTTCCCCAGCCACTCTGGGCGGCTCCCAATCAAATGTTAAAAACAGTACAGCATTAAATATTAAAAACTTCCCTAAACAGGGCGGAAGAAGCCCTCTGCAATCGAGGAATGAGCAGAGGCTTTGTATTGAAGCGCCTGTTCAGCCAAAAGCATTCCAGGGTTTGTTTCGTTCTGTAAGAATGCCGCGCTCTCTGCAGGATGTCTTTGCCCTGCCGTTGTCACCCAACTGTATCCAGCCATGCAATGGTCAGCTGTCGCCAATCAGCTTGGGGGTTGGGGCTGCTGGGAGTTGTAGTCCCAAACATCTGGAGGGTGCCCAGTGGGCGAAAAGTGGCTTATGTAAATAAAGAGAGACAGCACATTTAGTTTTTGCACCACTGTGTGTACTGTATTTTATTTCGCTCCTGGATTGCAGGGGGTCCCTTCCAACTTTCAATTCTATTATAATATGCTCCTTTTTAGATGGATCAAATGTGGAACTTAAAAAGAAATTCAAGGTGCTTGAAAATATTTAACTGTTTAAATATGAAAAGTTTTAGCCCTACACTGGAAAACAAGCATGTTATTGCAATGAGTAAAAAAAAGTCTGTGAGGGATGCAGTGTGCCATTGTCTGCTCTACAACATACACTCCCCCCCCCGAAAAAAATGCATTGCAATCTCCTTAAGAATTGCTTTTAGGGAGGGCTAGGAGTGGAGAAGGCAGGACTTCTCCTCCCTGTATCCCCATCTCCAAGACCAGCACTGCGTTCCATGTAACACCCATTCCACATTTGGGAACTCAGCCTTTTAGTGCGGAATCACCTGCCCTTCGGAACTCCTTGCCTCTTGATATTAGGCAGGTGCCTTCACTGCAAACTTTTTGCTGCCTGCTAAAAACATGTTTAGAAAGTTGATGTGAGTTTCAGTCTGTTTTTAGTCTATTGTTGTTTTAACTTTGCAAAAGTCCTCTATTGTTAATTTAGGTTTTTTATATTTTTATTGCTTTATCATTTCTGTAAACCGTTTTTTTTTTAACAATCAAGCAGTATATAAATTTTATGAAACAAATGAACATCAAATATGTATGCCACCGTAGGACAAGTTCCAACCATTCTCTTTATAGGCAGGGGAAGAAAAGGCCCTGTTGGTGTAGGGCAATGTGTGGTGAGCATGCAGCCTTCCAGATCTTGCCAAACCCATCATCTCTGTCTATTGGCCACACTCGCTGTGGCTGAAGGGAGCTGTATTTCAGCAATATCTGGAGGGGCAAAGGTTCTCCAGAAGCCACCTCAACTGAGTTCTGAAGTCACACGAGAATGGAGCAGATACTTGCAAGGGAGGGAGAGATTCTATTTATTGGTTCAAACACAAGACGTCACAAAGCATGGACTGGATGGAATGTATTCATAAAAATCAAACATTAACCCGGTTTCCCCAAGCAGGTGACCTCTGGAAGTTTCTGACTGCAATTCCCATTTGCTCCAGCCACCACTGGCATAGCCAGAGATCGCTACGTGTCAGAAAAAAATGACAAGGAAGAGTTTTATTTCACAAGTCAAGGTTTCTCACCAGGGAATGAGGAAGGGCCTTGGGCAAGCACACGTGTGTCAGCTAAGCACACAGAAGGTCCCAGGTTCAAACCCAGGCAGCGTCTCCAGGTAGCAGTGGTCTGATCCGTTTATGCCCAACTCATGTCAGTTTATCCTATGTGCAAAAAGGGCTCCATGCCATCCTATTTTAAGGTGCTAGTTTTGACCCTTAAAGCCCTATGCGGCCCAGGACCCAGGTACTTACGGGACCACCTCTCCTGGTATGCCGCGCGGAGGACCTTAAGGTCCACGAATGACAACATTTTGGAGGTCCCATGTCGCAAGATGGTTAGATTGGTCTCAACTAGGGCCAGGGCCTTTTCAGTACTGGCCCCGACTTGGTGGAACGCTCTGTCCCAAGAAACCAGGGCCCTGCGGGACTTGACATCTTTCCGCAGGGCCTGCAAGACAGAGCTGTTCTGCCTGGCCTTTCGTTTGGACTCAGTCTGACCCTTATGTTGCTTTCCCCTTATGGTCTTGATCCATCAGCTACTTCAAAAAGAGGCTGCATTTTAAATTGCATTTTAACCTGTATTTTAAATTGGTCCCCCCCCCTTATGTTTTTACTGTGATTTTATTGGTGTTAGCCACCCTGAGCCCAGCTCTGGCTGGGGAGGGCGGGGTATAAATAAAATTCATTACTATTTACATGCATGTGTTTTTGTACCAAAAAACCCCTTTAAAAATCTACCTCTGTGTGTTTTAGCTTGTGAATCTTTTGATGAAGGGCAGTATATAAATCTAATAAAAATAAATAAATGAGCACATGTGTTCCCTTGCAGACCGTGCTGCTCCCAGCCCTGTAAACAAACCCACAAGTTACTAGCCTGAAAACACTTTTTTCCAAGGTTGATGGAAGCAAATCCTCCTCCAGAAAACCTGCTTGCTCCCCTGGATGCAATTCCTCCTTTGCCTATGGCTACATAGAAGAGCTGTGGGCATACAGGACTTGATGGGGAGTGGAAAGAGGGTCCTGAAATGATGGGTCAGCTGAAGCAGTGCACCAAAATTAGGAGGGAGGGGAGGAGTAGAGTAGAGGGACAAAGCCAGCTCTTACATGGGAACATGCATTTGGCCTCTTCCTCTCAGTGCAGAGAAATACAGAAGAGACCTTTAGTGTGTGCATGCGATATTGGCTACCATTGACCAGCCAAGAGCTGCGAGCTCAGCGTAGGTGGGCTTGCACCCGATAACTTTTTGTAAAAACATTAAGCTGTCCTGGGGAACTGTCATGTAGCTGAACACCAATGGCTTCCTTTCAATGCCTTTCTTTGAGAACTGATGAGAGAAACAGAAGATACTATGAATTGTGAGATGGTAGAAGGGAACACCCAGTAACAGACATTTTAGAAATCTCACTGCTGACTCACAGTAAGATTTCTGTTCTTACTGTGAGCATAAGATGGGGAAGGGAGAAAAACCACAAAGTACTCATTGCACCTGCTTGAATAACCTGCATTTATTTATGGCTGACTCCCAGGCACACGGGTGCTTGAATATCAGCAATAGGTGTGCAGGGAAGGAGGGATGGGGGAACACTGTTGTGCGGTTGCAGATGGCGGCCCACGGAGTGGCAGAGAACCTTTGTCCTGGTATTCCCACAACAGGACAGCGTCTTAGCACCACCGCAACACCTGCAGCCTCAACCGCCTAAGGATCAATCTGGGGCTTGCTGGCCCTGAACACCAGACCGTTGGCAGAGGAGGAGGGAGAAACCTTGATGCTGTCATAGCTCAGAGTGATAGATTTCTGCCTTCAGGAACTCGGACGGCTTCATGAAAATCCCTTCCATCGCCTTCCAGTAGCTGTCCTGGCTGGAGTAGGACATGCCGTGGACCTCCCTCTGGCCATGAATAGGCCGCCCGTACTGTTCGCCAGTCACAGAGAGCAGCACGTCTGTGGAGGAGTGCTTGAAGCGCACCTCACTGTCCCGGTCCCAGTAGCTGCCCCCGCACAGGACAGTCCAGTCGTCCAAGAAGTCCCCCTCGCCATCTTCCCCAAAGGCGCTGACCTCCTGGAACAGACAAGGCAGAGAGCAAGGCAATGTTAACAGACACACACACTCTTCAAAGGAGAACAGCCTCCCTTTGGAAGGTGGTGGTCTCTCCTTCCTTGGGGGTTTTTAAGCGAAGGTTGGATGGTCACCGGTCAGGGAGTCCTTAGTTGCAATTCCTGCACTGCCAGGGGCTGGACTAGATCAAGGGTCAGCAAACTTTTTCAGCAGGGGGCGGTCTACTGTCCCTCAGACCTTGTGGGGGGGCGGACTATATATATTGGGGGGGGGGAGAATGAACAAATTCCTGTGCCCCACAAATAACCCAGAGTTGCATTTTAAATAAAAGGACACATTCTACTCATGTAAAAACACGCTGATTCCTGGACTATCCACAGGCTGGATTTAGAAGGCAATTGGGCCGGTTCCGGCTCCTGGGCCTTAGTTTGCCTACCCATGGACTAGATGACTGTTGGGTTCCCTTCCACCTCTAATGTTCTATGAAGCACTCATCAATGTCAAGAGCTACTGTAAGGCGAGTGACAGAGAACCTTTGCCACTAGCTAGAGCAGCTGGTGCCAAGGTGGTGCCCTCCAAAACACATGGTGGGGGTGGCAAAGAGTGGGCTAGAATTTGTAGAGCTCTAGCGCCGCAACCCCAGAGTTGGCCACAACTGGACCTAATGGTCAGGGGGCCCTTTACCTTTACCGTAAAGGGTGCCAGCCAAGACTTTCCAATGACTCTGTTGTCATGTGAGAGAAGAAGCAAGTGGTTACGCCGTCCAGCACAGGGCTGGCAGCACAATGTGAATGGGGTGTGGAGACCGCCCCATTGTAGGTGTGCAATGGCCAAGACTCTCATTTCTGTTGCTGATATCAAGCATTCAAATTTATTGGGGGTGGGGCATGAAAAACAAAAACAAAATAGAAACCTGGGGTTGAAAAGAGCTGGAGATCACTGGAAGAGCCCCTGCTTTGCATGCAGAAGGTCCCTGGTTCAATGCCCAATGGCATCTCCTGGTAAGGCTGGGAGATACTTCCTGTTCAGAGTTGGAGTTAACTCTTTATTACCAAAAAAATGAACTTCACACTCAGCACAGCAGCTCCTCCTCAGTAGGTCTTACTCCATGAACCAGTTGTACCCCCAACACAACAGCCCACTGCACCTGGGTGAAGCCTGTCACCGCTTTGCCCTTTTCATGCTGCTTCTGGTTCTGGGAGACCGCTGGGAGAGGAGCTTGTCGCAGCAGGAGGAAGAGACCCCCTGGCTTCTTCACCAGCTAGATTCATCTCTGCCTCTTGACCTCCTTTCTGTCATAGTCTCTCCCAGCTCACTAAGCCCTGTTACTTCTTCAGCTTCCGGCACCTCCCCCCCCCCCGCCCCCAGTCCGCTCCCTCTGATCACTCATCATTGTCCCAGCACCAGTCCCTGGGGTCTCGGAGTCTTCTTCCCTTGGTTCCCCAGCTCCCACTGTTCCTCTGTGTCCATGACACCACCCTCCACCTGGCAGTACAGGTGGCAAGTTGAGCCTTCCTCCTGCGCCACCTCCAGTCCACCAACCTCACCTGGTTGCCCGAGAGGGGGGATGTGAAGTGGTGGCTGTGCAGGTTGCGTCCGGTGTTGATGTGGGTCAGCCTGATGGACTGCCCGCACTGCACAGGGGTGCCCCTTTCACACACCGTGTCTGTCTTGCCCCGGACCCGCCAGTAGCTGTTGCTGTCGTCGACCGTTGTGACCCCCGTCACCGACTGCTGCCCACTGCCTGTGGAGAGAAAGGAACCCACAAGTTAGCCTCACCCTCCCTTTGTTCCAGGCATGACGCCTGCAAGTTTATCTGAAATGTTCTTTGTCTGTGTGCTTCTATGACATATAGGGAGGGGTCTATAGTTCTGCATACATATTGAAAAAAGAACAAGGCCTCTTCCTTTTTTCTTAATTCACTGTCACAGGAAATATAATAAAAAGAAACATAATTTCAATGGATCTACCCTAAATATGACTTCAGGTTGAAATTATTCTTAAATTAATTTGTAGTATTATCATTATTAGATTTTATACACTGCCCTTCGTTTAAAAAAAAACCTAGAGAATTTTATTATTGCTTTTATTTTAATAGGTAAAGGTAAAGGGAACCCTGACCATTAGGTCCAGTCGCGGACGACTGGGGCGCTCATCTCGCTTTACTGGCTGAGAGAGCTGGCGTACAGCTTCCGGGTCATGTGGCCAGCAGGACTAACCCGCTTCTGGCGAACCAGAGCAGAGGACGGAAACACCATTTACCTTCCTGCTGGAGCGGTACCTATTTACCTACTTGCACTTTGAGGTGCTTTCAAATTGCTAGGTGGGCAGGAGTAGGGACTGAGCAATGGGAGCTCACCCCATCGCGGGGATTCGAACCGCCGACCTTCTGATCGGCAAGCCGTAGGCTCTGTGGTTTAACCCACAGCGCCACCCGCATCCTTATTTTAATAGTGACCTTTAAATAGCAGTGTGCTGTTTTTACTGTCTGCATTTTAATATATTTGTTTTCATGTTTTAATTCTAAGTATTATATTATATTTTTTACACACACACATGGTGGTACCTCGGGTTACATACGCTTCAGGTTACAAACGCTTCAGGTTACAGACTCTGCTAACTCAGAAATAGTACCTTGGGTTAAGAACTTTGCTTGACTTTCTTTGAAAAGCTGGTATCATTGAATCAATTTCATCCATTTTGTTGAATTAAACTGAATAGTTCCTATATACAGTGGTACCTCGGGTTAAGTACTTAATTTGTTCCGGAGGTCTGCTCTTAACCTGAAACAGTTCTTAACCTGAAGCACCACTTTAGCTAATGGGGCCTCTTGCCGCTGCGCGATTTCTGTTCTCATCCTGAAGCACCAAGTTCTTAACCTGAAGCACTATTTCTAGGTTAGCAGTCTGTAACCTGCAGCGTATGTAACCTGAGGTACTACTGTATACCATTATATATCAACTTCCTGTGTATTTTCTGTGTTTGTTTTGGTTTTTGCAAGCTCCCTGAGACCCAGTTCGGAGAGGGGGGAGAAATGTGGGCTATAAATAAACCTAACAAATGTTTCTGTTGTTATTTGTTCACTTGTTTTGTATACCAGGTCACTAGAAATATTTTGCCCCACCCGGAACTCGAACCCACGACCTGAGATTAAGAGCATGGACAGAGTGCCGCCCTCCTCGCCCCTGTTCCCATGGGGGCGTGTCTTCAGGCAGCCAATCGGCGAGCGCCTCCCCCCCCCCGCGAACTGGAAGGGTCTCGAAGGCGGCGGCCTCACCGGAGCCGTATCGGACGTCGTGCGAGTGGAGGCGGACTCCGTGCCGGGGGTTGAGCAGCTTCACCACGGAGCCGCACGTCACCAGCCCCGAAGGGGAACCGTCGCCACCGCCCTCCGCTGCCGCCGCCGCCACGACTCCCAAAAGCAGCGCCGCCCACAAGCGGCCCCGCGCAGCCCTCATCGCCCGCTGCCTTCCTTGTCCCTGAGGCAAACCGGAAGCTCCTCTCAGAGGCTCCGCCATCCGAGGAGGGAGGGAGCGGCGCCAGGTGATACTTCCGGTTTCGACGTCGGCGAGGTGGGAGGAGGACTCTCCCTGGAACCATAGAGACAGGCAGCTGGGCGGAAGTTCTAGGAAAGAGGGGCGCATGGCTGACCATAGAGTAAGGCTTGTTCAGTAAAATGAAGGGAAAGAGGAGCGCGATAGAGCGCCTCTGATCTCCCTGGTTCAAGGGCTGGGGGGAGGGTAACTTCCAGGTGTTTATATAAGAATAATAAATAATAAATTTATTATTTATACCCCACCCATCTGGCTGAGTTTCCCCAGCCACTCTGGGCGGCTCCCAATCAAATGTTAAAATCAGTACAGCGTTAAATATTAAAAACTTATAATTTCTCCCGGTCGCTTTTCTTACCAGCATGGCCAAACTTGACCCTCCAAGTGTTTTTGGGACTACAACTCCCATGATCCCTAGCTAACAGGACCAGTGGTCAGGGATGATGGGAATTGTTGTTGAGTCGTTTAGTCGTGTCCGACTCTTCGCGACCCCCTGGACCAGAGCACGCCAGGCACTCCTGTCTTCATGGAAATTGTAGTCCCAAAATAACTGGAGGGCCAAGTTTGGCCAAGGGGAACTCAAAAGCGAGTTGCGATCAATATTTAAAGAAACACGTGTTTGTAAAACAAGAGGAAAACACAGGAAGATTTTCTAAAAGGCAGCCCCAATCCCCCTTTGGAGGAAGAAAAGGCAGGGCCGAAGCATCCCGCCCACCTCAAGGAGGCCCCGGGTATAACTAGGAGCCGAAGGCCTGGCGGAAGATCAGCGGGAAGCTTTTAATGTTGGACTTTTTTATTTTTTATTTTATTTTGCCGGAAGCCACTCAGTAGTGGGCGGGGTATAAAAAAACAATTACTGTCGTCGTGTCGTCATCCTCCTCCTCCTCTCCTCCTCCTCCTCCTCCTCCTCATCCGCATACGGGTATTTGGAAGGATGCCGGAAATGGGCCCGGAGAACCGGAAGTCCCCACCTGAGGCCGCTCTGCCCCGACGCCTCCTCTGCTCCCTCCCTCCCCGCCCCCAGTCTCGCCGCTGCGGCTGACGGAGCGAGGCCTCCATTTTGCCTGCGAGAGGCCGGCGCCGTCGCTCGGCTGGGTTGGCGGCCCCCGACCGAGGAGGTGAGGCTGCCTGGCGGGAGGGCGGCGGGGACGAGGAGGCCTGAGGCCTTGCGGTGCCCCGGAGGCCGGGCTCCTTCCCCCCCGGGGAGCCGGCGGGAGGGGGCTGTCGGGCTTCGCCTCCGAGGCCTCGCGGCGCCTTCAGGACTCCTCCGGGCCCAGGCGGGGAAGGGGGAAAGCGGGTGCAGGGGGGAGGGCGCCTGGTCTCCTGCCCTCCAATTTTGGGGGGGATTAGGCAGGGACCGAGGAAGGGGGTGGCGGGGGAAGGGAAAGGAAGGGAGGAAAAGGACCGGCGGGGGGGAGAGAGGGTCTTAATTGTTAGGGAGGCTCGTGGGGGTAATAATAATAATAATTTATTACTTATACCCCGCCCATTTGGCTGGGTTCCCCAGCCACTTCAACAAAATATTAAAATACCAAGGGATAATAATAATTTTTTGTTATTTTTGTTATTTATACCCCCCTCCCATCTGGCTGAGTTTCCCCACTCTGGTCGGCTTCCAATCAAGTGTTAGAAACAATACAGCATCAGACATTAAAAACTTCCCTAAACAGGGCTGCCTTCAGATGTCTTTTAAAGAGAAGCTAGCTGCTTATTTCCTTCACATCTGAAGGGAGGGCATTCCACAGGGCGGGCGCCACCACCGAGAAGACCCTCTGGCTGGTTCCCTGTAACCTCACTTCTCGCAATGAGGGAACCGCCAGAAGGCCCTCGGTGCTGGATCTCAGTGTCCGGGCTGAACGATGGGGGTGGAGACGCTCCTTCAGGTATACAGGACCGAGGTTGCAGTTTCCTTGCTGCTTCTATCTGTAATCGTGATTGGAGGGGAGGGGTGGGATTCGCTTGTTACTGGTGTTCCTCCTATTAATCATGGTGATGGGGGGGGGCGGGTTGGACTTCCCTTTCTGCTCCCATTACTGATCATGATGGTGTTTGGGGTGTGCGGGGGGGGGGCTTGGACTCTGCTTAGTATTGTCAGCGTGGAGCCAATGGTGGGGGGGGCGGATGGAAGTGCTGCTTGAAATATTTCTGCCCACCTCCCCAAACCTGCTGGCTGCCAGGAGTTTGAGTGCAAGAACATCTGGAGGACCACAGGTGTTTTCACCCCCTTGTTTACCGAAACCATTGTAATGAAATCTGCGTTTACGTTGTGGTTTTTAATGGCTTTTGATCTTTCCGTAAGTCACTTAGAGACATCTTTGGTGTTCTGTTGCTGATACTGGATAAATAACATTTGGTGTGGGGTTTGTTACAAGAGAAATAAACTGCTCCCTTTCCCTTATGGGGTATTCTGGAGCCGGTATACAGTCCTTGAGGGTTCCCTATCAGTAGGGGGAAATAACAAGAGGCCAACCAGAGTGTATTGTATTTGAGAAGCAAAGCGGCTGGTAAGCCTGGTCTTTATTCAAGGAACTGTTGCAACAGGGTCCCCACAAGCAGGAGGGAGGAGAGCCTTGAACAATGGTGTTCAAGCCCTTATATAGACTTTTCAAATTGCCCACCCTATAGCCAAAAGACCACCACCCCAAAACATCATAAATACATCACAGAAGGAGGCGGTCTACAGCAGAAATCCTGTCTGTCAGGATGCATGATAATGGTCACTGATTGCATTACCTGGGCAGTCTGGCCATTCTTTTGTTATGGTTAATACTTCTCATTCCCAAATCCAGGTCCCAGGCTCACCCTATTCATACCCAAATGCATCCTTAAGACATGATTTGCAAGCAAAAAATACAATAGGAAGACTTTCCCCATTTGCTTCCCTTAACTGCAGAGGAATATTTGAGGTCATACTATTTCAGACACATGATTTATATACTTATGTATGTGTTTGCCTTATAAGTTTATTAACATTTTATATTTGAGACTTTAGAATTCTTATAACAGGTTGAAAATTGCTTTTAAAAAAAAGCATTTATCCCCCTTCTTAGTGGCTAAAAAAACAACCAGGCACCCAACCAAGAATCTTGTGCTATCTGAAAGGCTAGTACATTCATTGCTTATGCCCCCCCCCTTTGTTATAGACTGCAGCATACCCTAGTCCATGAAAATATCCTGATGTAATAAGTGCACTTGTTTTTTAAGCTGACACAGATTCTTCTGCTCAGGGATCCCCCTGAAGAATCCTCCCGCATTACTGTCTCAGGCACTTGCTCCTTGTTTTCCTTGCCTTCTCCCCACCTCCCAAATGGCTCTCTGTAGCCAGGGTGGAATTCCCCCTTCTGTTCAGAAGCATCAGCCATTAAGGAAAAAGCGGCCCTTTGGTGCCTGCTCTGGGGGATGGGGAGGGCAGCAGGTAGGATCATGGTTCACCATATTTGTACTATGCCACATCTCAGCCACTGTGCTCCTCGAAGCTGCTTATATTATCATTTTTAACCCCCTGTTCCTAGGGCCAGTCCTGTTGTTTTTGGAGGAAAAGTCTAAAAGGTCAGTGCTATTGACAATGGGTGCTTTTGTGCAGGAATCCTGCTTGTGGATTTGCCATTGGGGCATCTGGTTGGCCACTTGGAGAACAGGCTGCTAGACGGGCCCTTGGGCTGATTCAGCAGGGCTCTTACAGAGGACAAGGCTATTAATGGCTACTAGCGACAGTGTTGGTGCTTCTGAATTCCAGTTGCCGGAAGCCACAGGAGGGGAGCGTGCTGCCACACTCAGGTCTTGCCTGCGGGCATCTGGCTATCCACTGTGAGAACAGGAGGCTGGACCGGCCACTGCCCTGATCCTGCCAGGCTCTTCTTATGCTCTATTCCAGGGATGGCCAAACTCGGCCCTCCAGCTGTTTGGGGACTATGATTCCCATCATCCCTGACCACTGGTCCTGTTACCTAGGGATGATGGGAGTCGTAGTCCAAAAACAGCCGGAGGGCCAAGTTTGGCCATCACTGCTCTAGTCTGATGGAGCTCCTGGTTCTGTTTCCCTCAAAGGTAGCAAACCAGTGACTCCTTAAAGCAGCCTTTAACAACCTTGTGCCCGCCTCAGCCACCATAGCCGTCTGATGGGAGCATGGTGGTCCTAGTTGTGTCAGATGGGTGTCATAACCCAAAACATCTGGGGGGCATCAGAAGAAGGCTGCGCCTTAAATCCTCCACTCTGCATCCTCATCCTTCCCTCTGAGATGCAAAAACTATCTAGGCTAACTTAAGAGGAAGGTGGTTGTTCATTTCCTCCTGTTTATGCATTATTATTATTGTTAAATCACATGGATAATGCTTTGCTGGCTGTTTTATGTCCCCAAGATCTTTTGTGATGGATCTGGGAAGTTGGATGGATGTAGGAGGCTACCTTATACAGAATCAAACTGTAGGTCCACCTAGCTTGGTTTTGATTGGCAGCAATGCCTACCCATGATGTCAGGTTGAGAGTCTTTCTCAGTCCTACCTGGACTCAGGTAAAACATGTGCTTTCCCCTGGAGCTATGGCACTTCACATCCTCTGCAGCAGCCTTCCCCAGCCACCATGGTGCTCTCCAGATGTTTTTCAACTACAGCTCCCATCAACCCCAGCTAGCATGATATAATGGCCAGGGCTGATGGGAGTTGTAGTTCAGCAACATCTGGAGACCAAATGTCCCCCACGCCTGATCTGCATGAAAAGCTAAGCATTTACTGTAGCATCATGGCAGAGACTTGAGTTGTGAACTGGGAAGCACCCATTTCAAATACCTTTTTGTCCACAAATTAGCTGACTCTCTCGTTCTCTGCCTTGGCTCCCCAGCTGCAACGTGGCAGATATGGTTCTGGCATAAGGGTTGTTGTAAATATTACCGAGAAGCTGTGTGAGGTGCATTGAGTGCTCTAAAGTGTTCTCCTGTAAGTGCTGTGTGCTATTAATGCGGGAAACTGAGAAGATGGATGTTTTCTCAGTGCCAAATGCTGGAGGAGCCAAGAACAATAAGAAGAGCCTGCTGGATCAGGCCCAAAGGGGCCCGTCTAGTCCAGCATCTTGTTCTCATAGTAGCCAGACCGATGCTTCAGTGGGAAACCACAAACAGAACCTGAGCCTTTTCCTCCCCTCCCCTCCTGTGGTTTCCAGCAACTGGTATTTAGAAGTATTACTGTTTCTGACCATGGACGCAAAGCATAGCCTTTCTCCATCCATCCCTCAGCCATTACAGCATAGGAAGCTGCCTTCTCCTGACTCAGACCATTGGTTCATTTAGCACAGGCATCCCCAACCTTCGGCCTTCCAGGTGTTTTGGACTACAATTCCCATCATCCCTGATCACTGGTCCTGTTAGCTAGGGATCATGGGAGTTGTAGGCCAAAACATCTGGAGGGCCGCAGGTTGGGGATGCCTGATTTAGCTCATTGTCTGCACTGAGTGGCAGCTATGATTGAACATTTCAGGCAGGAGGAACATTCCCAGCCCTATGTGGGAGATACCAGTTGTTGAAACTGGGACCTTCTGCTATGAAGCAGGTACTCTACCAATGAGTTATGATCCTCCCTGTTAAATGAGGGTGGCAGGGTCCCAGTTCTGTGTAGAAACCTGTGCATCAATGCACCTCTCTGCTTTGAGGAATGCCACATCAGCTAGCTTTCATTCATTGCAGGAAGTTTGTCTTGCTATTCTCCCCACAGCCCAGTTAAATCTTGAATATTTCTTTTGGATTCTCCCTTCTGTGCTCCCTGAATCAAAGTGGTGCCACTGAAGCATGTAGGTCCTTCCTTTCTGCCTTAGTGACCAAAAACTGTGAGCTTCGGGAGTCTGCAATGATTAACCCAGAGCCACATCCAATTCAAACCAATGGCCTGTGTATGAAAGGCCACAAGTAGCATGACACCCCCCCCCCCGCTAGGGGACAGTATCCAGCAGTAAAGATCTTTCCAGTAGTAGAAGGACGATGAAAACCAGAGGGCAGCACTTCTGGATTGAAAGTAGACCCAAAGGAAGTGGGCATGGTCCCTGGTGCCACCAACTCCTGGACGGTTAAGTCCAGTCAAGGGCGACTATGGGGTGCAATGTTCATCTCACTTCAGGCTGAAGTTTTCCGGGTCATGTGGCCAGCATGACCAAGCCTCTACTAGTGCAAAGGGACACCATGATAGAAACCAGAGTGCATGGAAACGCCGTTTACCTTCCCCCTGCAGTGGTACCTATTTATCTACTTGCACTGGCGTGCTTTCAAACTGCTATGTTGGCAGAAGCTGGGGCAGAATAGGTGGGTATTTTGTGGCCAGTGCTTTCAGTCTGCCAGCCTCTGGGTGCAACCCAGCCCCCTCCTTATGCACCATGCCATTTTAAACCCCCAATCCCTCTGTGGGCCAGTGGGTCTGAGATCTCTGCTGGCAGGAGTGTAGAGCATGCTGCGATGGGGAGAGAGCCTGGAGGCTGTGGTAGTGCTGGAAAAACAGGAGGGAGCACTTGTCTGATGAAAGGCAAAGGGAGAAAAGAGAGAGGTGCTTTATAATTAGAAACCTGCCTATGAAGTAGGAACACCCTTGCAAAGTATAGTTTGGGCAATGAGGATGCAGTTTTGGAAAGGAGGATGGCTAAATATTGTGTGTGTGATCTAACAATGCGATTGGCCATGGAGGCCTTGTTCCAGTCGCAGTCATTGCATTTGAGCCAGGATTAAGAATTGCCAGGGTGGGTCTGTTTCACTCAGGGAGGAGGAAAGCCTGCATAGAGCCTGGTACCCGAGCAAGGATCGCAGGGTTGGTTGGGATCTGTCGCTTGTGTTGTGGCTGGAGCGGGGCATAAGCTGCTGCCCCCTTGCATCCAGCGTTGGTGGTTCTTACCTCTCACTTCTCATCCCCCTCTGTCAGTAAACAAAATGCTGGCAAGAGGCCATTGATCTGTGTGTTGCCTGTAGAATGTGCAATCTGAACCCTTGGCCTGCCCCTGCCTCAAACCAACAGACAGGAGAAATCCTTCACCTGTCGGCAATTGTCCCCTCATGGGAAGGATTTGGGGAGTGTCCCTGAGGATATCCTAGTACCCACCTCTGCCGCCCAAGCTGCAACACGGAGCCCACTTTCATGTTTTCACTTCGGATTTATGCTTAATAGTGCTAACAATGCATGCTGTTAATCCTGAGAGCAACGTATATCGTGTTACCTCATCATTACTGCATTAGTAAATGAAAATTACTCCTGCTGTGTGGCAGCAGAAAGGCATGAGTGTGGTTTTGGCCAGAAATGCGTATCTTATTTTAAAAAATGACTCATGCCTTTCTCCTGCCATACTCCTGCAGCACTCGTGGAATCTGATAAAACGAACAACTCATCAGAAGAGTGTCCTAGCCCAGACCCACGAGGAGTGCTCCTTTGGTCCAGTCAGCCCAAGATGGAATCCAACATGGTGGCAACAGCTGTGTTGTGACCCACCTAGCGCGGCCTCACAACTCAGGGGGTGAAGGCCTACATCCCAGCAGATCACAGCTGCAACTAAATGTGGGTTTAGAATAGCTGGATATTTGACTGTGGCCTGAAGAAACCTCTGTGTTTGCATGTCAGAGTCAGTGGGTCCAAAGCTTTGGGTCCAAAGCATGGGTGGTGTGGGGAACCTGCGGAGGTCCTCCAGGTCAGGGATTGGGGCTTCAGGGCCCCACGTGGCTCTGGTCCTCTGCTCTTGCCACCATTTTGCCTGCCAGCGGTCTCTATCTACCATTGACTGCTCCAGTCTTTGTCAAAGAGACCCCTTCAAAGATTCTTGGAATCTTGACTACGGCTTGTTGGAAGTTAAATGAGAGTATCTGCTATAGAGTGGTACCTCGGGTTACATACGCTTCAGGTTACATATGCTTCAGGTTACAGACTCTGCTAACCCAGAAATAGTACCTCGGGTTAAGAACTTTGCTTCAGGATGAGAACAGAAATCGTGCTCCGGTGGCGCGACAGCAGCGGGAGGCCCCATTAGCTAAAATGGTGCTTTTGGTTAAGAACAGTTTCAGGTTAAGTACAGACCTCCGGAAAGAATTAAGTACTTAACCTGAGGTACCACTGTATATTTTGGAAAGTGGTTTGTCTGTCTGTTCTCTATAGGTTCCACCCCCTATCTGGATATCATTGGCACAAGGGTTTCTAAGGTGGGAGCAGGGGGCCGTTGTCAAATTTGGGCCACTGGCTGCCATTTTGAATCAAGATAGCACACCAGAACATTACCAGGAAGAACCTGGCAGTGTGAGAAGGATAACGGTGCACATGTCAAGCACAGTTGCTACGAACAGCCAGCACTGCCCCAACATTAGATTTGTGCACAGTGGTAGAACTTGCAGCAGTCGAAAACAGTAAATCTGAGTGATTAAGAGGCTTAACTATTCCCTCTTCCAAAGTCCTGTCCGTATCAGAGATCATAACTATTTTATCAAGCTTTAGAAATTTTGTAAGAATGTTTGAGGAAGGTACATAGCTCAGTAGTGGAACACATGTTTTACATGTGCAAATGGTCCTAGGTCACATTTCCAGGGTGGATATACAAAGGCTCCCTGGAAAACTGCTGCCATTGTGTGTAGTAGTGAGCAAAAGGCATCAGTGGCCTGACTGTGATGGAAGGTAGTTTTCTAAGTTCTTAAGAAGTACGCAGATCCAGAGTGCAGGGGGGCCAGACCAGAGGAACAGACTCTTGCACCGGGGTTTTGTTTCAGGGGTTCTGTTGGGAGAGGGGTTGCTGCTGATATTACCGTAATTTTTTCTATCTTTTTAGAGTTATGTGGAAAATGTTCAATTTGGTTGTTTACATTTTGATGAGTTTTATTTATTGTTTATGGCTACTTTTGTTATGTTTGTAATTATGCACATTTTTTCATGTTGTAAGCCACCTTGAGCATGGTTTTAACTATGGAAAGGTGGTATACAAATAAAATAATTAATTACTTTGCTTGATCTTTGACATGGTGGGTCCAAATTCACAAATTATCCAGTCGGGTATTCCTTTCTCCTAAAAATTTCTGGGCCGCGCCGGGCCTTTGCAGTGAGATCTGCTTCCCTTCAGCAGCTAGACCTGCCCTGCCTTGCCCTTGTGCCTTCTTTGTGTGTGCCGACCTTATCCTTAGTCTCCTTCCCTCCTTGTTTCCTCACAGGTGCTGTAACCCAGCAAGGGAGGGCCACTTCCTTTGCTGACTTCGGCCCCTTCCTCCTCCTCCTCTCCCCCCCTCAGCCCCATCTATAACCGCAACCATGTCGGACTTTGTGGAGAGCGAGGCTGAGGAGTCTGAGGAGGAGTACGACGAAGATGGGGAAGTCGTCACCAGGCCACCTAAGAAGTTCGTCGAGGATGAAGACGGTGAGCTCGCTTCGCTTTCCCCCTCGGGTTTCTGAGTTGTGCCAACAGCCTGTCCATTTGAGTCTCTGCCAGAAAGCTTCCAAACAGCAGAGGGAGCGTCTGTGCTGGTCCATGGCAGCAAAAACAACCAAGCTCCTGTGACTCGTTTCGGCTGGCGGTTTTTAGCCGATAAAGGCTTCTGACTTGGTTGGGTGCATTGCCCGGAAGCTGTGCCCTGGCAGGCCAGCTGCATTCAGGGTTTGTTCACTTGGGAACAGGCTGCATCTACGCCTTAAGTGGCTGGAGGAATGTAATTGCATTTGGGGGCAAGAGGAATGAACGGATTGAGAAACGCATCCACCGGGCGCCCCAACATAAAAATTGGACTTTGGAAAGGGAACGGTTGTGTGTGAGCTTCAGGCCTTCGTGGAAGTTTGGTGCTGGCAAACAAACCCCCAGTTAAATGAGAGCATAAGAGCCTAAACCTAGCTCTGCTGGATCAAGCCAGTAGCCCATCTAGTCTGGCATCCTGTTCTCGCAGTGGCCGACCGGATGCCCCAAAGGGAAGCTTGTGAGTGGGATGTAAGTGCAAGAGCACTCTCCTTTCCAGTGGTATTTGGAACCATAGCTGCCTCCAGCTGTGGAGGCAGAGCATGGCAATCGTGGCTTGCATCCATTATTGATAGCCTTCTCCGTGAATTCGTCAAATCCCCTTTTATATTTTGTGTTTCTGTATTTTTATGTTGCGAACCACCCTGTGAAGTCCAGCATACAGATTCAATAAGTAAATGGATAGATTTGAAAGCCATCTAGGTTGGTGGCCATCGCTGCCTCCTGTGGCAGGGAGTTCCATAGTTCAGCTAATCCTCTGCCTCTGGGAATTTGCTTTTTCTGCACCCGATGCCTGACTTCTGTATATTTATTGTATTGACTTTCTCCTTCTATCAGAGGAGGAGGAGGAAAACCTTGATGACCAGGACGAGCAGGGGAACTTGAAAGGCTTCATCAATGATGATGACGATGAGGAAGAGGAGGAGGAGGAAGAAGCCAGTGATTCCGGAGACTCTGAGGACGATGTTGGTCGTAAAAAGAGGAAGCGCAGTAAGTTTGGGGGGTGGTCAGCAACAAGCAGGTCCCTGTCGGTCTTCATTCTCTGTGCCAGTCCTCTTCAACCTGGGCCTCTCTGGATGTTGGGAACTACAACTCCCATCAGCCCCGACTAGGAGTTGTGGTCCACACCATCTGAAGGGCTACCGTGCGTCATTTGTCCTCATTGAATTCCACCTGCCCATAGCCCCACCTTCTGCCTGACCTGGGTGACACACCTTTTTCCCCCTGCCCTCCTCCTTCCCACCAATCTTTTCCAGCTTCCTTTTCTACTTGTTTGGGGTCCTGACTTTCCATCTCTCCCTCTCTAGATTTTGATGACCGCCTTGAGGACGACGACTTTGACCTCATTGAAGAAAACTTGGGTGTCAAAGTTAAACGGGTGAGTAGCACGTCGCACTCTGGCAATCTTTTGAGTGAGCAAGGTGCTCTTATCTTAGCTATCCTAATCTACTACTATTTCAATTTGCTGGATCTTTTTCTTTAAAAGGAAGGGCTTCCTCAGTCACCTCTCCTTCAGGCAAAGTCTCATGCCACCGTGCAGTCTGAGAAGGCTGTGCTGGAGAGACTGAAATCAGCCTTACTTCCCTCTCTGCCCCCCTATGTTGTTGACTGGGACTGATGGGAGTTTTTGTCCAAAATATCTGAAGGGTACCTGGTTGGGGAAGCCTGACCTCAAAGTAGATTGGGTCCCACTGCAGCCTGGCTCTTACCCCTATCACATGTCTTTTGTTTGGCTGAGGTGTGGTTGTTAACAACAACAACAACAACTATTTATACCTTGCCCATCTGGCTGGGTTTTCCCAGACACTCTGGGTGGCTTTCAATAGAGTAATAATAATAATAATAATAAAGTGAGAAAATGTCAAACATTAAAAACTTCCCAATACAGGGCTGCCTTCAGATGTCTTCTAAAAATCAGATAGTTGTTTATTTCCTTTATCTGATGGGAGGGCCTTCCACAGGGTGGGCGCCACCACTGAGAAGGCCCTCTGCCTGGTTCCCTGTAACCTCACTTCTCACAGGGAGGGAGGGAACTGCCAGAAGGCCCTCGGCGCTGGACCTCAGTGTCCGGGGAAACGATTGGGGTGGAGACGCTCCTTCAGGTATACTGGGCTGAGGCCATGTGGGGCTGTAAAGGTCAGCACCAACACTTTGAATTGTGCTCGGAAACTTACTGGGAGCCAATGTAGGTCTTTCAGGACCAGTGCTATATGGTCTTGGCGGCCGCTCCCAGTCACCAGTGTAGCTGCCGCATTTTGGATTAACTGTAGTTTCCAGCAAACCTTCAAAAGTAGCCCCACGTAGAGCTCATGGCAGTAGTCCAAGTGGGAGATAACCATAGCATGCACCACTCTGGTGAGACAGTCTGCAGGTAGGGTCTCAACCTGCGTACGAGATGGAGCTGGTAGACAGCAGCCCTGGACAGCAGTGACCCTGCCTTCTTCTACATCTTGAATGATCTCCAGGCAGGGTGGAGGCCTCTGTTTACAGGCAACAGAGTTAGGAAAGATGGTGTCCCTGAGAGGTTGTGTTGGGTGTGGAGATGAGGGGCTGCCTGTTGAGTCCCTGGAAGGTGTGGGGAGTCCCTATCTCAAGGGGCCTGCAGACTGATCAAACAGAATACATTTCCCTTGGCAGCAAAAATTCAGGCGGGTGAGGAAGATGTCAGATGACGAGGATGACGAAGAAGAGGATTATGGGAAGGAGGAGCACGAGAAGGAAGCCATTGCTGAAGAGATCTTCCAGGATGGGGAGGGCGAGGACGGGGGAGAGGGCGGCGAAGGCCCTGTTGCCGCAGCCGAGGAAGAAGAGGAAGAGGAGGAAGATGAATCTGGTAGGTATTGATGCTCACTCCTCTGGGATACTGGATGAAATGATAGGAAGGGCTGTGAGTTGAAGGAAGGTGTTCAAAGGAGCCAGTGGCAGCTAGTGGCCTTTGGAAAGATTCAGAAGCAAGCCTTGGGGAGCTCTTATCTAACACGGGAGCAACATATTTCTTATTTCATTAGATTATTTTGCTCAGGCTGGAGCCCCCATGGCAAAGTAGTGGTATATTCCAGACTGGTGTGAGGGGGAGACCTCCCTCCCTGCCTCCCAGCTGAATGGGGGGCCCCTGGCAGAGATGCACCAGCAACTGGGCATAGATCAATAATTGGTCGAGGCAAAGGTGGGGTGAGGGAAGGGCCCAGTTCCAGCCACCCATGTGAGCGGCGACCATTGGTGTTTCTTCCAGACATCGATGACTTCATTGTGGATGACGATGGGCAGCCTCTGAAGAAGCCCAAGTGGAGGAAGAAGCTCCCCGGATACACAGACGCGTAAGTCGGTCGAAGGCCACTGCCCTTCTTTCAAGTTCCGACTGCGGGGAGGGAACCACCGCCAAAGGGAAATGTTGGGCGTGAGCGGTAGCATGACAGCCATCTGCAACCCCCAAAGGGCTGTTGCGTGGAAGATGGAGCAAGCCCGTTTTCTGCTGCTCCAGAGGGAAGGACCCAAGCCAAGGGTTCAAAGTGCAAGAAAGGAGATACCAGCTAAACTGTAGGGAAAGAGATTCCTGAGAGTAAGAATCATTTGACAGTGGAACGAAGTGCCACAGAGGATGGTGGCTTCTCCTTCCTTCCTTTAAGCAGAGGTCGGATGGCCATCTGCCAGAGGTGCTTTAGCTGTGATTCCTGCATTGCAGGGGGTTGGAATAGATGACCCTTGGGGGTCCCTTCCACCTCTACAATTCTGCGAAATGCTTTTCCTTGCAGTCGCCCCTGGAGCTGCCCAGCTCCCTTTCAGTGTGGAAATGGGCCTGCTTTGGCTTTAGGTGTTCAGAGGCCCCCTGTTCTCATAAGGCTCTTTGTGGGCAAGTCAGCTGCTGCCCTCTCTCCTTCCCCCACCCCTGAGACATTGATGGTCTTCAGTTGTCAAATACCAGTGTTCCTGTCCTCTCCCAGTGCTTTGCAAGAGGCTCAGGAGATATTCGGAGTGGACTTTGACTATGACGAGTTCGAGAAATACAACGAGTACGACGAGGAGATGGAAGATGAGTACGACTACGAGCCTGAAGAGACGGAAGGGGAGATCCGCGTCCGGCCCAAGAAGACGGCCAAGAAGCGCGTCAGCCGCCGCAGCATTTTCGAGATGTATGAGCCCAGCGAACTGGAGAGCAGCCACCTGACTGACCAGGACAACGAGATCCGGGTGACTGACATGCCCGAGAGGTTCCAGGTGAGGAGACCTGCCTGTCCGGTCCTTGCTTCTCCCTTTTCACTACCTGCTGCATTTACAGCAAGGGTGGGGGGGGGACACCTGTGGCTGCCCCCAGATGTTGCTGGAGTCCAGCGCCCATCACCCTCATCCCTGACCACTGGCCCTGCTAGATTGCTGGGGATCTGGAGTCCAGCAACATCTGGGGGCAGGGATGTTCCCTAGCCTTAGGTCACAAAACGCAGCCTTGACCCACTTAGGCCTCTTGCAGCAAACTTCACCCCTTTGCACTCTGTTTTCCTCCTCCCAGCTGCGCTCCATCCCTGTGAAGAATGCCGAAGATGACGAGCTGGAAGAGGAAGCCGACTGGATCTACCGGAATGCTTTTGCCATGCCCACCATCTCCCTGCAGGTGAGGATCTGCTCGGAGTGACAGCTGTTCTTGGAAGGCTGTAGGACATGTCTCTATGTTGTTGTTTGTTTTATTATTACTCCTCCACTCTTAAGGTCCCAGGGCAAGTTGCAGCCTATAAAGCAATATTGAAAACAATGCAAAGCAACTTAACAGCCATAAAATTGAGATGGGTTTTGTCAAAAGACGTGCATCTTCAGCATCCTTTGGAAGTTGTATAATGTAGGTGCCAGAGACACATCTCTGGGGAGGGAGTTCTACAACTGAGGGGCCACCACAGAGAAGACCCTCTTTTGGACTGCCACCCCCTAAACCTCTGAGGGCAGAGGGCAGAGTACCAAAAGGGCCCCCTCTGCTGATCTCAGCACCCAAGGGGACTGTAGGGAAGGAGGTGGTCTTTCAGGTATTTGGTGCCTGGGTCGTTTAGAGCTTTAAATGCTAACATGCGCACCTTCAATTGGGTCTCGAAGTGAGCTAGCAATCATTGCAGCTGTTTCGAAAATAGTTTGTATGAGAATTAAATGCAACCCCAGGTGGTAGGTAATCTTGCTGCTGCATTTTGGACTAACTCTAAGCATGCAGAGCCTGCAGAATTGAAGAGAATTAATTGCACTGCTCCCCCCCCCCTTTCCAGAGTTCTCCTTCACAGCCTTCTCTTCGGAGTTGTGTTTTTTGCCAGCTGGGTGTCAACAGGGTTGAGGTTCGACTGTCTCTGGCGCACAGGTGTGGTAGTCTGTGAGGTGGGGGCTTTGGGCAGGGGCACTGTTAAGGACAGTGGAACAGGAGGAGATATTTGACATTAAAAATATAATTAGAGTATCGAGTTGGCTTAAAACAGTTATCTTAAAACACACGTCAAATTTAGAATCGTAGAACTGCAGAGTTGGAAGGGACAGAGTTGTATGTGGCCCATATGGGGATTGAACCCATGACATTGGCGTTGTCAGCAGCACGCTGTAACCAACTGAGCTAACTCTCAGCCTACTTGTCTCACTAGGTTTTCCCGTACAAAAAAAAAAAAGTGATTCAGCTAGTTCTGTTTAAAATATAAAATATGATTAAAATCAGCAGCTGAAAATGCATGTCAAACCCAGATGTCTTGCTAGGCTTTCCAGAACAAAAAACATTGTTAGCAGGTGCTTGAAATGAGTACCTGATGTCAATAGGCGGGGAGTTCCAAAGGGGTGGGTGTTGCCACGCTCAAAGATAGTATTTGTTCTATGGTTGTAAGAAACGTCAGTGTCAGCCGATCCCCCTGCCTTCTCCTTGCCCCCCAGGAGAGTGCCGACTACCTGGACCGCGGCCAGGCCAGCAGCAGCTTCAGCCGCAAGGGCCCCAGCACCATCCAGAAGATCAAAGAAGCCCTGAACTTCATGAGGAACCAACACTTTGAGGTGAGCTGGGATGGGGCGGCTGAGCTGCTTCCTTGAGGGTAGATGGATTTCTTTGATTGGTGGAAGCTGGAGTCCAAAAACACAGCCACGCTGACAGGGGCCGATGGCAGCTGGAATCCCGAATCCCTGGCAGGTGGCCAGGCACCGAAGCCTGCCATGAACAGGAGGGCTCCTGTCCGTGAGCCCAACCTCCTTGGGTTTAATGGGGTTTCCCCACTTTTCCCCCCTTAGGTTCCGTTCATCGCCTTCTACAGGAAGGAGTACGTAGAGCCAGAACTGCACATCAATGATCTGTGGCGAGTCTGGCAGTGGGACGAGAAGGTGAGGCTCCCAGCCCAGCCGCCTCACCTGAGACGGTGATTCTGCTCTAAGATAGTTGCTGCTATCACTGAAATGGGAAAGGTGGTGCGGACATAATGGACTCCTCTTTTTAAAAACAGTAATAGGGAAGTGCAGGGACACGGGTGGTGCTGCAGGTTAAACCACAGAGCCTAGGACTTGCTGATCAGAAGGTCAGCGGTTCGAATCCCCGTGACAGGGTGAGCTCCTCTTGCTCGGTCCCTGCTCCTGCCAACCTAGAAGTTCGAAAGCACGTCAAAGTGCAAGTAGATAAACAGGTACCGCTCCGGCAGGAAGGTAAATGGCGTTTGCATGCGCTGCTCTGGTTCGCCAGAAGCGGCTTAGTCCTGCTGGCCACATGACCCGGAAGCTGTACGCCGGCTCCCTCGGCCAGTAAAGCGAGATGAGCGCCACAACCCCAGAGTCAGCCACGACTGGACCTAATGGTCAGGGGTCCCTTTACCTTTTTAACAGGGAAGTGCACTTGTCTGTTCTTGCTCCGTAGCCACTCGTTGGTGGGAACTTTACCTGAGAAGATCTTCCTTGGCCACCATAGAAAGGGCCGTCATTTCTTTTAACAAATAAGAATATATATCTTCCTGCGATTTCACTGAGCAAAATCTCTGTGTGAGGGGGAAATGGGCCCTGTTCTCCTGTCCAAAAAGGTCTGCGCCTCCTAGCTCTCTCCCTCTGCAAACTTGAATGACCACGACCAGATCATTTGTGTCGTGGGGTGTTGGTGTTCATAAGGACACATGAAGATGGATCAGGCCAAAGGTGGCCCATCTAGTCCAGCACCCTGTTCTCACAGGGGCCATTCAGATACCCGTGGGAAAACTGCAAGCAGGATGTGAACACAAGAGCCCTCTGCCCTCCTGTGGTTTCGAGCGACTGCTGTTCAGAAGCATGGCTGCCTCCCACTGTGCAGGCAGAGCAGAGCCACCGAGGGCCCCTCTCATACATGACCCCCTCTATGGAGCCAGCTAGCTAAGCCCTGTGACTTCAGTTCCAGCATGACCCTGGCCAGGAGTCTCTCAGTCCTTTCCCTCTCTCAGTTCACTGATCTTTGCAAGAAGTGGGGGCCCAAGCCCCCCCTCCACCGTTGGAAGGAAGCCCCCACCCCTGCATCTTCCATGTTCAGACGCACCACCATATTCTTGTGCTCGCCGGCCAAAGGGACCTCTCTGGCTCTGCTCTGACTCTTGCTGCTTTCCTTACTCAAGGAAGTTCAGTTGGAAGCGAGAAGTCGGTGGGGTGGTTCTGGGAAGGCAGTCAGGTGACTCAAAGCAAACTTCCCTCTCTCTCTCCCTTGCCCCAGTGGACCCAGCTGAAGATCCGTAAGCAGAACCTGACCAGGCTCTTTGAGAAGATGCAAGCCTACCAGTATGAGCAGATCTCTGCGGATCCAGACAAGCCTCTGGCAGACGGCATCAGAGCCCTGGACACCACTGACATGGAGAGGTACCGTCTCTCCTCAGAGCTGTTAGGCCAAAACTTCAAGGCAAGCCGGTGCCTTGTCTCACTGGGAATACATGGTTCCCCCGGGTCAGCCTGTCTGTCTCTTCCCGAGAACCTCGGGGAAAACTTTCGGTGTCTTCTTTTCTTGACTAGGGCTGCCCTTTTGCCATTTCTTGTCATTGTCGTGATTTTGAACAAAAGGGACACTGCAAGTATTTTAAGGAGAGTCTCCTTACATACAATCGTACCTTGGTTGTCAAATGGAAACTATTCTAGAACTCCATTCAAATTCCGAAAACATTCGACAACCAGGGCGCGGCTTCTGATTGGCTGCAGGAGCTTCCTGCACATAATCGAAAGCCAAGTTGTACATTCGGCTTCCAAAGAACGTTTGCAAAGCAGAACACTGACTTCCGGGTTTGCGGCGTTCAGGAGTCAAAACGTTTAACTCCCAAGGCATTCGGGATCCAAACTGTACTTAAGAACTGAAGAAGAGTCTGGTCTAGCCGTGTCCAAAGTCCGTTTTGGGGGCCTAATCCAGCCCGCAGGTTGGTTTAATGCGGCCCCTGTGGCAGTTTATTTTCTGGGGTAAAATCCTAAGAAAACCTCAACAACTTCAATCCTAAAAAAAGCTCAGCAGCTTCAATCCTAAAAAAAGTTAGTAAAGTAAAGAAATGAAATCTGTTTCTTGTGGCTCTCGCCAAATATATAAATATTTTTAAATGCCTTCTCGTGCTTCTGTTTTGGCAGGCTGAAGGACGTGCAGTCCATGGATGAGCTGCGGGATGTGTACAACCACTTCCTGCTCTACTATGGCCGAGATATCCCCAAGATGCAGAACGCGGCCAAGGCAAGCCGCAAGAAGCACAAGAGGGTCCGGGAGGACGGTGAGGAGGAGGAAGGTATGTGGGTTGCAGGAAGGGGCTGCCTGGTTTCTAAGGTGATCGTCTCCATACTCCCACCCCACCATCTCCCCCCCTCTGGTGCCTTCGCTACAGGGCTGTCTCTCTCCCCCACCCTCTGAGCCTGGCTTTCTGCACAAGGTGGTGGGGCCTGGCTCCATACCCTCCCTGTGCCAATTGCTGTGGGTCGCAAAAGCCCTGAAACTGGGCTGCTGCCCACAGAGGCTGGCACTCTTAGTTCTGGTTGCTTGTTTATTTATTTAGAAAATCTAGATATACCACTCAACACATTTGGCAAAAAAAACCCCAAAGCCCTAAGTGGTGGTAATGATGATGATGATGATGATAATAACAATAATAATAATAATAATAATTAATAATAAAAATAATAATAATAATTATTATTTATACCCCGCCCATCTGGCTAGGCTTCCCCAGCCACTCTGGGCGGCTTCCAAAAAAATATTAAAATACCGTAATACATCAAACATTAAAAGCTTCCCTAAGCAGGGCTGCCTTCAGATGTCTTCTGAAAGTCTGGTAGTTGTTGTTCTCTTTGACATCTGGTGGGAGGGTGTTCCACAGGGCAGGTGCCACTACAGAGAAGGCCCTCTGCCTGGTTTCCTGTAACTTGGCTTCTCGCAGTGAGGGAACCGCCAGAAGGCCCTTGGCGCTGGACCTCAGTGTCCGGGTAGAACGATCGGGGTGGAGACGCTCCTTCAGATATACTGGACTGAGACCGTTTAGGTGAAATCATCAAGTCAGAAACAATGTATTGCAAATGAAGATCCTTTTGTAATTAATAATACAAAGTATTACTTTGCTCAAGGGCAAAAAAGACTTGTGCAGGTTAGAAGGGTAAAAGCCACTTAAATGTGCATTAAAATGTAAGCACCTGTAATTCAAATATGGACTGAAACAAACAGCAGCAGGATAATGTCCTTCTGGGCACAAAGGGAGCCAGTCTGGGTGAGCTTCCTCCGCATCCCCTCCGTTCTTCTTCCCTTCCTTTCGCATCAGAGGTCTCTGCAACTCTGTGTTAGTTCAGCCTCCCCCTCTCAGGGTTTCCTCTGGGCATTGTTGCCCTGTGAGGCAACTTCGCAGCCAACGCTGCCTGTCGGACTGAGGGGTGTTGTAATCCCAGGCCTCAGGAGGAGCACCAAGCTAGGAGTGGCTGCGCTAGAGAGACGAGATGCTCATGGTGAATCTCCCCCCTTGCTGGATGGGAGAAGGAGGCGGCCTCTCTCACTTTGTCAGGGGGGCTCCCCTTTCCTTTCCTTGAGATTTCTTGTTTGTTTATTTATTGGATTTATATTCCACTTTTCCTTCAAGGCACTCTTAAGTGGCGTACATGGTTCTTCTCCCCATTTAGTGCCCACAACAACCTTGTGAGGTAGGTTAGGCTTCCAAGATCACCCATGGCTGACTTGGGGAATTTGAACCCTGGCCTCTCCTGGGTTCTAGTCCAGCACTCTTAACCACTGTGCCACAGTGCCTCTCTGCTGATGTTCCCAGTGTGTCTGGCCTCTCCTGGTCGTCCCTGGTGGTTGGGCATTTTCCCAAGGGCCTCTCTCTCTTTCCTTCTCCAGGTGAAGGGGAGGACGTGGAGGACGAAGAGCAGAAGGGGCCGGAGCTCAAGCAGGCGTCTCGACGGGACATGTATACCATCTGCCAAGCGGCTGGCCTAGGTAGGTACCAGCTCCTGTGCTCCCTTGGCCTTTGCAGTGAGTCAGTACTCTGCCTCCGCAGCTGGAGGCAGCCCTACTTCTGAATCCCTGTTGCTGGAAACCTCAGGAGGGGAGAGGGCTGCTCTTGTGTTCGAATCCTGCTTGGGGACTTCTGGTCGGCCCCTATGAGAACAGGAGGCTGGGCTAGGTGGTGGTGAAAAATAACAACAACAACAATTTTTAAAAAATATTATTTATACCCCGCCCATCTGGCTGGGTTTCCCCAGCCACTCTGGGCGGCTTCCAACAAAAGATTACAAATACAATAAAATACAATAAAACATCAGTCATTAAAAACTTCCGTAAACAGGGCTGCCTTCAGATGTCTTCTAAACATCAGATAGTTGTTTATTTCTTTGAAATCTGATGGGAGGGCGTTCCACAGGGCGGGTGCCACTACCAAGAAGGCCCTCTGCCTGGTTCCCTGTAACTTGGCTTCTCGCAGGGAGGGAACAGCCAGAAGGCCCTCGGCGCTGGACCTCAGTGTCCAGGTTAAATGCTGGGGATGGATGACTGACGGTAAACCCCAGCAGGGCTATCCTTATATTCTCATGACTGACGGTTGCTGTTGTCCACCTAGATGGCCTAGCCAAGAAGTTTGGACTGACCCCTGAGCAGTTTGGGGAGAACTTGCGTGACAGTTATCAGCGCCACGAGACAGAGCAGTTCCCAGCTGAGCCCTTGGAGCTGGCCAAGGATTACGTCTGCAGGTAGGAGCCCTGGCTCAGGTGTAGCCCCCTCCTGGCTGGGGAGCAGGGGCCCTTTGACCTGCCTCAGTTTCCTCCTTTGGAAAGGAACTCAAAATGTCTTGGCGTTGGGCATGTTCGTTACTTGTTTTCCAGGCTCTTAAACTCTTCTCAGCTGATTCAGTTGTGACTTGTGTGTCCGGGTTGTGCTTTTTGGTTGACAAACATCGCTCTTGACAAAGTTTGCGCCTACAGGCATCTGCTTTGTGGGTCTCTTTCACATTGGCGTTTAATTTATTTAAATATGTATTTATTCATTCATTAAAATGTATACAACACTTGATTGTAAAAAAACACACACACAAAGCAGACAGACTTCAAAGCAGTGTACAGAGAAAAAGATAAAGCCTTAAAATTATTGATAATAAGAATTAACAGCAATAATGTTAAGGCTTTTGGAAAATTAAAATAGCAATAGTCTAAAAGCAGATTAAAACTCGCAGCAACTTACCTAAACCTCTGGGTAGGCTTGCCTAAACCAGAATGTTTTCAGTAGATGCCAAAAAGTGTACAGCAGAGGCACCTGCCTGTTTGCAATAGGCAGGGAGTTCCAACATGCTGCCACACTAAACTATTCTTACAAATGCGAAACCTGTAACAGTGCCAGTTCCATCAGTTGAAGTGGTCGAGTGGGCATAAACCACACTTTGGTTATAAGCCCAGAACACATTGCAATTAGTTTTAGAATATCAGACACATCAGTACAGAAGCTGGTTGGCAAAGCCTCTTGGGTTTGACTGGGCTGCCTGAATAATGCACGTTTTTAGAAGGCTTCCTGTGGGTGGGCTGTGATGAAGGCGGAGATGGGAGGAAATGGGTGGGTGGGAGTTGTGAATAACAGCTGGAGGCTGGAAGTGTGGAGGGGGGTATCCTGCGCCCCACCCTGACCCATCCGTGCCCTTGCCTTGGTGCTCTCCACAGCCAGTTCCCCACCCCGGAGGCCGTGCTGGAAGGGGCCTGCTACATGGTGGCCTTGCAGATTGCCCGCGAGCCCTTGGTCCGGCAGGTCCTGCGCCAGACCTTCCAGGAAAGGGCAAAGATCAACGTCGCTCCTACCAAGAAAGGGAAGAAGGTAAAGCGCACCTGCCTGGGTGGTTCTCCCTGGCGAATGGGGGGAATCTGGTGCCAAGGCTCTCTCTGCCGTAGTGGTGGTGGAGCTGTTTGGCGAGCCGGGTTCAAATCCCTCTTCGCGTGGCTGTCCCCAAGGCCCAGCCAGTAACTCTGCAAACCCGTTTGCGGCACGCTTGAGAATTCACAGTTCAGCAAGCAAAGGCTTACATTTAAAAACTGAGCAAGCAGAAGCTGTGAAAGAAAATGTGGAAGAGGAAGTGGAAGACCATGGCAATCTCTCTCTCTGTCTCTCAGCCTGGTCCTACTTCACAGGGTTGCTGTGAGGGTGGCGGGAGCAAGAACCTGGAGTTTCCTTGGGTTGGAGGGAAGGCATTAAAACGTGCACAATTGGCAGGGGGAAAGAGAGGCAAGCCCTGGTGGTCGAGGGGAACAGCTGAATTCGAAAAACATTGGCATGGAATTGGGGGCTGCGAGGGTGTCCTGGGAGGGCCTGCTTGGAGTGTTCCTCTCTTCCCCTCCTGAGTCGCTGCCTTCTCTCTCCCCTCCCCTTCTCAAAACGGCAGGATGTGGACGAGGCCCATTACGCCTACTCCTTCAAGTACCTGAAGAACAAGCCTGTGAAGGAACTGCGGGACGACCAGTTTCTGAAGATCTGCCTGGCCAAGGACGAGGGGCTCCTGACCATTGACATCTGCATCGACATGAAGGGCGTTGAGGGGTGAGTCTGCGCCTGAAGACACCCCCCCTTTTCCCCGCTGAGTGAATCTCAATGTCTTTAGGTGGGTAGAAAGTTGCTCCGTGGCAGATCATCTGCTTTGCTTGCATGCAGAAGGTCCCAGGTCCAGTCCTGGCGTCTGTCTCCAAGTAGGGCTGCAAAGGACCTGAGTCCAGCTGCAGCCGCTGTCCCTGTAGCATTCCCCAAACCAGGAAGGATTGGACTCTGATTAATAAAATACACATGAGGCTTGATCAGCAAGACTCTGGGAGGAGTGCATATAGTAATCCTCCCTCTCCACCCCTCGGCCCAGGTCGTTTTATTCACAAAAGAACTTTTTACACAGTGTTCGTAAGAACCAATCAGATTTCCCCTGAGCATTTAAAAAAACACAACCCACGTGGGACAAAGTCAGATCAGAAGAAATCCTGTTAACTACAAAGACTACTTTGAACATGCCTTTGTATCTGAGAGTAAATAAAGCAGGACTAGAGGAATACATTCAGCAAACCCAGAGGTCATAAACAAGCAGTAAAGGAAGGAAGGATGAGGTAGTATTTACCATTTCTTTGTGAACTCTCTTCCTGGCCCTTAGGACTATCTAAAGATTAACAGACTCAAGGAAAGGTACATCAAAGAAGCTACCTGACAGCCCAGGAATCCAGCCTGTCTTTTACAGGATTTATTGAGTGCTGAAACTTAGGTACAGTGCAGAGGTTTTGAAAGCATGTCTCCCTCAATCGCTAGCAGTTTCCGGAAGTGGTTCTCACCTGTTCCCCCTCCAGCAGAAAACCCCCGGAAACCCCCCTCTTCTTTTCCTTTCCTTACATGAAAAACTAAGTGCCGGAAGCTGCTCCTTTCTCTCTTCGATTGCAGCCTTTGAGCTTCTCTCTCTCTCCTCTTCCGTGTCTCCTGAAAGTCTCTCCTCCCCCAACTCTGACGAAGTGCAGCTGCTCATCAGAGGAGGCTCTCTGTACATTCCTGTCTCTCCCCCCTTCTCTGCGAACCGATCCCTGACACTACCTACTATCTTTATGACTCAGGATGCCCGGTGAAGCAACTGGCCTGTGCTTTTAGAATGCTGATATGTGTCTGTCAGGCAGAGAAATAGGACATGGATGCAGAGGCAGGGATTGATCAGAAATCATATCAAAATGGCTCAAACCCAGTCAACGCAATGCTTGCTCCATATTTTTTTATAATTCCTCATAGCAATCCCACCTGATCACTACAGTCCCCTCTTGTGTTGCCCAGCCAACTGGCATCCAGGGGCCTTTACTGCCTCCCAGTGGTGGGAGGAGTGACAAAGCCACGATGCCTAGAAGCCACTGACCGCCTCCTTCTCCTCCTCCCTTTCCAGCTACGGCAACGACCAGTCCTACTTTGAGGAGATCAAGCAGTTCTACTACCGCGACGAGTTCAGCCACCAGGTGCAGGAGTGGAACCGGCAGCGCACCTTGGCCATTGAGCGGGCGCTCAACCAGTTCCTCTACGTCCAGATGGCCATGGAGCTGAAGAACAAGCTGCTGGTGGAAGCCAAGGAGTTCGTCATCAAGGTGGGTGTCCAGTGCTGCCCACCCCAACCCCGCTTGGCTTAGGCCCCTTGTGCTTGGGGAGCAGCTGGCAGGCAGCTCCTGCCTCTGGAAGAGCAGGCCTAGCCTAGATGGTTGCTCAAGGAAGAATCCTATAATGGTAGAGTTGGAAGGGACCTCTTGGTCCTTTTCTCAAAGTGCTACCGCCCTTCCTCTCCAGAGAGGCTGCCTTGCTTTGCGCGGAAGAAAGAAACGAGCATTCCTTTTTGCATATTGAATATATGGGTGAGCCGGGTGTTTGCCTCTGCAGGTGACAGTGGGCAACTTTGTGTTTCGAGTATTTGCCCCCGAGATAAAATCACATCATAGAAGTGGCTCCCAAGCTTGGAGGGGGCACAGCCCCCCCAGATCCATAAAGTCGTCCCCCTACCCTATGAAAAGCATCATTCAGAACAGCTGTTTGCACAACCCACTAATAACACAATGAAATTCAAAACAGTAACAATTAATTGCACATTTATTCATAATCCAGTTAGAACTATTTAATTTAATTCAAAAAACCAGAAGAACTTTATTCGGTGAGACCAGCTTTTCAAAGCTTTGCCACCTCCAGTTCCCCTTGCCTCTTAGTGCCACCTAGGGAATTCCACCGCCCCCTTTGGGGACCACTCTCATGAAGCCCAAAAATGGTTCTTCGAGTTCTGCCCCTTAGATACTTTCTGAGGTTCCGTCAAACCCTCCAAATGGTCCAGGTGGAAGTTTCTTCCAGGGTCTGCCCATGAGTCGCCTTCCTCCTTCCTTTTCTAGGCTTGCAGCCGGAAGCTGCACAACTGGCTGAAGGCGGCTCCTTACCGGCCAGACCAGCAGGTGGAGGAAGAAGACGACTTCATGGACGAGAACCAGGGGAAGGGCATCCGGGTGCTGGGCATCGCCTTCTCCTCGGCCAGGTATGGAGGCTCCTTGGCAGAGATGCGTCCCCAGCGCCCTGGTGGGGTTTCCTCCCCGCTTTTCTAGCGGCGCACTGTTCCTTTTTCTTACAGAGACCACCCTGTCTTTTGCGCCCTGGTGAATGGGGAAGGGGAGGTGACGGATTTCCTGCGCCTGCCGCATTTCACCAAGCGAAGGAACGCCTGGCGGGAGGAGGAGAGAGAGAAGAAGGTGAGGGGAGAAGCTGAAGACTTTGCTAGGAAGCCACCAGATACTTGCAGGAGCTTCTGGTGCAAGGAGTCGGTCTGTGGTTTTCCTCCCACCGCCAGTCTGGAAGTGCAGGGCTGCTGGTGTGTCTCTGGTCTCAGGCCTAGAACATTCTCCCCGCAGTCTGCTGCAACCCTCATCTGAAATACAATACAATACGATACGATACGATAATCTTTATTGTCATTGTCCCATACAGAACAGCGAAATTGAAAAAATCTACATCAGACATTCAAAAACCAACAAGCCAGCTATCCCAGCCTAGTTAGCCCCCTAAAAACTGATACCCCATGATTAAATAGGATATACTCCCATAAAGACTACCTTACACGGTGTTTAAAACCAAAATCGCATTTGGATAGAAACTGTTTCTCAGGCGGCTAGTCCTAGTCTTTATAACCCTGTACCTTCTTCCAGAAGGCAGAAGCTGAAAGAGATCATTTCCGGGGTGTGCACTATCTCTGCAGCTTTCTTGTTTCTGATATAGTGGTAGAGTCCTGGGCTCTAAGACCTGGGAGAGACCAGGGTTCAAATCCCCTTCTTCTTTCCCACCCCCAACTCCCTGGTAGAAATTTGAGCCCATCACAAGCCCTGCCTCCATACTGGCTGAGAGGGCTTTCTTCCCATCACCAAATCACCTGCTTTAGGAGCCTTCGTGTGTAAAGTCGCTGTGTTCTGTCCGGTGTCCTTTCTGCCTCCCTCACTCTCTACCCCTTTCTCTGCCCTCAGGCTCAGGATATCGAGACCCTGAAGAAATTCCTGCTCAGCAAGAAGCCCCACGTGGTCACCATTGCAGGAGAGAACAGGTGAGCCACCTGAACAGCAAAAGAGCCTGTCTGCTGGATCATGCTCAGGACTGCTCTAATCCACCATCCTGCTCTTACAGCGGCCTGCCAGATGCTTCCTTCTCAGCACATTCAGCCCTCATCCCATTTTAAAAAAAATATTTTATCTCCTACTTTTCTGTTTTAAACACAAAACAATCACGACTCCAAGCAGCTTTCATCATACTTTAAAACAGCCAGCTGGAGTGAGGGTGTGTACAGGGCCTGCTGTATATCATCTACTCCTGGTTTATATTTGGTGTTTTGTTTTTGTTTTCGGATTGGCTGTTTTAAATACTTGATGCAAGCTGCCTTGAGTACTTCTGCTGCAACAGGAAAGGAGGATATGAATGTTTTAAGAACAGCAGAAGTTTGCTCAGGAATGAGCAAGTAGCAACTCGGTGCCGGGGGATGGGGGACCTTTTTCACCCTGAAGGCCACATTCCCTTCTGTTTTTTTATTTTAAAATATTTTTTATTACAAATTTGCAACAAATTTTAACGTAATCAAAAATTCAAATTACATTTACATTTCAAAATCCCCCCCCCAACCTTCCCTTCCTGGTTTATCACATACTTGTTTCTTCTGCGTATAATATACACCTTATACGCTAAAATTAAAGTTATACATTCTTAATCTATTTTCTTTTTTCAACCTTTTAACCACATATTTATATTTTCTATTTATTAATTGCAAGTGCCCGCCACGTTCCCTTCTGGACCATAGCTGTCAACGTTTCCCTTTTTTAAGGGAAATTCACTTGTTCCAAATAGGATTCCTTGCAAGAAAAGGGGAAAAGTTGACAGCGATGTTCAAAAAAAGTTGACAGCTATGTGGGCAGGAGCAGAGGCAAAAGTGGGAGGAGCAACAAGTGTAAACTGCCTTTGCATGGTAGACTAGTTTCTCCATTCAGAAATGCCTTTGCATCCTTCATCCAGAAAAACGAGAGGCATCATCAGGGTCCAGCCAGGCAAAAACACTCAAGGGAAGGTCCAGCACTGGGCCGGTGACGGGGTGTTTCCTGAGGGCCAGATAGAGAGGTTGGGGGGGGTCATCCTTTATGTAGAGCAAACACTACGCCCAGACAGGGACAGGATGCCTTCTGCTGCACAGCTCCCTTTTTGGGGTCAAGAGATGCCGTTCAGTTTGCAACTGTGGTTCGCTCTCTCTCATGGCCAAGCTCTCAGCTGTTTCCTGCTTCCTCCTCTCCCTTTGCCAGGGATGCCCAGATGCTGATAGAGGACGTGAAGCGCATTGCCCACGAGCTGGACCAAGGGCAGCAGCTCTCCTCCATTGGGGTGGAGCTGGTGGACAATGAGCTGGCCACTCTCTACATGAACAGCAAGAAGTCCGAGGTGAGCCTGGAGACCCTCCCCCCATTGCCCAAACTCGGGACACTTGCTGCCCCCTGCCTGAAGCCCTGGAGAGCCACTGCCAGCCAGAGTATGCCCTGCTGAGCTAGACGGACCAAGGGTCTCTGAATGAGCTACCATAGTTTTCCGTGTATAAGACGAGGTTTTTTGACTTTTAAAATATGTTAGAAATTGAGTGTCGTCTTATACATGGAGGGGACAGACAACAGGTGGTTTATGTGACTCGTGCGATTGGCAGCATTGGTCAATCTATGGGCAATCCTCCAAAAAAGCTCAACAACTCTGGGCAATCTCCCCCCATTTTCCTAATTTTGAGTCCCCCAAAATAGGGGGTGTCTTATACACGGAAATATACAGTAGTTGCGTAGTGTCTAGCTTTTAAAAAGTGTTTTATTTTATTTGTGGTTACAGTCCAGGAGCCTTCAGCAACACAGCAAATTTGAAAACTACACCCTTGTTAGGAAAACTTTTTCCAGGTCTTGATATCAGCTTTTATTTCAGTTGTTTTAATCGTTGTTGATGTTGCTGATTTCCCCCCACCCCTTTCTCGTGATGCTATATCTTATTGCCGTTCATATTACATTAGTACCTCGGGTTAAGTACTTAATTTGTTCCGGAGGTCCGTTCTTAACCTGAAACTGTTCTTAACCTGAAGCACCACTTTAGCTAATGGGGCCTCCTGCTGCTGCGCGCAGGATGAGAACAATTTCTGTTCTCATCCTGAAGCAAAGTTCTTAACCCGAGGTACTATTTCTGGGTTAGCGGAGTCTGTAACCTGAAGTGTATATAACCTGAAATGTATGTAACCCGAGGTACCACTGTATTTGGATGTTGTGGGAAGCTGCCTCACGTGTGGTTATGAGAGGAGGGCTATATGAACCCCTTTCTGGTGCGATTCTCTTGCAGACTGAATTCCGGGATTACCCCCCTGTCCTGCGCCAGGCCGTCTCCCTCGCCCGCCGCATCCAGGACCCCCTGATTGAGTTCGCTCAGGTCTGCAGCTCCGACGAGGACATCCTCTGCCTCAAGCTGCACCCTCTGCAGGTAATGCCACCGGGAGAAGATCTCCTTTGGAAAGCAACACTTGCCGTCCTTTGCTCAGCATCAAATTCTGTATCTGTAAAGAATTCCATGTCTGGAGAGGCACTGCTTTTTCATTCGGAAATCTCCTTCAGTCCCTGGGAGGGTGTGAAGGCTTTCAGTTGTCTGTTGAAAGGAGGCCGGCTGTGAAAAGGGCTTGTGTCTGGGGTTGGGGGGCTGCAGGGGGGGGCAGGCAGTCATTTTCCATTGCAAGCTGAAGCAGAAGAAATCATGTTGAGTCCCTGCCTCTTTATCCCCTTGCCCTTTGATATATTTTAAGATCCACCTTACTCCCACTTTGTTGTAATCTGCTTTAACTGGTTTTTTAATATTGTGTTCTTAAATTCTTGTAACCTGCCCTGGGGCCTCATGGAGGGGGGAAGGCAGGTAAAATAAATAAATACATGAATTACATTACATTACATTTGTATCCCACCCTTCATCTGTGGATCTCAAGGCAGTTCACAGCATAAAATTACAATAGAAAACATAATAAAAATAAGAATCAAAACAGACCAATAACTCTTCCTCCCACAACACATTTAAAAGGGTATGTCAATTATTTAAAGGCCCGGTTGAAGAGCAACGTTTTCACCGGGTGCCTAAAAGTGTATAATGAAAGTGCCCGTTGACGAGGGCTGCCCTGTGCCCTGCAGTCTTCCACCCTGGAGCTGAGCCTCACAGCCGCGGTGTGTGAGTATAGAATAGAATAGAATAGAATTTTATTATTATGGTCACAGACCAGTTCCAGATCACTTACAATATCAGGAAAATCATAAAACACAACAGGAATACATTGAATTGCAATTGGGTATAACAGAGACAATTCAGCTATAGCAGCAGTTAAAAAAATAGATTAAATCTTGATCACTAAAATATAACCTAAAATTATCATTTAAAACCTTAAATCATTTTGGTAGTACAGCTTGTTCCCTGAGTTTTATGGCAGCCGCACAGAATTTGGCCACCCTTAGTGTGAGTTTTAGACATTGAAGTTCAGACCCATTTGGAGATTTTTGTATAACAGGAGTGATAAATACCGAGCGTCTATCCCCGTAGAAACGGCAGCGTAACAAGGCATGAGAGACAGTTTCTGCCTCCATCAAGCTGCAGGCGCAGACTCGTTCCACGTATGGTTTACCCTCGAATCTGCCCTGCAATAAGGCAGATGGCAGCCCGTTGATGTGGGTGTGTTTTTTCTCCCCCAGGAGCACGTGGTGAAGGAGGAGCTGCTGAACTCCCTGCACTGCGAGTTCATCAACCGTGTGAACGAGGTCGGGGTGGACGTCAACCGGGCCATTGCTCACCCGCACAGCCAGGCCCTCCTGCAGTACGTCTGTGGCCTGGGGCCCCGCAAGGGCACTCACCTGCTGAAGGTAAGCAGAAGGCCCTAACAAGTCAAAGACGGCACTTGCGTAAGCCTCCCCCTTGAGGCCAGGGTGGCCTCACTCTGCTTCCTGGTAGTAGGGGCCTGTCCTGCTTCCAGCTCTGGGTTGGTTCCGTCTCCAGGCAGGGAATAATCCTTGCCTGAAATGCTGCAGAGCTGCTGGCAGACTGAGCTATATGGACCCAACAGTCATATCTTTGTAGAAGACAGTTTCCTGTGTTTCTGTTTAAAAATCTCATCATCTAGAATCATGAGGACTAGGGTTTTCCTTTTGAAGGGAAGTAGCTTTAGGTTAGTGGTAGAGCACCTGCTTCATATGGGAATGACTGAATGTCTGAAGCCCTGTGGACAACACTGAGCTACGTGGAACTGTAGGGGAAACACTAGTTTCCCTTACTGGAGCTCAGTAATAAATCAATCGGTGTTTATTTTGCGCATGCAAGGCGGCAGCCCTAATGCGGAAGTCACTGCAAAGAATTCAAATGCAGTACAAGCATAGGTGCAGCAACAACAAAAATCCACCCCACCCCTTTATTCCGTTCGCTCAACACCCTCGTGAAGCATCGTTTCAGCGACACTAACCAACCAGCAGTTTGCCCCTTTTGACACAAACGGTCCCTTTCGTTGGTACTCTATTTTACACCGCCGGCTATGCAGAAGTGCTTGATCTGCAGTTCTCTTTGCAGCTTCTACAGCATTTGTTGCATTCTGCATCTCCTGATGTCTCCTGATGTTCTCTTTTCTGTAACATGGCTCACTGGTTCCTTTTCAGCCACGTCAACTGTGGCCTTGTCTTTTCCCCTCCTAACAGTTTCTTTTCAGGGCAACGTAACGATTTATCTGTTTTGGCCTCTTGGTATAAGGCAGCCTCCTACACTCGTATATTACGGAAGAGGCCCAGCTCAGCAGGAGAGCTGCCTGCCTCCCAAGCAGAAGTTCCCAGGTTCAGTCCTGGGCCTCTCTGGCTGAAAAAGGGATAGGCAGGAGGCGACAGGACAGGGCGTTCTCTGCCCTGGGACCTTGCAGAGCCCCTGCCAGTCAGAGGAGGCTACAGGGGGCTTAGAGCATAAGGACATGGCTTTGAGGCCCTTGCCAGGCCACCCAACCTCCTTGTATAAGGCAGCTCCTTTCTGCCAGGACGAAATGCCTCCCTCCGGGCAGAACTGTCCCACATACTTCCTGTTCTGCATTTGTAAAAACTCAAATCTTTTAGTGTGGCGGTACCTGCACTTTGGAACTCCCTGCCGTTTTACCCCCGGCAGGCCCTTTCGCTGTGTTCCTTAAACCACCTGCCAAAAACATTTTTTAATTTAGACGAAGCCTACTCAGATGTCTAGATTGCTGGCCTGTTTTTAGTTTTAAGTTTTGGAATGTTTTAATTGTTTCTTACTAACAACCCTGTTGTTTTCTTATTTGAGGTTTTTTACGATCAAAGAGCGCATGAATTTTTATGAAATGAAATAAAGGAATGCTCTGTGCCCCTCTTAGATCCTGAAGCAGAACAACACCCGGCTGGAGAACCGGACGCAGCTGGTCACCATGTGCCACATGGGGCCTAAAGTCTTCATCAACTGTGCCGGCTTCATCAAGATCGACACAGCATCGCTGGGCGACAGGTGAGCAAGCGGGGCGGCAGCAGGGAGTGGTGGTGGTGAAATGCTCAAGGAGGCCGGAGGTTTCCCTCCCTGTCCTTCAGGTCTCAGGTTGGTTCACAGGATAAACCAAGGATCAGCAAACTTTTTCAGCAGGGGGCCGGTCCACTGTCCCTCAGACCTTGTGGGGGGCTGGACTATATTGGGGGGGGGGGAATCAACAAATTCCTATGCCCCATAAAATAACCCAGAGATGCATTTTAAATAAAAGGACACATTCTACTCATGTAAAAACACGCTGACTCCCCGACCGTCTGTGGGCCGGATTGAGAAGGCATTTGGGCTGGATCTGGCCCCCGGGCCTTAGTTTGCCTACCCATGGGGTAAACTCACAATGTTTTGATTACTATCATTTTTTATAAATAGTTCTATAGATATTTTATAATAAAATAAAATAGAGTCTGGCTGCTGGATCAGGCTAGAGGCTCAGCAGTGTGTCCTCACCATGGGCAGTCAGATGCCTGTGGGAAGCCCCCAGGTGGGATCCAGACACGAGAGCCCTCTCCCCTCCTGGGGCTCCCAGCAACAGGTCTTCAGAGGCCTCCTGCCTCCCGCAGTAGAGGGGCAGAACAGCCATTGTGGCTGCTCACCACTGGTAGCCTTCTGTTCCTCCGTGAATTTGTCTCATCCTCTTTTATAGCCATCCCTGCATCAGGACTTCCTTCTGTTCCGGGGGGTCTCGGTCGCCTTTGCAAGACCAGCGCACTCCAGTTTGTCACACCTTCTGCTCAGTCCTCCTTCTCCTTCTCTTTTTGTAGCACGGACTCCTACATCGAGGTCTTGGACGGGTCCAGGGTCCACCCGGAGACCTATGAGTGGGCCCGGAAGATGGCCGTTGACGCCCTGGAGTACGACGAGTCAGCTGAGGATGCCAACCCGGCCGGAGCTCTGGAGGAGATCCTGGAAAACCCAGAGCGCCTGAAGGACCTGGACCTAGATGCCTTTGCCGAAGAGCTGGAGAGACAGGTTGGGGGCGGAGAGAGCCCTGAGGGGCTTGGATGGGGGGCGGGGAGAATCTGACCCTCTGGTTTTCACGTCTCCTTTTTCTGTCTGTCTCCCTCTCTCTCAGGGCTACGGTGACAAGCACATCACCCTGTATGACATCCGAGCCGAGCTGAGCTGCCGCTACAAGGACCTGAGGAGCCCCTACCGCTCCCCCAACTCGGAAGAGGTCTTCAACATGCTGACGAAGGAGACACCCGAGACGTTCTATATAGGTAGGAGATGTTCTATATATGTCTGCCTCTCCCCGCGGGGCAAGGCCTACCGAGGAGGAGGGCAGTTGCTGTTCTGGTGCTTAGGGCCAGAGAAGTGGTGGCATTGATGGAGACTGGGGGGGGGGTGTCACCAGCACACCCCCTGGGGCCACAAGTGTGCTGCCAGCCTTCTTTATTTATTTGGGTTTTGGGGATAAAGATTTGATTTCATTTTATAGCAGGTATAAAACAGTGAGAACGGCTGCAACAGCATATGAAAATCAAAAGCAAAAGGGGTTGCGAAACACCTCTTGTGCACCCATAAACTCCACCCTTCCTATCCCACCTGTGCTAACTTTTAAACATCTCCAGAAAACTTTTCTATTCCTCTAGGCCTACGCAGGCAATTAAGAGTACTTCCTTTCCCAAAGGTCTGCTGTTGACTTTCTAAATATGGTTTATATGGTTTTTATTACATGGCTTTATGTATTCTTGCTGTAAACTGCTTTGAGAGAGAGAGAGACGTATACAAATATTTTTACAATTAATCAACCTCCCTCCCCAGGTAAACTCATCATCTGCAACGTGACGGGGATAGCCCACCGGCGGCCCCAGGGGGAGAGCTATGACCAGGCGATCCGGAACGACGAGACGGGCCTGTGGCAGTGCCCCTTCTGCCAGCAGGACAACTTCCCTGAGCTCAGCGAGGTAACAGAGCAAGACCAGTGTGGTGCAGTGGTTAGAGAGGGTCAGACTAGGACCTGGAAAACTAGGGTTCAAGTCTCCATTCAGCCACGGAGCTTGCCGGGTAGCCATCATTGTGTCTCAGCATAGTCTGCATCGCGGGGTTGTTGTGAGGATAAAATGCGGAGGTGGAGAACCGTATAGACCACTCTGAACTCCTTGGAATAAAAGGAGGAATATAAATGCAACAAATGAATAGATCTGCGCCATCAGCAAGTCTCCTTCCCTGGCAGCTGCTGCGATGCTTGCTAGGCCGGGACGCCTCACCTGCCCAGGCCTTTGGAGAGATCCCGGCTGAGGGCACACATGGCCAGCCAAGCAGCCACTCGAGTGTGTGTGTTTGCCTGGGTCCTGGTTAGGCAGAGCTCCACCCTCCGCCCTCCTTTTGCCGTGACTTTGCTTCCTCTGCTCCGTTCCAGGTCTGGAACCACTTTGACAGCGGCTCTTGCCCCGGCCAGGCCATCGGGGTGAAGACACGGCTGGACAACGGCGTCACAGGCTTCATCCCGACCAAGTTTCTCAGCGACAAGGTGGTCAAGCGGCCAGAGGAGAGGGTCAAGGTAGGCCATTTCCCTGCCTCCAACCCCCTGCAATTTAAGTATCACAGCTAGAGAGTCCCTGACAGGGGCCACCCAACCTCTGTCTAAAAACCACCCGTGAACTTCCACGGGAGCCCCTTCCACCACTGAACAGCTCTGATTGTCAGAAAGTTGGAATCTCCTTTCTCGTAACTTGGAGCCATGGGTTCAATTCCTACCCTCCAGAGCAGGAGAAAACATATATAAATTTTATTTTAACATATCATTTTCAACAATTATAAAACATACTTTTATATCTTATACGGGCTTTTTTTACTTCCGCCAATCACATCTGAAAAATTTTCAGTCTTTTCCAGTCTTAATTTGCATTTCTTTCTTATGTTATTACATATAAGTATCATAACTAATGTCTTTCTTCTTTATCTTCTTTGCAATATTTCATATATTCCTCCTTACAAAACTTCTTGTAGTCCTACTAGCGTAATTTGTTGATTACAGTTGCTCTTCAAATAGTTTGTATATTTCTTCCAGTCTTCTGTGAATATCTGGTCCCGCAGGTTTCGAATCCTTCCTGTCATCTTGTCCAATTCTTCGCAGTCCATTAACTTCGTCTGCCATTTTTCTTTCATCGGTATTTCTTCTTGCTTCCTTTTCTGGGCCAGCAGGAGAAAACCATCTTGTTCCCTCTTCCCTAAGACAGCCCTTGATTGAGATAGTTGAAGGTGGCTCTCCTATCTCCTCTCAGTCTCCTCTTTTCCAGGCTCAACGTACCCAGCTCCTTCAACCGTTCCTCATCAGGCTCGGTTTCCTTGCTCCTCTCGGTCGCCCTCCTCTGCGCACCTCTTTCTCCTCCCGCTGACAGTCTGCCTCTGTCTCGCCCAGGTGGGGATGACCGTCCACTGCAGGATCATGAAGATCGACATTGAGAAGTTCAGCGCCGATCTGACCTGCCGGACGTCAGACTTGATGGACAAGAGCAACGAGTGGAAGCTTCCCAAGGACACCTACTACGACTTTGATGCCGAGGCCAGTGACCACAAGCAGGAGGAGGAGTACAAGAAGAGGCAGCAACGCACGAGTGAGTCCCTGGTGCTCAGCCGGCGGTCTTGGGGGCAGCCAAGGGGATGGGCTGTGGTCCCAGTCAGTGGGGAAGTGAGCAATAGAAAGAGCCTGTTGGATCAGCCCAGTGGCCCATCTGGTCCATAATCCTGTTCTTCCAGTGGCCAACCAGATGCCCCTTATGGGAATCCCGCAAGCACCAGAGCGTTCTCCCCTCTTGTGGCTTCCAGAAGCAACTGTGGAGGCAGAGCCTAGCCATTATGGCCAGTAGCCATCGATAGCCCTCTCCTCCTCCTCCTCCTCCTCCTCCTCCTCCTCCTCCTCCATGAATTTCTCCAGTCCTCTTTTAAAACCATCTAGTTTGGTGGCCATCCCTGCCTCCTGTGGCAGGGAGTTCCACAGTTTAACTTTGCGCTGCTTGGAAGGACTTTCTTTGAGCTGTCTCGTGTCTCCCAATACCCCACTTTGCTGGGTGTCCACAAGGTCTAGTGTTATGAGAACAGGAGAAAGCTTTCCTCTTCCTGCTCTCACCGTGCATAACTCGCACTGTGTCCCCTCGAATTCACCTTTCCTCCAAGCAAGAAAGCTCAGTGCGCTGCCGCCTGTCTGCCTCTCTTCCCCCTCTCCACAGCGTACATCAAGCGTGTGATAGCCCACCCCTCCTTCCACAACATCAACTTCAAGCAGGCTGAGAAGATGATGGAGACCATGGACCAGGGAGATGTCATCATCCGCCCCAGCAGCAAAGGAGAGAACCACCTGACGGTCACCTGGAAAGTCAGCGACAACATCTACCAGCATGTAGACGTCCGCGAGGAGGGGAAGGAGAACGCCTTCAGCCTGGGGGCCACCCTCTGGATCAACACAGAAGTGAGTCCAGAGGCAGAAAGCCTGGTGGGCTTGTGGGGAAACCCACCTTGACCCCTCCGCCTGTAACCCTCTCTGCCTTTTCCGCCCCAAGGAGTTTGAGGACCTGGACGAGATCGTTGCCCGCTATGTGCAGCCGATGGCGTCCTTCGCCAGAGACCTGCTCAGCCACAAATATTACCAGGATTGCAACGGGGGAGACAGGAAGGTGAGCACACGCACATCTGGCCAGAGCTGAGCTTGGGGGCTTCTCTTTTCGAGGAAGAAGTGAGCCATGGGTGCTCCCTGCCCCTGTGAGTTGGCACTGCCGCTGGGGGAGAGGAACTTCCCAGGGAAAATAGCCTAACCAGTGCCCACCAGGTACGGTCAGGGTGCCAGGGGAGGCAATGCTGACTGGGCTTCGCAGCATGTCCAAAAGCCCCTTGACTTCCCCCGGGCGGCCATTCAAGGAGGGGAGAAGCCCCTGCTCTGGGTCCCCACCCCCTTCAGAAGCAGCGTTGATAGCCCATTCTGTTACTGCTTTGTCCGTGTGCCAGAAACTGGAGGAGCTCCTGATCAAGACCAAGAAGGAGAAGCCCACCTTCATCCCCTACTTCATCTGCGCCTGCAAAGAACTTCCGGGCAAATTCCTGCTGGGCTACCAGCCACGGGGCAAGCCCAGGTGAGTTCCCCGCCGCCCCCGGGACTAGTCCTTGCAGGAACAGGGGAGGTGATGATAAGGTGCCTCTTGGGGGATCCCTTTCCCCCTCCTGCCCACCCCCAACAAACCCCCCTTGGCTTGGAAGCTGCTTTAGGCTGGGCCATGTCTCCATCTAGCCCCATAATGGACAGCGGCTCCCCAAGAAAGAGCAGCTTTCCTGATATTGTCTATTGTCAAGCGGAACAACTATCAATAAATTACAGCAAATCTAAAATTATGGTGTTTTCAAAAAAAAGAAGGAAACACAAATGGAGAATTAATGGTCAACCTATTGACCAGGTAGCAACTTTCAAATACCTGGGAATAACTTTTCAGGAAAGGGTCTCGTGGCATCAACAGATGAAAACGCCATTGCCAACGCAGGAAGGGCTAATAAAGCCCTTACAAGATTTTTTCACGGGAAAGGGGTAAATACGTTCCGGCGGCCTCCCAGGTTTTTGCTGCAAAAATACTCCCACAACTTACTTATGGATCCCAGGTTTGCAGTTTTAAAATTTTGCGCCTATGGAGGCATTTCAAACAAAATTCTATCGGTGTTTATTGGGATCCCCCTGTGTATCTAATATAGCTGTCCGCTTAGAAGTTGGACAACCACCCGTTAATGCGCGGCTGTGGATTCTAAAGATACACTACTGGTTAAAACTTATTTTTCCCCCGGCCGGTTTGGCTCCTTTAACACTCTTAGACACCTTTCATTCCACCTGGAAAGCTTCCCTGTTTGAAAAGATAAGAAGCTTGGGATTCTCCCCGCAGATCTTGATAGCGGCAGGATATGAGAGAGCCAGAAGTCAAGTGCTCCAACGCATTAGGGACATAGAGCTGCAATGTCATATGGGCAAAATGGATAAACATGCCATAATTAGAGACTTTGGGAGAGGGTTCTCACCCGCAAATTATTTGGCTGATTTACAAATACCTAAGTACAGACACTCCTTTACCCTGGCCAGATTTAACGTTCTGCCCTCTGCCCTGCTGCTAGGCAGATATGAGGGCAAACCATATGAGTCACGTGTTTGCCCGTGTGGCTCATCGGAAGTGGAAACAAGTCTGCATGTATTGCTGCACTGTAGTTACTATGAGGATCTACGCTTGACCTTTATTGCCCCAGTTCTACAAAAGCTTAAAAATGAACCAGAACTCCAACGTATGAGAGCCTTGGTAGAAGATAAGGTTTCTGAAATTACGATCAATGTGGCCAAATTTTGTGTAGCCGCTATTAGGCGCAGGAAACAAGAGCTTTCCAATGTCATTACGCAGGCGAAGGCAAATACTTAATTTTTATTTATGCTGTCTAATTTTAAATTGCAGTTATGTATTGAAATTGTCCTTTGTTTTTTCCGGTGTTATGCTTCGCTGACTAGCTGTACGAGTTAATCTGGTCTGTGACCGTTTAATAAATTTGATTTGATATCTTCTCAGGAGGTGCTGTGGTCCTTCTGCGCGCAAAGCTAGACTGAGACCCAAGCCTGCTGACAGGCATTATTCCTGATGCTGAAGGGGTGGGAATGGTCAGGGGCAAGGAGAGAGGGCTTCAGAAGGGGCTTCAGAAGCTCAGGTGCAGAAATGCAAGTTCCGAAGTCCATCCAGTTCTCAAAACACCTGCAGGAGGACTTGGGGTGCCTGGCAGGATATATGTTGATGCCCAGGGAGAAAGAGACCTTCCAGATGTGTCTGGACTCCAGCAACAAAGGAGGAGGATGGGAGTTGGAGCCCAGCAACATCTAGTGCCAACTCCCCGCAAGGTCTGGGCTCTTTCAACAGAGCTGCCATGTTTGGAGAAGGGCTGTTGCTCAGTCTGACTCTGAGTGACCTTCTCCACACAGAGATGTCTGTCGATTGGCTCATTGCATTTAGAGAACGCTTTCTTGCAAGGCACCTGAGGTTCTTTACCATTTTAAATTATGAGAATAAGCAAATGTTGCAAGATATTTTCAGGCCAGCTTCAGGAGCTGGTGGCAGGAACTCCCTGTACTGGCCTCTCTCGCTTTTGCCCTTCCTCAGGACAGACGTGTCTTAAGTAGTCCCAGGAAATGGGGGGGTGGTCCTCTTAGGTGGTGGATGGCCCAGTCTCCCTGGCCTGGGCCTCATCACTTCCCACCTTGGGATGACTCTGAGCAGGGGTGTTCAACTCAATGTCACCAGAGTGGGGGCCACTTCTCTCCCCGCAGGATTGAGTATGTGACGGTTACACCCGAAGGCTTCCGGTACCGCAGCCACATCTTTCCCACGGTCAACGGGCTTTTCCGATGGTTCAAGGATCACTATCAGGATCCTGTGCCAGGTAATCCCAGCCCCAATTGGGGGACAAAATCGGGGTCAGCGAGAGGCTTCATGTGTATCATGGGGATGCGGGAAAGGCGGCAGCCGTGAACCAGAAAGGCCGCTTCTGACAAAATAGCATGCCCCACTGCGGGGTAGGAGACAGGCTTGATGGCCCCTCCAACGTCGCCCCAGGGCAGGGGTGGGGAGCCAGTGCCCGGCCCCCCCATTATGATATTGTTTGACTCCTTCCCATTGGCCATGCTCGCCACAGTGGCAGATGGGAATTGGAGTCCAGCAACCTCTGGAGAGCGTCCGGTTCCCCCTCCGTGCCCTAGAGCTAGCCAGCCTTCTTCCTCCCTCCTCGGTTGTGAGCGCACACTGGGACCTTCTGAGCCTGGGGTGCTGTCAGCTTTGAGGACAAGAGGTGCCTTATGGAACTGGGACTCCAGCCTTCTGCTTCCTGTCTCCCTCTGAGGCAGCCTGGTGGGACGGCCACCCCCAGGTGGTGGTTATGGGGAGAGGAGGCCTGATGGGGCTGGTCAGACCCGACGGAGAGAGCTTTACTTCCCAGCCCTCTTAACTGCTGGAGCGGCTGCCCTCATTCTGTTGCATGCTGGGGGGCGGGGGGGGGGCTAGATGCCCCATGCGCAAGCAGACCACAGTCCACTTGTGCAGCGACTTGGTCAGATCCCCAGCCCCCGCAATTCACCTCTCTTCCCTTTTTTTTTTAATAGTTGATATTTATTGACTTTTCAAAAAATAACAACAAAAATTTCCAAAAAAAAAAAATTAAGGATACAAAAAATAAAATTAGTGCATAAACAAAAAAGAAAAGAAAACCCAGCCGCAAAGAAAAAAAAAAGAGAAACAGAAAAACAAAAATATAAAGTCCTTTACAATCTCTATTGACTTCCTTTCTAGACTTCCTCCTCCTCCCTCTTTTGTTTCTTGATTTTTAATTTTTACAGCAAATCCTTTCTGTTTTTTCATAACAATCTGTCATTACGTTTCCTTATTCTATTTTCCCTCTTGTCATATAAAAACTTTAAAACTCATAGCTTATATTCAATATTTACCAAATTCTTGCATCATTACCTTTTACGAATCATTTACCAATCCTTACTTAAGTCATGTAATTTCATTCAACATCCTTCAAACATTTGTAAGCATTCCCAATATTAAAAAGTAAAAAGAAAAATTAATAATTCAAATTCATTCCAGTCAGCTTCCAACCTACCCTCCCCTGGACCCGGGATTGTCAGTCCTTTTAACCTCGGTAATCCGGCTCCTTAACCTGGTTGTCTCGTATCCGAGGCCCTCAAGTCTCTTTCTTGCCCCTTTCGCCACTCTTGTTGATGATTCCTTTCCAGTCGTGGATGCTCCAGCAAGAAAATGCTTTTGACCCTTTGCAACAAGTCCATCCCAAACCCATTGCCCAAGCCAGACAGCAAATAATACCACTTCAAATTTCCACAAAGCTTGGAGACTTCGGCTACTCCAATCCTCTGATAGCCCATCACCAGACTCGGAAGGTCCAAATAACCATATGGAGGGGGGTCGATCCATCCCCCCATTTCCAAATCTGACCACATTTCATCTTTCCGAATCTGGTTTGTCCCAAGTTCATTTATCAAGTTCATGCAATTCACCTCTCTTCCCACCCCCAGGAGTCACCCCCAGCAGCAGCAGCAGGACCAGGACTCCGGCTTCCATCAATGCGACTCCCGCAAACATCAACCTGGCAGGTGAGTCCCCTCTACCGCTGCCTCCCCTGCTTTTCCCGCCTGCTCTTGGCATCTTTGCTCACGGGCTCCGCCTCGCTTCTGCCCCGCAGACCTGACCCGAGCGGTGAACGCCCTGCCACAGAACATGACCTCGCAGATGTTCAGCGCCATTGCGGCCGTGACGGGCCAGGGGCAGAACCCCAACGCCACCCCTGCGCAGTGGGCCTCCAGCCAGTACGGCTACGGAGGCAGCGGCGGCGGGAGCAGCGCTTACCACGTAGGTGAACGCAGGAAGAGAGGGGCCGGGTGGGGCAGAGGGCGGGGACTGGGGGGCACCGGGTGGGGCTGCTCTAGACTCGTTCTTCTGGTTTTCGGGGCAGCACGTCCCAGCCAGCGCTCAGGTAAGAATCATAGAGTTGGAAGGGTCCCCAATGGTCATTAGTCCAACCCGCCTCCCCGGCCTGCTCTTGATTGTTCACACATCTGCCTTCCTTTGGGAAGGACATGGCTCAGCAGTACAGCATCTGCCTTGCGTGTGGAAGGTCCCAGATCCCGTCTGGGTTGGGAGACAACCCCTGCCAGTCAGTGTAGGCAGCACTGAGCTAGATGGACCCAAGGACTGACTTGCTTCCTAGCTGGGCATCTTCTTTTCTCAAAGTGTGGGTATCGCAGCGTCGCCTGCATGCGGTTCCACCGTTTTTCTTCACGTTGCATTTTCTTCCACTAAACAGAGTAGATGAAAGGGAAATCGGCCACGGGCAAGTGAGTAGCCCCCACTCTAAAGGAATGTGCTGGGGGGGAGTATGGACGAGGCAGGCTGGACGCTGGCAAGGGGGAGAGGACGTGAAGGACGCAGCTAAGCTGCCAGCGAGAAAAGGCTTAGCGGAGGAAGAATTTGCTGAGCCGACAGGCAGGCAGGCAGCGCTTGGCCGGCTGAGCTTGCTAATCGCCCGGCAGGCAGGGGCTGTGAGTGGAAGGGCCTCTGGTCCTCCCACTGACCTGGAATTAAGGGCACCTTCCTCCGCTCTTAATCCTGGCACCTCACAAACACTTGGCAGTGCCCTGCGGAGCGCAGTCAGGAGAGGGGGCTGCGTCTCGGGCAGCGGGCTGGGGAAAAGACTTCCTGCCTGAAACTCCCCTGGAGAGATGCTGCTGGTCTGTGTAGACAGGGCTGAGCTAGATGGAGGCAACAGTCTGATTTGGTATAAGGCAGCCTCCTCTTAAATCGGCCTTTAAGGCAGAACCATGAGGACCAGGATCTTGTTACATTTTTAGGGAAAGAGCAGCAGCTCAGGAGCAGAGCACCTGCTTCGCGTGCAGAAGGTCCCTGGCTCAATCTATTTTTACTCAGCGTTAACTGCTTTTCATTCTGAATTTTGAACGGCTGTAATGCACTCTGGGACCTGCCAGTAAAGGGTGGGTTATAACGATGATGAGGGGCTGGGAATGCCCCCCAACTTGAAGCCTTGCGGAGCTGCTGACTCAGCAGAAAGCAGCCTCCTTTGACCTCCCGTCTCCTGATGGCACACGGACTGGCTGGACGCAGAGGAACGGTGTGGGGAGCCCCCAAGAGAAAAAGGCTCAGAGCCCGGGGAATGATGAGTGGGAGGAGAGGGAACAGATTGGGAAGAGGAGGTTGAAACTGAAGGGGTAACAGTGGGCAGAAAGAATATTTGACAGAGAGCAGTCCAGACTCAGAGGCAGAAGAAGCCGCCAGTGGCCTCCCTCTCCCCCATGGCCTCCCCGAACCAGAAGAGGCATGAAGAGGGAGAAGCAAAGGCAGGTGCATTGGCATAGTCTCAGATTGCTTGTGAGGGACCTGGTGACGGAGGAAGGTTTAGGCAGATGTGGGAAAGCAGGGACCTCTTCCTCAGTCCCCACAACTGCCTCATAGGGGCAAGACCTACCGGAACCACTTGCTGTGCTCACTAGGCCTGGCCTCCTGAGTCAACTTTGCTTCCTTGAATAAAGAGTTAACATCACTGACGCTGTGTGATTGATTGTTCACCTGCTCCTGACAGCTGGTCGCCTGCGCCCATGACGGTGGCTCCACAAGCTCCTTTTTGATGCTCCCACTCAGCCCTTTTTCGTCATTGGCTAATCTGTACTTTAATCTCTTTCTCTCTCTCTCTCTTGCTCCAGGTCTTCACGACTCCTGCCCAGCAGCCGGTGGCCACCCCACTTCTGACCCCCAGCTACTCCTACACGACCCCCAGCCAGCCCATCACCACCCCCCAGTACCACCAGCTCCAGGCCAGCACCACGCCCCAGTCCACCCAGTCTCAGCCCCAGTCCCAGCCGTCCTCCAGCTCAGCGCAGAGGCAGCAACCCAAGTGAGTGCTGCAAAAAGGCTCCTTGTTTTATTATTTACTTTAATGACGTTGCATTTCTATCCCACCTTTTCCTCCAAGGAGCTCAAGGCGATGTACATGGTTCTCATTTAATCCTCACGGCAACCCTGTGAGGTAGGCTAGGCTAAGACCCAGTGAGCTTCATGGTCCTAGTCCAGTGCTCTAACCACTATGCCACACTGGTTCATGATGGAGAAGTGGGGAGGTTGGAGAGGGAAGGGGGAAGAAGAAGAAACCACTGAGGGAGAAAAATGGGGTGGGGTGAGACAAGGAGGAAAGGGCAGCACAGTTCAGTCAATTGAGCAGTTGGGTTAAAAATATTCTTGATCTTTGGGGAGATTTGTAGAACACCTGGAGAGGGAAGGCTGGATTAAAACAAGCACTTTTTTCAAAACCAAAAATTAAAAACAATGGCAGGCACCTCTTTAGAAGAGACTTTTGTGTGCATTTCAGTCTCTCTCACAGACTCCTCCAAGGCAGGGCTCACCTGCTGCAGGTGCTTGCCTCACCTGAGGTGCTGGCTTCTTTCAGAGTCTTCTTTAGACAGGTGTGCGTTTTGTGCAGGGGGAGCTGATCGGCTGAGGCTCCTGCTCTTCACTGGCGCAGGAGAAATCAGAGCAGGAGAAACCAGATTTCTTTCAGCGGGAGGGCAGCCCCTACGGTGGGGGCTTTGCTTGCCCGCTGGGGCCAGAAGTCTAGGTTCAATCCCCAGTGGCATCTCCAGGTGAGGCTGCAGATGTCCCCTGCCTAAAACCCTGGAGAGCCATGGCTGCTGGTCAGTGTAGACAACACTGAGCAAGGGTCTGGCTCAGTATAAGGCAGCTTCCTTTGTCCATATTTAAATCAGCACTTAATTCAGAACAATGAGGACTGGAATCCTGCCATATCTTTAGGGCTAGGGCACTTTATTTGCATGCAGAAAGCTCTGAATTCCGTTTCCAGCAGCAGCATCTCCAGGTAGGGCTGAGGGGGGACCCTCTGCCTGGAACCTTTGACATAGCTCTGGTGTATGTCTCTAAACCGTAGTCCTGCACCAAGAGCTCCAGACACACAGCACTCTCTGGATCAGCCCAGCGTTCGAAACGCCCATTGTTCTAGGCACATTTTGCGTCAGGGAATTCACGCGAGTAGTTTCTGAGCTCTGAGGAGCAGTACTGCGCCTAAGATTTCAGGTTAAAACTGCAGACTGGAAGGAAAGGAGAACCTTTTTCTGCCTCCCCACTTCCAGCCAGTCTCTGAAGACAGGAGAAGAAACCCTCTTAAGGGATGGGCATTGGAAGGACCAGGCCGTGTGAAAAATGAGCATAATAGTTTAGCTGCAGTTCATTCAGTCTCAGCTTTGCATTCTTGTTATTTGAAAAAGTGCGCCTAGACATTCTGCTGTTGCTTCCGTAACTTCGGCTTAAGGTGCCCTTTAGCCTCCAGCTTTCCTCTCTCCGTTTCTAACACTGGATTGGCCTGTTGTCTTTGACCTCCTTCCTCTCTCCCTCCCTGTCTAGGTCCAGCAGCCACACGGCCATCGACTGGGGCAAGATGGCGGAGCAGTGGCTGCAGGAGAAGGAGGCCGAGCGGAGGAAGCAGAAGCAGCGGCTGACCCCCCGCCCCTCGCCCAGCCCCATGATCGAGAGCACGCCCATGTCGGTCGCCGGAGACGCCACCCCGCTGCTCGATGAGATGGACCGGTAGTCCTGCTCCCCTCACTGCCGCTGGAGACCCCCTCCCTCCCTCCTGCCGGCTGGCCACCTCTCTCGGGGTCTTTGTTTCCTTTGCACTGGACACTCGAGGCATGTGCCAGGGACGCTGGGCAGCGCCCTCCTTGTGGCTTGGAGAGGAGAGGCCCTTGTGTATATACTGGCAGCGGAGGCAGCCTTTCTGCTGGGCGGGGTGCCAGTCCTGACCCGGCCCTCCCGCTGCTCTTCTGCGCTTTGCTCTCGCGGCTGGCGTCAGCCGGTCCTCCCGCCAGCGATGTTCTCTTTTTCCGAAACTGCCCCTGGAGTGCTGGCCAGATCCGGCTGCGTGGAGGAATAAAACCTTTGGGATTGGGGGGGCAAGGGGTTCCAGGAGAGGGGCTCTGCCAGTGACTGGGCCAGGGTTTGCTTTCTCAGTCTCTCTCTCTCTCTCTCTGTGTGTGTGTGTCTGTCTGTCTTTCTCTCCCTCCTTCTTCGCTCGTTGCCTGTATTTGTACGTATGAAAAGGGCTTTGCTTTTGCCCACCCCCCTGGCGCTCCGTGGCTGGAAGAGAATCCAGCCTCTCTTGCCCATCCGCTGGCTTTTCCTTGGCACACCCTCTCCGGGACAATATTTATTCAGTTGTGTTACTTTTCAAAAAAAAGGAGACTGCAGAGTTGAACCTGGGGCGACTGCGGCTTTTGTTTGGGAGCTGCGAAGTACCGAGAGAGTGAGAGTTTTGCGGCGGCCTGAATGCCAAGTAGTGCTCCCCCCCTTTACCCCCCCCCACTGCCCCCCCTCACTCCCAACAGCACCGAGGAATAAATAGTGTTTCTACTGAACCTTTGTGGAGGTTTTCTCTCTCCTTGCTTGCCAGCCAAAGAGGGCAGAGACTGAGTCTGACTGGACTCCCTTGCACAAAACTCAAGGCCAAAGCGGGGGCAGTCGGGAGGTTGTGTGTGAGGGGCGGGAGGGAATCTGTGGGGTAGGAGGAACTGGCTTGGGGGGTGGGGGGACTCTGGAAATGCAGGGATTGAAGTGCCTTCCTTTTCTGCCCAATCTCCTGTGGGTGGGGGGCTGGGGACAGCTCACAAAGCCCCCGCAACTGTGCCAGCCCTGCGGGGGTGGACAAAGGCTCTGCCTCAATTCCTGAGTGGCGGATCAGGGCCAGGCCATGTCTGCCATCTCTTTCCTTCCTCCCCAAGCCTTTCCCATCCCCATGAACCCTGGGCCTGGTCTGTGCAGCGGGGTGGGGAAGACGCTCCTCTTGCCTTGTGCTCTGGAGCCCCCACCAGGTGGAGTCCCTTTGTCGCTTTGTGACTTGTCCTCTCGGTGGCTGTGTGGCTGCTCCTGGGAAACCAGGAGGAGTCTTTGCCTCTAAGCACCATCTCTGCCAGAAGCTGTTTGCTCTCCTTTTCACTCTCATATTCTGGCTGACCTCCCCCAACCCACCCCGGTTTTCTCGCTGTGATTTGCACAGCACTGGATGTTGTCACAATTTTCCCCCACCCTGCCCAGCATCCCTAGAATTGCTGCTTTCCATTTTGTTTCTTAACAGAAACTTTCCCAAGCAATGACTAAAAAGCCCGCTGTCCCACCTCTGCCAGCTGTTCCCCATTCGTCTCTTTGGACGGGCCTCCTCTGGCATCCCTGCCCACTTGGTCGGCCTTGAAGCTGCCCAATTCTGCTCCATCCCTGCGTTTTCGGGGTGAGCCTGGAGCAGTTCTGCTGTTCCTGCAAAGAGGCAAGAGCAGCTGCCTGTGGAGTCTCTGCAGGATCCCTGTTGCCTCATTCGAGGCAGGAAAGGGCACTCCCATCCTTTCAGAAACAGGGCAGGCATCTCTGAGGATGCCACCCCAGTCTTAACTCCTGCACTCTAAACATAAGCCTATAAGCTTTTAGTATTTAATGCTGTATGGTTTTTAACACTCAATTGGAAGCCGCCCAGAGTGGCTGGGGAAACTCAACCGGATGAGTGGGGTATAAATAATAAATTATTGTTATTATTATTATCATTATTGACATGTAATAGGGAGTCTCTGGACTGCAGTGGAGCTCAACTGGAAGTATTTGCCTTCCTGCTCAGAGTGGCTCTTCAGAGGTGGTTGAGAAACCCAACAATGTGGGAGAGTGAAGACCAGATAAGCAGGGTGGTAGGAAAAGATGGGGAAAGGCTCAGGCCCATCAGGAAGGGTCCTGGCTTGGTGGTGGGGCCAGAGCCCGGGGGTAATCCCTGCACGAAAGCCTGGAGGGCTTCTGCCAGTCAGGGGTAATGGGAGTTGTAGTCCAACAACATCTGGGGACCCACAGGTTGAGAACCGCTGGTTTAGACAATGCTGGGGTGAATGGACCAATGATCTGACTCCATATATAGCAGTTGGATTCCCAATCAAATCACCCCTTTATTCAGACCATGAGGACTGGGAACTTCATTTTGGGTGGGGAGTGCCACAGCTCTGTAGCAGAGTATCTGCTTTGCATGCAGAAGGTCCCAGGCTCTGCCCCTGATGGCATCTGCAGTTAAGGCTGGGACAGAGCCCTGCCTGAAACCCTGGAGATTCATTGCTGCCAGCAGACAACACTGTGCTGCCAAGGAGGCTTTGGGTGCGAATCCTGCCAACTCTAGGGTTCTGAAATTCTAGATGGAACAAATCTGACTTGGTGGAAGACAGCGTCCTTTGCAACCAGACACATCTTTGGCCGCAGGTCCCTAGAGAAAGAAGGAAGGCCTGGAAGCAGAGAAACTGTAAACCAAAGGTGTAAAAATGCTGGAAATTTGAGAGCATGGGCTTTAAAGGCTGCTGCTGTTGGCAGAATCTCTTTCCTTTCTTGTCTGGGAGCAGCAACCTTGATTTCCCCTTAGTGTCCAGAACACCAGTGGCCTTTCATGAAGAAACCAGAAAACACGAGGTGTGCTCAGCAGGTAGACCATTCCTACCCAGAGCCTCTCAAGGAAGGGATACCAATTGGCTTCCACCTGTGAGCAGTCAACATCTGGGGAGGCAGACCCCCTCTTGAAGTGTGGGGAAATGAGCCAAAAGTGCATATCCTTTGGTGGGCCCTTCCAACTCTTCGATTCTAAGGGTCCCACCACATCCTGAATGCACTTGGTACTTTGTGCAGGATTCTGTAGCCCGAGAACCATACCTGGGTCACAACACCCAAAAAAACATGTTCTGGTCCTTTAGATTTAGCTAAGGAGGTCACAAAGGATGAGATTCACAAGCTGCTTTATTTTTCATCATAACAGAATAGGAAGGGACTGTCTGCATTGCAATCCCTTGCAATGCAGACATTGATGCTAAAGAACTCCCAAGTCGAAACAAAATTTTAAAAAATAAATAAAAAATTCCTTCCAGTAACATCTTAAGAGACCAACTAAGTCTGTTATTGGTATGAGTTTTCGCGTGCATGCACACTTCTTCAGATACACAAAAGCTCATACCAATAACTAACTTAGTTGGTCTCTAAGGTGCTACTGGAAGGATTTATTTTTTTTAATTGTGTTTCGACTATGGCAGACCAACACAGCTACCTACCTGTGACTAGAACTCCCAAGTGTTCAGGATCAAGCTGTTTCTCTCTACCTGAGGATTGTCTGTCTGTCCTGGAAGTAACAAGCATTTCTGATCACATACTCTCTCTATTTTTCAACAAACTGCAGCAGTGTCAGGGTTAGGGAGCCTTGGTCCAAAACACCTGAGGAGCGACATCAGGTTGGCACCAACTGGGCTTGGGGCTTGAGCCCTGAGGCCTTCTGCCTGCAGAGCAGCTGCTGTGCCCCCTGGGCAGAGCTATTGGGGTTTTGGGAGGTGGTCTTGTGTCCTGTTTTGCTTCTGCCACCTGGCAGACGAAATCCCGCAAAATGCAAGCAAACGGGCGCCAGTTTGCACGACTTGGCAGGATTTCATTTTCGAGTGCATGTATAGACTTCCTGGGATGGGACACTTGGTGCCAGCGGACTTTGGCAGGCAAGCACCTTTTGACTGGGCAGGGTGGGTGCCAGGTACCCTCGGCTCCTCCAGACGTTTCCCTGTCCTCCAGATGTTTCCCTGCCCTCCCCTGGAGGGGAGCACACACGTAAAGTCAGGGTCTTTGGGCTCAATCTGATTCTGCCTGTTTATTACGCAGCCTGGACTGCGGAGATCTTGCCCCCCGAGTCTGGGTGGGGCAAATGCTGGGACTGTCCATCTCTCTCCCTGAGCCGCCTCCTCCTCCCTTTCCTCTTCCTCGGAGGAGGCTGGACAGTGGGGGGCCTGGGGGGGGCCTTGGGCAGAGCAGTTGGTTGTCTGCCCCCTGGTTCGGCCAATCCTGCAGGGTCGTCGCCAAGGATGGCATTGAACAGATCTTCCTCCCCTAAGTCCGGAGGCCCCACGGGGTCTTGGAAGTCCACCTTGGCCGGCTCTTGCTCCACCAGCTGCTTTGGGAAGGCGGCGGGGTCCTCTCTCGCCGGATGAGGAACGGTCGCAGCCTTTGCCTCTGCCTTCTTCTTCTTCAAGCCTTTCCCCCTTCTGCCTTTTCTTCCTTTGCCCTTGCCCTTCCGCTGCTTCTTGGGGGTGTCGCTGGGCCTCGCCTGGGGAGCAGGAGTGGTCCCAGCCGCTGCCACAACAGCCGGGGCCGGCTTGCGGGGAAGAGGAGATGAACCCACCGACAGACGGAAGGAGGTGGTGGTGGTGGAAGACTTTGCCGGGGGTGGCTGACGGGTTGCCAGCCCGTCTATGAGCCCCCCGCCGTATTCGTACAGCACCGGATCTTGCGCCACGGCAACTGCCACGGTTGTGTAGTTCTTGCACCTGGCAAAAATTGAGCAGACACAGTTAACCAGGAGTTGCAGGGATTCCCTGAGCACACAGGGGAAACTTCACAGGCTGGGGGCATCATTTTGGCTCATTTCAAAGTAGGGATGCTGAGGACTAGAAACCTGACCGCTTGATAAAGCAGGGGTGGGGAATCCTGTGGTCTTCCAGGTGTTGCTGGACTTCAGGCCCTGTTAACCCCAGGGAGGGTGATGGGAGGTGAAGCCCAACAAATTTCCCCACCTCTGCTTTAAAATGAAAGAGGTCAAGTTTCTAGTCCTTGTGCTACCATTGCTTCAGAAGTCATATGATTAGCTGGGGAGACGAGGTGTGTGTTTCAAGGCCTGGCAGTGCTTCTGGCACCCATAGCCACACACCTGTGACTACCACCAGCAGGATAAATTACATGCATGGAAAGAAAATGTGCATTTTTCCCATATTTGCATACAGCACATGTTTGCAGAATCTGGATTATTCTGGAGCAGGTTTCTTTCGTTTCATTTTAAGGCCAAGTCCAGCCAGCCCTAGTTGCAGGCTCCCTTCTTGATAATTGATTTGAATAAATTCTGATCCTCCCAGGTGAGTTTAGCAAAAGTGCTTTTGTAACTGTAGAGCATAGAAAAGATAAAGCCCACTAAAACCAAACTGCAGCTTTCCAAGCAATGATAAAAAATCACGTGAAAGAATTTAAAACGTGCAACCTCATTGAAAACCACGATTCTACCAGCAGAAAAGAAAACCAGGCAGCCTCTGTCTTGAATAAAAGCTAGGAATGGGGAGGGAGGCAACCAGGCCGGAATCCCCAGAGGGAGAAGAGTTGGACAGTATGGCATAGTGGTTAGAGTGTCAGACTAGGATCTGGGTTCAAATCCCCCTGTACTCAGCCATGAAGCTCCCTGGTTGTGACTTTGGGCCAGTCACTGTCTCTCAGCCTAATCTACCTTGCAGGGTTTTAAGTGCAATAAGAAAATAGCATAAAAATCATCATCAACAACACCCCCTCTGCTCATTCCTTCCCTTGTTTCCCTCTGCATTCAAAGCAGCCTCTCCCAACTCCCAGCCCCTCTGTTTGTGCTTTGATGGAAAAGCCCGCTCTGTTCTGCTGTGGCAATAATAGCAGAGCCGTTTCTTGAGCACTCATCCTGCTTCTGTTGCTCAAGTTTGAAGAGGAGGTTGCTGGGGGCAGAGGAGGAACTAAGAGCCGCTTACCAGACGTAGAGATAAGGCTCCACACATTGCTCTTTGTAGGCAAACTCAAAGCAAGGCACTTGGATGACGTTGAAGAAGGCCTGGCCCACCACGCGGGAGGCTGTGTCGTTCACGGCTCGCAGGCATGCCTTTAACCTATAAAAAAAAGGCGGAGGGGTTTCCATTTCACTTACTCTGCATAGAATAAACATCTAGCTTTTCCATTTGAAAAATCCCAAGGGGGCTCTCAAAACACATCCTTTTAATTTTTGTATTTTATTTTTTTTAAAACCCACACTAACCTTGTGTTGTGCATTGCAGAGGGTTGGACTGGATGACCCCTGGGTTCCCTTCCAACTCTACAGTTCTGTGCCATTGGGGATTGAACCTGGGCCCTTCTGCATGCAAAGCTGGAGCTCAAACCCTGGCAACCCCCTGACGTCTTGGTCTTGCGTTGTTTGAGGTTTTCTATGTTATAACACACAATAGCTGCACAGATTTCTGCCGCCTTATCTGGGCTGGCCTTGAAGATCTGGGTGTTTGGAAGAAATATATGGAGGGGGAGGCAGGGTTGAAGAGGGGCTCCTCCGCCTCACTTTTGGAAACTGCAGGGCCAGCGTTTTGCACGAGAGGCAATAGCTCAGTTGGTTAGAGCGTGGTGCTGGTAACCTGCTAAGGTTGTGGGTGTGATCCCCGTATGAAACAGTTGCCTATTCTTGCATGGCACTACCATCACTACCGGAACGTGGGTGGCGCTGTGGGTTAAACCACAGAGCCTAGGACTTGCCGATCAGAAGGTCGGCGGTTCGAATCCCCGCGACGGGGTTGCTCGGTCCCTGCTCCTGCCAACCTAGCAGTTCAAAAGCACGTCAAAGTGCAAGTAGATAAATAGGTACCGCTCCGGTGGGAAGGTAAACGGCGTTTCCATGTGCTGCTCTGGTTCGCCAGAAGCGGCTTCGTCATGCTGGCCACATGACCCGGAAGCTGTACGCCGGCTCCCTCGGCCAGTAAAGCGAGATGAGCACCGCAACCCCAGAGTCGGTCACGACTGGACCTAATGGTCAGGGGCCCCTTTACCTTTACCATCACTGCTATTCTGTGGTTCTGTGTTTTGGGGGCCCTGGAGAAACTTCCTCCCAAACCCCGCCCCTCCCTTCTGCTCACCTGTTATCGCAGTCGCAGTGGCTGATGGTGTGCCATCGGAAATTGCGGTACCCGTACTTGTAGGTGAAAGGGTGGATGACGTGCTGGCAGTGGTCGTGTTCCCGGCAGCACCTGTCCGTCTCCTGGTGAGCTCCTGAAAGAGGGCGGGAGGGATTGGAGGGCGGCAGGTAAAATTAAGAAGACCAGCCTAGGTATGGCTTAAGAAACAATGGCTCCACAAGCTCATCTCCCGTGTCCCCTGCCCTACCCCGAAAAAGCATCCTTCAGAATGCATGCATGACCCACTAAGGTAGAGGGTGACACAGTAAAATTCGCAACAGGAACAATAGTAGAATTGGAAGGGACCACCAGGGTCATCTAGTGCCCAGTGTGGAGATCAAACCCACAACCCTGAGCTTAGGAGTCCCATGCTCTGCTGACTGAGCTATTCCTGCTATCGACTGCATGTCTATTCAAAATCCACTTTAACTACTTAGTTTGGTTAATTCAACAAAACTGATGAACTTGATGAGCAATGCCAGCTCTTCAAAGTCTGAGAGTTGCTTGCACCTCCAGCGCTTTTTGCTGCCCCCTGGCATCTTAGCACCCCCCAGGTAATCCCACAGTCCCCTTAGGGGGCACTGCCACCTTCCCTGGTCCAAGCCAAGCAGCTGCCCTTAAGGGGTTTTGGGCTCCTCCTCCGGTCAGCCCCCATCATCATCACATAGCTGTGGTCACAGGAGGACACAGGATGGCCCTCTGTCCTGGATGCTTTAGCTGAGATTTCTGCACTGCAGGGGGTTGGACTAGATGACCCTCAGGTCCCTTCCAACTCTACAATTCTATGATTCTATGACACATTTCTAAGAGGAGAAGAAAAAGATGTTCATTGATGACTCTGAGCTCTTTTGTTAAAAAAAAAATATTCATTTTTCATTTTCATTCATTACATCTCAAATTCTTAACTTTTACTATATATTCCTCCCTCCCCTCCAAGACTTCCTCCAACTTGCGTTTCTGGTTTGCTTATATTTTCACCCACTTTGCTATCTCTTAACAGAAAATGTTATTAATAACATAACTTCAAACCTAAAAACATAAAAAGAAAATTAAATGCATCATCTTATTTCAATATCTTCTAAACATTTTCTGATGCCAATAATGTGGATGTTTATTTAAATAAATAAATAATTAAATTGATGACTCCTAGCCGTAGCTGTCAACGTTTCCCTTTTTAAAAGGGAAATTCCCTTATTCCGAATAGGATTCCTCACAAGAAATAGGAAAAGTTGACAGCTATGCTCCTAGCTCTGACTTTCCCTAGAGACCTTAGATTCTAAGATCAATCATCATCATCAATAATAATAATAATTACTATTATTAACATTATTGCAATTTACTACCTACCCTGCATCCTAAGGTCCCAGAGTGGGGTGCAACTATTTATTTATTTATTTATTTATTTATTTCATTTCATTTCACTTCACAGAATTGTAGAGTTGGAAGGTACCCTAAGGGTCATCTAGTCCAGCCCCCTGAAATACAGGAATTCTCCGCTAAAGCATCTCTGACAGATGGCCACCCAACCTTTGCTTAAAAACCTTCAGGGAAGGAGACTCCACTCTTCCTGTCGGAAAGTTCCCCCTGATGTTTAGTTGGAATTTCCTTTCTTTTTTGCAACTTGAAGCCATGGGTGCGAGTTCAAGGTGGAGTAACATGGTTCTCCACCCCGCTCATTGACTCCCGACAACAACCCTGTGAGGTAGGTCAGGCTGACGGAGGCAGTGTCTGCTCCAAGGACACCCGATGAGCTCCATGGCGGAGTGAGGGATTCGAACCCTGATCTCCCAGGTCCTAGCCCGACCCTCTAAGCACTACACCACACTGCCTCTCTCAAACATTACGCTGTTCCATCCTTCCAGTCTTCAGGATTGAAGGATGGAAGACTGAAGAAACACCAACTAAAGAATCATGGCAAGAAAAATTGATGAACTATGCAGAACTGGCGAAACTGACATAAGCTACGGGACAAGGATAACTGTGACTTTAAAGATGAATGGGAACTCTTTACAAAGTATCTGAAGACGCAACAAAGCGAACTGATCTCCTTGGCTGGGTTGAATAAACATTCACAAACCTTTTATTGATAATAAGCAGCTAAATAGTTTGAGGATCTATACAACTGTGTAACATGCAGAAAACAGCATTTTTAGAGAAATCAAAAGACTGGAACTGAGGGAAGTCGGGGGGTGGGGTGGGGGTGGGTGGGTTCTGTGGGGGGAGGGAGGAAAAATGGGGGGGAGTAAGGATGATATGTTTCTGGATAATATGTTTTGTTTTAATTTTGAATAAAAAAGTTATTTAACAAACAAACAAACAAACACTGCCCCGTTTCCAAGTATCCGGAGGGCGCCAAGTTGGCGAAGCAAGAGGCTCCTGGCTGGAGAAGCCCCCCTTCCTCCGTCCCCTCCCGCCCCGCGCCTTCTCCATCTCCCGTTAGGTACCCAGTTCTTCGTAGCTCTCCGCGATGTTGCCGGCTCCGCACCAGAGTGTCCCCGGGTAGGTGAAGCCGCGCTTGGTCCGGCGCCGGGAGGAAGCCTCTCTGCCATCCGCGCCGTCGAGGCAGGCCGCCTTGGCTTCTTCCATCCCGGGGAAGTCGGGCTCCTCCTCCTCCTGCGCCCCCGCGGAACAGCGGCTCAGGAAGGCGGCCACCTCCCGGGGCTCTGCGGAAACGCTGCAGCCGCTCAGGCCGGCGCGTCGTCGGGGCGCCCAAGTGGCGCTCAGGAGCTCCTTCCCGTCGGACGCCTCCAAGCGGAGCACGCCGGCCGCCAGCGGGCTGCGGAGGACGCAGAGGGCCGCCGGGGGCCGGGCCGGGTCGGACCCAGCCCCCGCCAGCAGCAGCAGCAACAGCAACAGCGGCAGCGACGTGCCAGGCATCGCGGCGGAAGCCAGCGACGGAGCGGGCGGCGGCGGCGGCTTGCTTTCAGCACCAGGGCGCAGAGACAGCGCCCGGCGCGCCCGGCGCCTTTTAAGCCCCGCGGTGCGGTGGCCTGATCCGCGGGGAGGGGAGGGGCTGGAGCCCTCCCTCCCTCCCTCCCTCCCTCCCTCCCTCTCTCTCCCCCGCTCCAAATCTCGACGGGCTCCCAGCTCTGGGAAACAGAAAGCGCAGGCTTTTCTTAGTCCGGGGTGGCGGACGTAGTTCTTCACTTGACAGCTGCGCTGGATGGCTCAGCAGGTGCGTCTGGGCACCAGCGAGTAATCGTGGGGTGTTCGAGGCGGAAGAGACCGCAAAGGTCCAGTCCAATCGCCTGCAATTCAGGGAAGCACAGCCAAATGATCCTAGAATCATAGCTCATGGTTTTGGGCATACTTATAGTTTAGATTCCAAGAAAACACCCCAGTCGTGTCAGATGTAGGAGTCTTCCTTGCCAGCTGTTGTAAGGTTCAGCTATAGGATGGACTAGCTTGGAGCGCACAGACGACTCAGGTTCTCACCTTGACATAGAACAAACATTTGTGATCATCATCTGAGGTCCAGAGAGTGGCAACACGAGAACGGGGCCTTTTCAGTGGTGGCTCCCCGTCTGTGGGATGCTCTCCCCAGAGAGGCTCGCCTGACACCTTCATTGCATATCTTTAGGCACCAGGCGAATGTTCTACTTCTCCCAGGCTGATTAAACAATCAATGGCCTTTCAAGTGTGTTTATGGGAGGGGGGTTATTGGTTTGTTTCTCTATTATTATGCATTTTGTGTTTTCATTTTGTATTTTCATGTTGCGAACTGCCCTGAAATCTACAGATGACAAACAACAACAGTTGAAGGAAGGGGTCCTAAGGTCCCTTTGCAGGAAGCACAGCAAAACAGGGTGGGCATTGTGTTGGCAGTGAAAAAGTCAGAGCTGCAGGCGTGGGCCTGGCTGGTGCCCCAGATCGAGAGGCTTGCATTCCCACACACATCTGCAAGGCATGTCACACATCCCAGCTCCCCTTGCCATAGGCCTGGAAAGGAATATTTGCAAAAATATTGCAATGCCGCATAAACATCCACAACTGAATTTGATTCCAGCTGCAAAGGTGGTACTTTAATGTTCCAGATTTAAGTGGGGTCTTCATTCCAAAATCCATATTGGTGCAAAGTCTTCATTAGGCCAACCAAAATGTCCCCAAAATATTTTTTTTAGCAACACTAATATACTTGACAGGCGATCTCTACACCATTTACAAAGAACAAATGTGAAAGCTTTGGCACCAACCAGCTTTTGTTTACTTCCTAGCCTGATGACTTTGTTGTTGTTGATGATGAATCGTTTAGTCGTGTCCGACTCTTCGTGACCCCCTGGACCAGAGCACGCCAGGCACTCCTGTCTTCCACTGCCTCCCGCAGTTTGGTCAAACTCATGCTAGTAGCTTCAAGAACACTGTCCAACCATCTCGTCCTCCGTCGTCCCCTTCTCCTTGTGCCCTCCATCTTTCCCAGCATCAGGGTCTTTTCCAGGGAGTCTTCTCTTCTCATGAGGTGGCCAAAGGATTGGAGCCTCAGCTTCACGATCTGTCCCTCCAGTGAGCACTCAGGGCTGATTTCCTTCAGAATGGATAGGTTTTATCTTCTTGCAGTCCATGGGACTCTCAAGAGTCTCCTCCAGCACCATAATTCAAAAGCATCAATTCTTTGGCAATCAGCCTTCTTTATTGTCCAGCTCTCACTTCCATACATCACTACTGGGAAAACCATAGCTTTAACTATACGGACCGTTGTTGGCAAGGTGATGTCTTTACTTTTTAAGATGCTGTCTAGGTTTGTCATTGCTTTTCTCCCAAGAAGCAGGCGTCTTTTAATTTTGTGACTGCTGTCACCATCTGCAGTGATCATGGAGCCCAAGAAAGTACAATCTCTCACTGCCTCCATTTCTTCCCCTTCTATTTCCCAGGAGGCGATGGGCCCAGTGGCCATGATCTTTGTTTTTTTTGATGTTGAGCTTCAAACCATATTTTGCGCTCTCCTCTTTCACCCTCAGTAAAAGGTTCTTTAATTCCTCCTCACTTTCTGCCATCAAGGTTGTGTCAAGCCTGATGACTAGTTTTGGATAAATCCGCACACTATTTTGTGATGTTTTGGTTGCCACAATAAAGGCATTGCCTTAAATAGGGATTTACAAACCCTGTGAAGTTTCAGAAGGCTGCCACCTGCCACATACACTGCATGTTTTCCTACCAAATGCTGACAGAGACGAAGCACCATTGCATGTCAGGCATCAAAGGCTGTCAAAGCACCATTGCAGGTCAACGGTCAGATGCTGAGAGGTCACATTTGTCAAATGTGGAAATCGAGAACCGTCAGATGGTAAAATACTAGGTGAATTAGCATTTCAGAGGCTGTTCAGAGGATGTTTGGACTTGGGCCTTCTCAGTGGTGGCGCCTGCCCTGTGGAACATCCTCCCACCAGATGTCAAAGAGAAAAACAACTACCAGATTTTTAGAAGACATCTGAAGGCAGCTTTTAATGTTTAATAGGTTATTGTATTTTAATAGTCTGTTAGAAGCAGACCAGAGTGGCTGGAGAAACCCAGCAAGATGGGTGGGGTATAAATAATAAATAATAATAATAATAATAATAATAATAATAATAATAATAATAATAAATGTTGTCAAAGCACCATTGCAGGTCAACGATCAGATGCAGAGATGACACATTTGTCCAATGTGGAAATCGAGAACTGTCAGATGATAAAACACTGGGTGAATTAGCATTTCAGAGGCTGTTGGGAAGATGTTTGGACTTGGCACCATGGAAGTCTCCACCCCACCTTCCACAGAGTTCCTTTCTTCACACTCTGAAAGAGCCATAATAATAATAATAATACATTTTTATTTATATCCCACCCTCCCCAGCCGAAGCCGGGGTCAGAGAGGCTAACAACAACAAAGTAACACAGCATTCTAAAACCAATATATTCGAAAATCAATTCAGAATCAAATTAATGGCAACCATTGGGCTAGAGTTCTGTGAGGATTCCCAAAGGAGGGGGTCAGACTGTGCCCTGGCCAAAGGCCAGGAACAGCTCTGTCTTGCAGGCCCTGCGGAAAGATGTCAGGTCCCGCAGGGCCCTAGTCTCTTGGGACAGAGCGTTCCACCAAGTCGGGGCCAGTACTGAAAAGGCCCTGGCTCTGGTTGAGTTCAGCCTAACCTCCCTGTGGCCCAGGGCCTCCAAGATGTTTTTATTTGTACGGTCCTACATGGGACATACCAGGCAAGGGGGTCCCGTAGGTACAAGGGTCCTGGGCCGTATAGGGCTTTAAAGGTCAAAACCAGCACCTTGAACCTGATCCTGTACTCCACCGGGAGCCAGTGCAGCTGGTATAGCACCGGGTGAATGTGATCCCGTGGCAAGGACCCTGTAAGGAGTCTTGCCACGGCATTCTGCACCCGCTGGAGTTTCTGGGTCAGCTTCAAGGGCATCCATGATGCATCCAGGGGAGCCTTTTGGGTGCCCTATGGGTGCACCTATGGGTGCAAGATGACCAAACCTCTCCATTCTGAAGGAAATCAGCCCTGAGTGCTCACTGGAAGGACAGATTCTGAAGCTGAGGCTCCAAGACTTTGGCCACCTCAGGAGAAGAGAAGACTCCCTGGAAAAGACCCTGATGTTGGGAAAGATGGAGGGCACAAGGAGAAGGGGATGAAAGAGGTCGAGGTGGTGGGACAGTGTTCTCGAAGCTGCCAGCCTGAGGGAGGCAGTGGAAGACAGGAGGGCCTGGCGTGCTCTGGTCCAGGGGGTCACGAAGAGGTGGACACGACTAAACGACTAAACAACAACATGGGTGCAGGTCTAGGCCAAAAGCTTTCTCCCCCTGGAGCAGCCTGAGGACGAAAGGGTTAGCTCTTCAGCAGCTTCCTTCCCTCCTGCTGCTCCTGGGACTGACCGAGAGTTACCTCGGCAGCCCCCCCTTCTTGAATTCATGACTGGCTTCCAAGAGGGTGGGCTGAGGCCGGTCGCTGTGGCAACTGAGATGGGGTGATCTCGGAGGGCCCGTAGGACGCGGCCTCCTTTGGGATTCCTTCCTTTCAGGCCCCTTCGGGACAGAGCTCTTTGTCCAGAAAGCTGTGCCCGCCATCCCGGGTCAACGAGGTGACCCCCGCCTGCCCTGGTGGACTGGAGGGACCCCTGCAAGCCGGCTCTGGGGCTGAGCTGGTTTCTCCAGAAGTGTTCTAAGAAAGCCCTCTGTGTGGGGGGGTTTGTGTGCGGATCCTGGGGGAAGTTATGCAACCCACCTGTGTCTTGGGCTGGACAAAAACCTAGGGCTGCTTTGAATCCTGGAGTTGTAGAGCTGGAAGGGACCCGAGGGTCATCCATCCCAACCTGCTGCAATGCAGGGACCGCAGCTGATCATAGCGCACATCAGGCCCCAAAAGGTGCAGTTCCCCTACAGAGGGGAGGAGGAAGAAAAGTTGCAGCATTGGGGAAGGAAAATAATAACAATAATAGTAATATAAATAAATAAATAAATAAATAAAATTCCTCCCCAGCCAGAGGGACGTGGGTGGCGCTGTGGGTTAAACCACAGAGCCTAGGACTTGCCAATCAGAAGGTCAGCGGTTCGAATCCCCGCGACGGGGTGAGCTCCCATTGCTCAGTCCCTGCTCCTGCCAACCTAGCAGTTTAAAAGCACATCAAAGTGCAAGTAGATAAATAGGTACCACTCCAGTGGGAAGGTAAACGGCATTTCTGTGCGCTGCTCTGGTTTGCCAGAAGCGGCTTAGTCCTGCTGGCCACATGACCCGGAAGCTGTACGCCGGCTCCCTCGGCCAGTAAAGCGAGATGAGCACCGCAACCCCAGAGTCGGCCACGACTGGACCTAATGGTCAGGGGTCCCTTTAACTTTACCTTTATCACTTCCCTTAATCTAGACACAAGACTTTGGATGACTTCAGCCTTGCTGAAGCAGGATTTGCCCCACATCCTAAACGAGGAAACCAGCTGGTGGGTTTCCTCTGGGGCATGGGGCACTGCCTTCTCCTGAGCCAAAGCATTGCTCCAACTAGCTCCATGCTGCCAACACTGGCTGGCAGCATTTCTCCGCTGCTTTCCCTTATCACATGACTGGACCTAATGGTCAGGGGTCCCTTTACCTTTACCCCAGCCAGAGCCGGGCTCAGGGCGACTAACACCAGTAAAATTACAATAAAGAAAATAATAGAGGGGGGGAACCCAATTTAAAATGCAGCTTCATTTTAAAAGTAGCCCATAAATCAAAACCGTAAAGGGAGGGAAACAGAAGGGTCAGACTGAATCCAAGCCAAAGGCCAGGCGGAACAGCTCTGTCTTGCAGGCCCTGCAGAAAGATGTCATGTCTTTGCTGTTCTCCCTACTCTCATCACACTAGGACTCGTGACCCCCCAATGAAGCCGAACTTGGAAGGTTCAGGACAGATAAAGTCCTTCTTCACACAGCACAGAGTTAAACTACGGAACTCCCTGCCACCAACTAGGATGGCTTTTAAAAAGGATCAGACAAATTCATGGAAGAGAAGAGGGATATTGATGGTTTATAGTCAATGGGATAAATAACTATGCAACTTTCGGAAGACATCTGAAGGCAGACTTGTATAGGGAAGTTTTTGATGTTTGATGTTTTATCATGCTTTTATATTTGTTGGAAGCCACCCAGAGTGGCTGGGGAACCCAGTCAGATGGGTGTACAAATAAAATAATAATAATAATAATAATCTACAATGGCTGGGCTCTGCCTCCACAGTTGGAGCCAGCAATATTTCTCAATACCAGTTGCTAGAAACTGCGGGAGGAGAGAGTTGCTCTTGTGTTCGAATCCTGCTTGGTGGCTTCTGGCAGGCATAAGGGATATGCCACCTTGAGGAACCTGGAGAAAAAGTAGGGATAAAAATGCAATAAATTATGATAAATAATGATAAATTTGCTGCAACCCAGAATCTCTGAATCTCTACTGGAGACACTGGTAAGATCCTGGAGGAGCTGTGGGGTGGGGTGACCCACAGCTGTGTTCAAGATGGAGAGGATCCCTTTCGCCCCAGCGGCCTTGGCTGAGCCCTGAGCTGCAAGGCTAGCCTGGCCGTGCCCCTCTGCCAGGGGAGAGGCAGCGTGATTCACCCATTCAAGAAGTGCCCATTCACTCTGCCCAGGGAACAGACCCCGCATTGAGGTGGGAGCCCAGTCTCGGTGCCTTCTCATCCTGCCTTTTTTGTCTTCCCTGGGAAGGCGCAGGCTCAGGCCTGACCCTGGCAGCACAGGGAGGCTGGCGCAGGAGTCCATGCCAGGAACCACCGAGGGAGAGAGGTCCTAGAACTGTCGAGTTGGAAGGGACCCCAGGGGTCATCTAGTCCAACCCGCTGTAATGCAGGAATCACAGGTGAGGGAGTGGGAGGTGGTTAGGCGGGCAGTGTGTTGGGTCCTGCTTCTGGGTTTCCCATGGGGGCATCTGATCGGCCACTGGGAGTGCAGGATGTTGAATTAGATGGACCCCCTTCGACTGGCTGCGCCCAGGCTTGTCTATTGTGATAGCAGAACCTCCACACGTGAGAGCAGTCTACCTCTGAACACCAGACAATGGGGAACAACAATTGGAGAATACTCTTGCCCTCGGAACCTGCTTGTGGGCTTCCCTTTTGGGACTCTGGTTGCCCACTGTGAGAACAGGATGATCCTTTGGCCTCGTCCAGCAACCTCTTCTGATGTCCTTATATTATTCTGGCTGCTGGTGGTTCAGGAGTTCACTGACTGCATGTGTTTTTAATGAACTCCATGGTGGCTTTTGATTACAACACGTTTTTACTTAAGCTCCTCAGTTTCTTTCCATTTCATTCATTGCATTGATCTCCACTTGGCATCTGGGGCTCTCCCCCTTTCAAGGCAGGTGCAGAGCAGGGCCAGTGAGAGGTGTGGCCTAAAGCAAGAGGGCGTGGCTAGGGAGGAGGTGTGGCCTGAGGAGAGAGTCTCGCCAGGGGCCAGACAGAGGCCTCGAGGGCCACATTTGACCCCTGAGTCTGAGCTCTCCCACCTTTTAAGCTGGGTAGGCCAATGATCATATAAGGCAGCTTCCAACATCCCCTTCTCCCCAAGTCCGCCTGCTTGCAGTCACTGCGTCCAGACCTTGGTGTGTGTGTGTGTGTGTGTGTGTGTGTGTGTGTGTGTGTGTGTGTGTGTGTGTGTGTGTGTGTGTGTGTGTGTGTGTATATATATATATATATATTTTCTAGCAGTTCTACCAGCCTCCTGTTCTCACAGTGGGACGCGGGTGGTGCTGTGGGTTAAACCACAGAGCCTAGGACTTGCTGATCAGAAGGTTGGTGGTTCGAATCCCTGCGACGGGGTGAGCTCCCGTTGTTCGGTCCCAGCTCTGCCAACCTAGCAGTTCAAAAGCACCTCAAAGTGCAAGTAGATAAATAGGTACCACTCCGGCGGGAAGGTAAATGGCGTTTCTGTGCGCTGCTCTGGTTCACCAGAAGCGGCTCAGTCATGCTGGCCACATGACCCGGAAGCTGTCTGCGGACAAACGCCGGCTCCCTCGGCCTATAGAGCGAGATGAGCGCGCAACCCCAGAGTCAGTCGCGACTGGACCTAATGGTCAGGGCTCCCTTTACCTTTACCTGTTCTCACAGTGGCCTCTCAGGTGCCCCAAAGGGAAGACGTCCACAAGCAGGACCTCAGCACATGAGCAACACTCTCCCCCTTGCAATTCCCCAAAACTAGCATTCAGAGGCATTTGCTGCCTCCAACGGGAGGGCGGGAGAAGAGGGGTGTTGTGGCTGGCAGGCCCCTGATAGCCCCCTATTCATTTAACAAAACGGTTTGTTTTAATATTTCTGCAAAGCTCAGTGAGCTCAGCCTCCTGCTCTGTCAACAAAGCCGTTTCTTGACGATGACTCTAGCAAGGAAGTGCAAGAGGAATAAATCTGCAGTTCTGCTGCGGGAGAGGAGAGACGGTCCGCAGCCCTCCTCTCTCGCTCTCCCCTACAGCTTAGGAGCTTCCCTGCTTGGCTCTCTCACTTCCAGACAGGACCCCCCTCTGCACTGGCCTACTGATCTGAATTGTAAATGTGTTCCATGAAACGCATTGTGTGCCCCAGGAGAAAAGCGAGGGGGTGTCCCTGGCAAGGCCTGCCTGGATTTCATCCCAGTAGTTCAGCGGAGCAAGGGATTGGCTGGTTCAGGGGGCGGGGGCTCCCCACCAAGTGCAAGCTCAAAAAAAAAGAGGGTGCAGGATTCAGAGACATGCTAGAACTTGGCCCTGAGGGAACCAGAAGTCTGGTTTCCCCACCACCACCACCCCAAGAAAAACTGGGACCTTGTGGGACCTTGAAGCTTGCTCACTTTTCGGCAAAGAGTCCTGTGTAGGTTTGAAGCTTGCTCGCTTATCGGCAAGGTGCGCTATCACAGAGCTATGACCCTTTCCCTAAAAACAAAGTCGGGTTCCAGTCCACATGTTTATGAATAAAGGGTTGATTTAAAGAGGAAGCTGTCCTAATTTTTCACAGTCAGGTCCATCTAGCTCAGTAGTGCCTACACTGACAGGCAGAAGCAGCTTGTTGATATTTCAGGGAAGGGTCTTTTCCCAGTCCTTACTAGAGAGGCTGCCAGTTAGCTCGGGTGGTTAGAACATGGTGCTGATAACACCAAAATTGTGGGTTCAGTCTCCCTATGGGCCACTTGCATATTCCTGCATAACGGGGCTGGACTAGATGTGTTATGTACTGAAGTTCTCACCCTGGGCCAGCAGGAGGATACTGTAGATAGTTCAGGTCCACATATGCAAATAAGGGATCGAAAGTGACGTTCAGTGATTGGATCGTTACAGAAAATGGTTACTGTTGCGTTCTAGTGGAGCTCTATATAAGCAAGCTGACTGAACCCTTCAGTTCGGTTCTGTTCTGGCCTGTGAATAAACAAGAGCTGTTTGAAGAATCGCTGTGTCGTCTGATATGTTCACCCAGAACTTAACAAGATGGCTCTGGGGTCCTCTCCAACTCTACAATTCTATGTTTGAACCCGGGATCTTTTGCATTCAAACCCAATGCTCTGAGCTACAGCCCTCCCTGTAGTTCCACACCATTCCTCCCAGTCTGATCTGTTTCCTGGGCCCCAGCCAGTCCAGACCCCATCCGACAATCTCTGGAGTTGTCTGGGTTGCCCCACTTTAGGATTAATCCCACAGGGCCTCATCGGCTATTGCTCTATGACCCACTGGCAGGGCTGGATTTAGGTTTGATGAGGCCCTAAGCTACTGAAGGTAATGGGGCCCTTTATATGTCCAGCTGTCCTTTGTCAACAACAAATTGTCACTGTTTTTTTGTGTTGAATATATGCTATATGGTAATTTATGGACCTAATAGGTATCTATTAGGGACGTGGGTGGCGCTGCGGGTTAAACCACAGAGCCTAGGACTTGCCGAACAGAAGGTCAGCGGTTCGAATCCCCGTGATGGAGTGAGCTCCCGTTGCTCGGTCCCTGCTCCTGCCAACCTAGCAGTTCGAAAGCATGTCAAAGTGCAAGTAGATAAATAGGTACTGCTCCGGCGGGAAGGTAAACGGCATTTCCATGCGCTGCTCTGGTTCGCCAGAAGCGGCTTCGTCATGCTGGCCACATGACCCGGAAGCTGTATGCCGGCTCCCTCGGCCAGTAAAGCGAGATGAGCACCACAACCCCAGAGTCGGCCACGACTGGACCTAATGGTCAGAGGTCCCTTTACCTAGGTATCTAAAGCCATTTGCACATGTTGTTGCCATGCAACCAGTCGATGCAGAATGTAGGCACCCTATCGATAGAAATGAGCAAATCAGTGAAATTTTAGGGAGCGGGCAGGGCCCATTACTTACATCACAGGAGCCTACACAAGGCAAAACAAAACACTGTTGCTGTATGTAGGTTTTATTTTAATTGTTTTTTATCTTATATTTTGGAAATGTACATCCAGGTTGTTGTTTTCTTTGAATTTTTTGGGGGCCCCCCAAGAGAGTGGGGCCCTAAGCTATAGCTTGTTTAGCTTATATGTAAATCCAGCACTGCGGCCACTGTGGGAGAATTTTCAGGCACTGTTCTCGACCTTGATGTCATTTGACCGTGTACAGAGTTTGGGTTTTTGCTCCAAAGACTTGTGCATGAAGTTAGATGTAGCTGTGGTTCCTGCGCTGCAGTGGGGTTGGACTTGATGAGCCCACGAGGTCCCTTCCAACTCTTGCCACCAGTGCTACTATGAGCAAGAACGAAGGTTCTTAGCTCCCTTGATTCCTTCCTTCCTGTAGCAGATCTGAGCATGATGGTCACTGGTTATTCATGAAGTTCAGCCAAAGGACAAGCCAATGGCGCCCTCAGGCGTTGATCTGAGAGTCCTGCTCAGCATTTGAGACGGACGTTCCTTCCACCTCTCTGTCCGCCCCAGACATTTATATCACTCTCCCCTCCGAACCCCCCCCCCAAATAATCCTGGGAACTCACGGATCCCAGCACCACAGAACTACCCAGCCACTGTTAAGAAAAGTTCGCTGAAAAGTTTCACTGTTATGAAAAGCTGGCAACCTTACCCCCGAGCCTCATAGAATCTTAAGAGCTGGAAGGGACCCAAAGGTCCTCTAGTCCAACCCACTGAAATGCAGGAATCTCCGCGAAAGCATCCCTGACAGAGGGCCATCCAACCTCTGCTTAAAAACCTCCAAGGAAGGAGAAGTCCCCTGCCTCTCGAGGGAGTCTCTTCCATTGTTGGACAACTCTTGTCATCAGAAAGTTCTTCCTGATGCTGAGTCGGAATCTCCTTTCTCGTAACTTGGAGCCATGGGTTCGAGTCCTACCCTCCAGAGCAGGAGAAAACAATCTTGTTCCCTCTTCCCTGTGACAGCCCTTGAGATAGTTGAAGATGGCTCTCCTATCTCCTCTCAGTCTCCTCTTTTCCAGTCCAAACATACCCAGCTCCATCAACTGTTCCTCATCAGGCTTGGTTTCCAGACCTCTGGTCATCTTGGTTGCCCTCCTCTGCCCACCTTCCAGCTTATCAACATCCTTCTTAAATTGTGGTGCCCAGAACTGGACATGGTCTTCCAGGGGTGGTCTGACCAAGGCAGATTAGAGTCGGACTATCACATCCCTTGGATGTGGGTGGCGCTGTGGGTTAAACCACAGAGCCTAGGGCTTGCCGATCAGAATCAAATCAAATTTATTAAACGGTCACAGACCAGATTAACTCGTACAGCTAGTCAGCGAAGCATAACACCGGAAAAAACAAAGGACAATTTCAATACATAACTGCAATTTAAAATTAGACAGCATAAATAAAAAATTAAGTATTTGCCTTCGCCTGCGTAATGACATTGGAAAGCTCTTGTTTCCTGCGCCTAATAGCGGCTACACAAAATTTGGCCACATTGATCGTAATTTCAGAAACCTTATCTTCTACCAAGGCTCTCATACGTTGGAGTTCTGGTTCATTTTTAAGCTTTTGTAGAACTGGGGCAATAAAGGTCAAGCGTAGATCCTCATAGTAACTACAGTGCAGCAATACATGCAGACTTGTTTCCACTTCCGATGAGCCACACGGGCAAACACGTGACTCATATGGTTTGCCCTCATATCTGCCTAGCAGCAGGGCAGAGGGCAGAACGTTAAATCTGGCCAGGGTAAAGGAGTGTCTGTACTTAGGTATTTGTAAATCAGCCAAATAATTTGCGGGTGAGAACCCTCTCCCAAAGTCTCTAATTATGGCATGTTTATCCATTTTGCCCATATGACATTGCAGCTCTATGTCCCTAATGCGTTGGAGCACTTGACTTCTGGCTCTCTCATATCCTGCCGCTATCAAGATCTGCGGGGAGAATCCCAAGCTTCTTATCTTTTCAAACAGGGAAGCTTTCCAGGTGGAATGAAAGGTGTCTAAGAGTGTTAAAGGAGCCAAACCGGCCGGGGAAAAATAAGTTTTAACCAGTAGTGTATCTTTAGAATCCACAGCCGCGCATTAACGGGTGGTTGTCCAACTTCTAAGCGGACAGCTATATTAGATACACAGGGGGGGATCCCCAATAAACACCGATAGAATTTTGTTTGAAATGCCTCCATAGGCGCAAAATTTTTAAAACTGCAAACCTGGGATCCATAAGTAAGTTGTGGGAGTATTTTTGCAGCAAAAACCTGGGAGGCCGCCGGAACGTATTTACCCCCTTTCCCGTGAAAAAATCTTGTAAGGGCTTTATTAGCCCTTCCTGCGTTGGCAATGGCGTTTTCATCTGTTGATGCCACGAGACCCTTTCCTGAAAAGTTATTCCCAGGTATTTGAAAGTTGCTACCTGGTCAATAGGTTGACCATTAATTCTCCATTTGTGTTTCCTTCTTTTTTGAAAACACCATAATTTTAGATTTGCTGTAATTTATTGATAGTTGTTCCGCTTGACAATAGTCAGCAAGTGATCTCAAAAGCTTCCTCAGGCCAATGCAGGAAAAGGAGAGTAGGACTGCGTCGTCCGCATACAGAAGCACCGGGATGGGAATACCTGCCAGTTTGGGAGGGTGGGCATTTTCTTTCGCCATATTTACTGCTAGAGAGTTGATATAGAAATTAAATAGCGTTGGCGCGAGGACACATCCTTGTTTAACCCCATAGTGCGTTTGAATTTCTTTAGTTAGATGGCCTGACCGATCGCATCTTACCCTCACCCTGGTGTTTTCGTATAGACCACGGATAAGGCGTAATAAGCGTTTATCTATGTTTGTAGCGCCAAGCTTTTCCCAGAGTCTATCCCTTGGTATTAGATCAAACGCCGATTTAAAATCCACGAATGCTGCATATAAAGACCCCCCTTTTCTAGAATATTTGTCTGCCAGGTGTTGAAGGGTAAGGGCCTGGTCTATAGTTGAACGCTTTGCTCTAAAACCGGCTTGAGCTTCTGATAGAATATGCTCTCTTTCCATCCACTCCACTAATTTATCACATAAATGAGCAGCATACAGTTTGCTAATAATACTTAATAGACTGATTGGTCTATAGTTAGCTGGCTCAGTTCTGTTTCCTTTCTTAAATATTGGAATGATGATGGCTAAACCCCAGTCCTCGGGGATAATAGCCGCTTGATTTATACTAGTGAACAAGGCGGCTAGCACAGGGGCCCACCATTCGACATTTGCCTTAAGAATTTCTGGTGGGATATTGTCAGCACCCGGGCTTTCCCTGATTTAAGAGCTTGAATAAGTCCAGTAATTTCTTCTATGGTTACAGGGGGCCATTCCTTACCAAATTCACTTGAAGCAGGAAGCAGAGCTGGGGCCAGTTGATTTGATGAATATAATGAGAGGAAATAGGCCTCCCATGCTCCAGCGGGTATAGAGTATTCGATTTCAATCGGGAGTCTCTCCAGCTTTTTGCAATTATTTTCCAAAACGTGGCAGAATCTTTCCTTTGGGAGGCCTCCACTAGGCACTGCCATTCCTCCCTTTGTGCCTGGAGCTTTTTCTTGCTAATCAAAGCTTTATAACTGCGTTTTGACTCAAACCAGTCTAATGGAAGCGAAGGTAAGTTCGCTGTTCTATAGTTCCTGTACTTATCCAGCAGGAGGCGTTTCATAGCCATGCATTCTTGGTCAAACCAAGGTTTGGATTTATTAAAGTGTAGAGATTGCCGTGGCGTTTTTTGTTGGTCAGATAAGGTTGTAGCGACGAAATCAGTTCCCGGAACATGTCTAATCTGGCCTCAGGAGTTGGGGAATTAACGAGGTTCTCCTTTCTAGCAAGAAAAATATCTGAGTGAAGTCTTTCCGATATTTCATCACTCAATTTGCTGGACCATTTAATACGTGAGTATCTTAGCTCCATGTTTTCGAAGCATGGGGCTACAAGTTTATCAGAGCAAAATAAATCTTTTCTTACATCCAGTATTAAACAGAACGGTAGATGGTCGCTGTCAACCCTCTCCACCACTTTACATTCCCGTGCTCTGCTCAAAAGGTTAGATGACACCAGGACGTAATCGATAGTGGAGGCTCCCATGTTGGATATAAATGTAAATTCCCCACTGGGTTCTCTGTCGACACGACCATTTAATACAGTCAAATCCAGATTGTTGGAAAACGTAGAAGGCATAGGCCTGCGTAATTGCAGCCCTTGTCTTTTGAGAGCCTTGGGGGAATAGAATGGGCTTCTTCAGAAATGGGAGGTACGTCGTGAAAATGAGCATATAACGCTTCGTCTGATTGGCCAATTCTGGCATTTAAATCCCCAGCCAGCAGCACTGCCGCAGCAGGAGTTTGATTCATTAGCTCATCGACATAAGATTCTATCCTATGCCAGAGATTTTTGATAAGCTGCTTGCCTCTTTGGGGAGGGGCATATATATTAATCAATAGAAGTGTGCAATATCTGCATTTCATCAATAATGCCATGGCCACACTGCTCAGAGGCTCCAGCTCGACGAAAGATGCTCTCAGCCTTGTGGATATTAAAATGCCTAGCCCACCCTTAACTCGTCCCCCTTTGTTGCTTGGTGAGCCTGCGAGCGAAAATGAGGCAAAACCATTTACATCTAGATCCCCTGTTAGCCATGTCTCTTGCAAGAAGACTATATCATGATCTTGAATAAAATTGACAAATGATTGGTCAGTCGCCTTGTTGAGCCAACCAGCAATGTTCCATGATAAAAATTTAAGATTGGCTTTATCACAATCAAATCTTTGTCAATTATTAGCTAACGTACTTTTAGGGTTTGTCGCTTTATGTATCGGACGCCTATCGTCTTTGAATGGCGGGCTATCCAGCCGCTCTATGATTTCAATAGGTGGATGCAAAGTGCTCACGTTTGTGAACACCAGCTCTTTATTATGCATAAATTCCTTCTGTGGATAGTCTGTTTTGGCCTGATTTTGGCCCAATTCTGTTTCATCTAGGTATCTCATTTTGTCCCATACGTCTTGTGGGGTCACCTTGGGGATATTTCTCTTTCGGGGGTGATGGAGTACTCTCCTTGAAGGGTGGCACATTCTCTCTTGGTGGAAAGTTAATCTCCGCTTTGATCTGAAGGTTACGTGTTGTGGTCTTTTTTTGGTCCCCCTTGATAACCTCGTTGCCTGAAGCTCTCTCAGCCAGCTTATCTCTTAGCTTATCTAGTCTTCCCAAGATGTCAGTTTGTATTAATGGTGGGAACATCCAGAATTGGTCAATTAGGATATTTTCTTCCATAGTAAAGAAATCCTCACCTTTACTTGCAAGGCATTGCGGGTTCTGTTTGTCAGGCCAGGATTTTGAGAGTTGTTTCCCCTTTCTAAGATTTGCCTGCTTAGTTTTCAAAAGGGGGCTCAAAGGAGCCTTATTTTCAAAGAACCTAAGTATTATTGTCCGTGCTTTTAAAAAGGCAGGTCTTGACCTAAAAATATACTTGGCCAGGTTCTGATCCCTAAAAGTGGTCAGTGCTCTCACTGAGTGACCATCATAATGTAAATATTCCACCGAGGTGATATCATTAGCATTAACCATTCCTGGCAGTATGTCATTTAGACTAGATACAAAGTTCATTATTCGCTGTTTCCCTGTAAGGAAGCCCTTAGGCTTCGGGAAGTTCGTGAATACCAGTTTTTGGGGATTTAGGATCAAATTCCAATCTCTTTTCTGACTGGAGGCTTGCCAGGTCTGAAGGGGGGTATCATCTCTACTAAACGCTTCCTCTTCCCCGCTGTTCGGTTTACTAAGTGTTTTATTGCCTTCATAGAAAGAGGCCTCTACTTCCGCAGCATCAGGTTTATTAAAAAGTTGGTTATCCAAGGACTGAGTTGTTACTTCTGCCTTCTCATTTGCTACTGGAGTCAGCCTTAGCGAGTCCTCCTTAGCCGGTTGCTGTGTAACTACCTTTGTTTCTCTCTTTTTACCCTTCTTTTGCTGCCCCGTGTGGTCGATTTATTTGGGGCTGGGGGAAGAAGTTTAAACAATTTCTGCCAATGTATGTTTCGATTACTGCGGGTATGCTTGGCTATCCTTGTTGTTTTAATATTTTTACTTTTCTTCACTTTTACCCTTGAGTTATGTCTTTGCAGATTCTTATTTATTACTGGTTTGTTCATCGACGCTAGCTCAACTGTTTTATGTTCTTGTGGCATATCATTTAATTTTAACTCTTTTAATTGAGATGTGAAATTTTCTACTAACGTCAGCAGTAGCCCATTTGTTATTGTTAGATAATTTTTATGTTGGCTAAATCAGAACTTATTGCTAGGGAATAATCCAAAGGGCGACCGTCACTCAATTCTGTTTGAGAGTATTTTGGAGTAAGTATCTGGTTTTGATGGGTTGATGTAATTTCTTCCGTGGGCAGCTGTTCCTTAGTAATAGAGGTATTTCCCTCCTGAAGTTCCTCGGCTAAAGCTAGTTCTTGCGCTAGGCTGCATGGGGAGTTAATATTTCCAGTATCTTGGTATATCTCTTTAAAATTAGATGTCCAATCAAGAACAGTAAGAGAGGGGGGTATTACTTCATCAAGAATTAACTCTTTTTGTGGACTCTTACCCTCCTCCATCTTAGGAAAGTAATTTGTGATTTTGCTTTGTCTTTTACCAGGGCCCGAGGGGCTGATTGCCGAGTCAGGCAGTATACCCAACTCCTTGTATTTTCTCCTAGTAAAAACCATGGTAAAAGTGGTCTCGATATAGAGAGAGGGCAGTTTACCCCAGGTGCGACTGCCTTAGATTGGGGGGCAAGTGGGGGTATCAATCTATATTCCCACCTGCTCTCTGCAACAGCTTCCTGATGTGCTCATCAACAGCCTCAATATATTTCTCTATTTTGAGTTCTCTGCTTTTAGATCTTGGCAATTGTCCTAAGCCTGTAGTTTTCACCTCAATCATGCGACCAGCGCTGTTTCACAAATGCTGCAACCTAGTCAGAATATAATAATAAAACAATGCTGCCAAAGAGACAGCAGTAATAAAACGGCTAAAAACTACATTAAAATTAAAATTGCCTTATTTAGGCAATTTGTGTGCAGCTGGAAAAGGATAATAGTGGAGTTTGGCTATAGCGCATGTACAGCTATGATAACCTTGTATTTCGGGTCTTAGCTTAGTCTTTAGAGGCCATCTTCCACCGCCCCATACTGAACGAAGGATATCCAAGAGCCCCAGAAGGGAAACTTTCTGTGGGCTGGTTCGCTGATTCCTTCTAGGTAGTCTTTCAAAGGCCTACCACATAAGGCAGGGCACAGAACGATATCTTGCTGAAGCCGGTTTTCCAAACCTCCAGAAGGTCCTATCCGATACACTGTTGTGGAGTTATTGTGTAGATTAAAAAATTCCTGTAAAAGACTCAGGGTGCCTTCACCAGGAGTCTCTGAGAATATAAAAGCTGGTCTCCTCGAAAGAGTTTATTAAAATGAAGAGTCTTTCCAGCTACAGCACTTCCTCTTCAACTAAGCAGGAATGTTGTCCCCAGCTAGTTCACACAGCCCCCCAGCTGGGCGGGGGTCAGTCAGTTCAGTTAACCCTGAATCTCCAAGCTTTATCTTTCTCTGTGTTCAGCTGAGCTGGGTGTCTATGGGCCAATCTCAAAGCAAAGCTCACAGTCGTATCTCTCCTTACCCTCCTTCTCCAGGCACCGTTGGTCGGATAAGCAGTTCACAGTTCTGTCTTTAGACCTCTTCTGTCTCTCTGCTCTCAGTTCAGGCAGCAGCGTTCTCTCCTCTCTGGCAACCTTGACCGGGCAGCTGATAAGGAGGGAGGGAGCAGGCTGGGACAAGCTGAAGCTCGCAGAGCCGACAGGAGTTATAAAAATGTTCAGAGTCTTTAAAATGTTTTCCGTTTGTTAAAAATTGGCATCCGGAGGGCAATTAAGATAAGGTTTTTTAAAAATAAAAGTGAGCGCCGGAGAGCGTGACTTGCCTCGGCGCCATCTTGGTCAACTCCCTGCCGATCAGAAGGTCAGCGGTTCAAATCCCTGCGATGGGGTGAGCTCCCGTTGCTCGGTCCCTGCTTTTGCCCACCTAGCAGTTTAAA